ATCCACCACATCGGCTGCTGGAGGAGCTGTAGGGTCAGAAAGCTTCTCCACAGGGTCCACCGCATCAGCTGCAGCCGGTGCAGCAGAGGCTGGGTCACTTGCATCCTCAGACGTGTCTGACAGGTTGATCACCAGAGGGCGCAGGTTCAATGGCTTGGAAAAGTAGGAGGGATCCGCTGGCTCTTGCTTGATGTGCACCTTGTGCGTCTCCTCTGGTTCTTCTTTGATACCCTGCACGTCCTCATCCTTCTCTTCTTCTTTTGTTTTCTGCTCATCCTCGTCCTTCGGCTCGTCTTTGGCATCCTGCGCATCTTCGTTCTCCTTCTGTTCTTCTTTTGTTTTCTGCTCATCCTCGTCCTTCGGCTCGTCTTTGGCATCCTGCGCATTCTCGTTCTTGATCTCCTTGAGCAAGTTGGAAGAGGACTTCACAGATCGAAGCTTCTTAGTGGGCGGCTCGTCGACGGCAGCGCCAGCATCCAGGTAGTACTTGGTCTTGCCCTCAATGCCCGCGAGTGTTGGTCGATTTTCAATGACGTACTCCCTTCCTGAGAACAGTTCTTTCCCACGGGTGGTCGCACAATAGCGGACCTCCTCGCCATCCAGCGCAGCCTGCAGCAAGTTCAAACTCCACTGCATGTCTTTGTCATGATCTGCCGGCAAGTGAGAGATGTTACCGCGCTTGTAGGCAGCCAAAAAGGGTCGGGCAGATGGAGAGATCATGCCAATATCCCGCTCTGGCCAGGCATACCGGGGAACGGGTTTGCGGTCTGTGCCTGGCACACGTACGTACATGCCCACATCGGTGAAGACGATGAAGGTGGATCGCTTGAAGACACCGACAAGGTCCTCTTCATCGAAGTCCCTGTGGAAGGAGGGGCGCACGATCTTGTAGAACTGCTCGAAGGTCACGGTGTCCTGAGTCGAATTGGCGTCCATCGGCGGCTCTGCAGTCCTGTCATAGGGATTACTGCAAATCTGGCTTAGCTGATTCTTCGCGTACGAGGACGCGTTGTATCTTGCCATTGTCTTCCTGTCGACGCCGTCCACCTCCGTCACTGCCTTAACACCTGCGGGATGCTCCAGGTTGAGGTTGCCATCATCAAACACCCTCGGTTTCGTCCGTCTGCCCTTCTCCTTGCGGAAGTAGTCGAGGTGGTTGCATGTCTGAAAGCAAGGGCTGCCCTCCTTCTCTTCCTGAATCAACCAATATGCGGACACCACAGATGAGAGGGTGTAGGACACCGGGCTTTTACCCACCTGAGACTTGCCAATCCAGATAACGGAGTGGGACATCACATGAGGAAGAATCGGTGCAAGGATAGTGTTCAAAGCCCACGGCGTGATGCTCTTGAAGGTGAGAGGCCACTCCTTGATCGTATTAGCTTGAGAGCCTTGGTCCGCGAGGCACCTCAGGAACTCCTTGATGGTCCCCTTGTCCCACTTGTGGAGCGGGCCGTTCGGATCGTTGACCTGCTCCTCCGTCCACACTGTGAATTGCCCGTCGGAGTTTTCTTCCGGGCCAAACTGACGGATATAGGCGAAGCCCTTGCGGATGTCCTCCGTCTCTTTGGGCATTTTGCTCGAGGCACCGGCGGACACGAGCTTCCTCCGTCCGTTGGGGCATTTTGCTAGGAGCACCGGCGGACACGAGCTTCTGGTAGCGGACCTGGAAGCCGCCCAACCCCTCGAGCATGTACTGTAGTCCTCGACCACCATCGCGGCACTTGCCCTGCAAGTCGATCTTAAGCGGAATACCCTGGCACATAGAGATGATGGAGCCGTGGAGACCTTTGCACCTTCCAGGAATTTGATGTGCTCAATGATGTCCTTTTTGCCCTCTTCCTTGGGAATAATGAGAAGCTGCATGTTGTAGGGGGCCTGGAAGTTCCCCTTCATGCGTGCGAGCTCGGGTAGGTCAGTGTCTCTACCGCATTCAAGTCAGTAGGCCCTTCGTGGTCAACAATGACATGGAGGAACTGCGTCTTCTTTTTCACGGAGTCGGTGATTTCCATTTCAGCTGGCAAATCGCCAAGTCTAATGGAACCGGGCTCCTTGTTCACCACCATTGGCTTTCCAGGTAAAGGATCTTCATGCCATCGGTGTGGGCGATGGCTTCCTCCAATGTGCAGTTTCCGTCCAGGTTGGCGTTGTCGAAGGAACGAGCAAGCAACTCGGCACGTTGCGGAGGCGCAGATGCCACGACAGCTATTGGAGCAGAAGGGAATATCAGGAAGTTGCCTAGAATGCAAATGGCTGCAGCGTAGCGCAAGGAAATTTGATGAGCTTGAGATGCAAGCAGTATTTTAATAGACTCCATTGGGAGGCGGGCTAACAGTACTTCAGCCATTAAATGCGCACTGCGGTGTCAAACTAAGGAGCCAGAGCTGAGACGACACACTGCAGCAGTACGAAATGTGGATCATGGAGTTGGAATATAAGAATGTTACCTAGCTTTGCAATGGACGCAGTATAGCACAAGGAAATTTGATGAGCTTGATACGCAAGCAGACTCAGACGTGCATGGTCAGCTGGCTTTTTTCCCTTGCGGCTCGGAAAACTGAGACAGGAAAAGCTATGGCAAATGCCTCTCACTCGTGATGAAGTTCAATTCATTCGCTTGGAGGACGGTCTCGCCGTCCGAGCTGATCTTTTCGAGCTGACAGATGAAATGCAGGACCATAAGTAGCCACATGGTAGATAACCTACTTTTGTAGGCCATCTGGATGGAGCGATAGGGCTCGGCGTGGCGCTCGTTGCCATGGCTGTTATTATTTTAACAGCCTCCATTGGGAGACGGGCTAAGAGTACTTCAGCCATTCAAATTAAGGAGCCAAAGCTGAGACCATACACTGCAGCAATGCCAAATGTGGATCATGGGGGGGGGGGGGTGAGCATATATATATATATACATATCGAGGTTGTTATTGTCTCTTTATTGCCGGCCTTGCCTTTTGTTTGCCATTGTACCCTTTTGGGCTGACATCACTGTTTGCAAGACGTCTAAGTCTGGCCCAGAATTCGCCTTTGTGAAGTAGCACTCTTAGTTTTATCAAAGAATCTTACATGCCTCGATAATTTTTTTACTGGGGTTTGACAATGGGTAGATCAAGGTTAGCAAGGGGCAGTCCCAAGCAAGGTGCAGCCGCCCAATTGATTCCTTGCAAGGCTTTTGGCCCCTAGCTGTCCCTTTTGGGTTAGTTGCTTAGAAATCGATAGGTTCCACTGTTTAGATGGGTTTTATGCCCCATTTACCAGGGAAGCCCATCTATGTTTCCCAAAGGCCACCTATGTTTTGGCCAGTCTAACCCCAGTGTTGAGCAGAACTCCGCTGTGCACGCGTATGCCACTCGCATCGGGGATGCGATGTTCTGCCGAGTGAGCGCGGTGGCTGTTCGTGGCTTGCCACGTCAGAAATCGGCTGAGCGGCTCTTGGGACGCGAGATGTGTGGCATGCGTGATTGGTTCCTCTTTTCGGAGTTGGTACCTTGTCGGGCGTTTCAGAGAGAACCCGAAGGCCGAAGGCACACCACCAGTTTGGGGTTCCATGAAACACATGGACACAAACCCAGCCGACAGCTTGCCAAATTTTCGACCACTTGCCGAACACTTTGTTTTTTTTCTTCCCGCGTTGAACCCAGGCGAAGGCACACCACCAGTTTGGGGTTCCATGAAACACATGGACACAAACCCAGCCGACAGCTTGCCAAATTTTCGACCACTTGCCGAACACTTTGTTTTTTTTCTTCCCGCGTTGAACCCAGGCGCGCTGGATCAGCCTCGAATTTTTGTCCCGCTGGCTGCCTAAAGGGCGAGCTTTCGGCCATGGAATTCCGTGACCAGAAGAACCAGAGAAAATGTCCGAGAGCTCACGGTGGGACCCAAAAAATGGCTTCGAAGAAGGGGGTTCCGACCGCTTGGCACCGAAGGAAAGCCATATATGTTTTTCTCACAGAGAAAAGGCTCCAGGGATCTGTTGAAACATGCTGCACTCAAGGACACCTGGTTTCTTTGAGTGATATTTGAAGAAGTACTAAATGAACGATCTGCGACGGTAGATACGTTCAGGAGCAAGTAAAGACACCATAGAATAGATGCATAGATGAGATCAGATCAGATTAGATTAGATTGATAGATAGGTAGGTAGACAGACCGATAGACAACGAACAAACTAAATGCGCAGTTCGATGCATGAGTAGATAAACCAATCGAGAAATACAGAAAAGCGATAAAATGCATAACTACTCATACACAAGCAATTAAATACTTGTACGAGACACCCAACAAGGCGGGGTGCGAAACGTTCCCTTTGAAGCCAGGATCCGCTGCCTGCCTTATCCATCGGCCCATGATCAGTGGAGTGCTGATCAGCGGTTGGATTCCATTGGTTTCCTCTGCACTTTGATTCAAACAACGCGGGCCTTCATGTATTCTCCAAAGGGCAGCTCACTCCCTGAGTTTCTGGACTTGCTTTTTGGGATGATCGGTTTAGTGGCAAACAAACAGATTGCTTGTCGTTTTGCTTGTCCACGTAGGAGGCAGTGAACGGATGCCAACCCCAGTTTTTGTACATGAAGATGGACTGTCCTATGCTGAGAGCATGACTGGACAGAGCCCAACCTTGCTCCATCCTTCCAAGCTTGTGCAGAGGGGCGGGTTTTCCAAGGGGATATTTCATCCAACGTGGATGCAATTTGGTGTTTTATGACAGTCTGCAGGGGAGTAACGGAAGGTGCAGAACCATTGCAATCAGTATGTTATTCTCCTATAACTATGAGGTAACTTGGCTTAGTACCCCGCAACCCCATTCTACCTATTGAGGCCCGTACAGTACTTCCAAGGGGGTCCCAAAACTGTTTACACCCGTTTCTATGCGTTTAGATCCGTATGTTTCTTTATTTGTATTTTAATGCGGTCCTGGCGTTTTCCCAAAAGGGGGGTCCAGCAAATTGCATGTTCGATCCAAGGGCTTTGGACATGCGAAAGAAAAGGGACCGCCGCGTAGCTTTCGGCTCTCAGATTGGAGGGTGCTACAACTTGAGGCGCCGCCTTTTGCCGAGAGAGAGAGAGAGAGAGTTGGGGAGAGAGAGATACACAAGGAGAGAAGGGGAGAAGGAGAGAAGGAGAGAAGGACAGAAGGAGAGACGGAGAAGCTGAGAAGGAGAGAAGGCGAGAAGGAGAGAAGGGGAGAAGCAGAGGAGGGAAAGAGTGACGAGAAGAGAGACAGAGGAGAGAGAGAGACCTATTTTTGAGATCAGCAAGAGAGAACAAAAAAGGAAAGAGTTGGGTCGCATTTGTTGCAGCTGGGTATGGATCTGGTGCGGGATCTGGGCCTTCTCAGCCCTCCAGGTTCAGCCTTGAGCCCGTCACCATGGGAGGATGCGCAGGTGGGGTGTCCGTTTTGTTGCAGTGACGGGGCTACTGGAGCGGGGCAATTCACTACCTGTGGGTATGCAGGTAGCTCTGAGGAGCGCATCCTTTGCAGGAGAAACGCGCTTGCTGGTTTTATCCTCAACCTTTAGCTTTTTAGAAGAACGTTTTGGTTTCAGTCGCATCAGCCAACCTTGTGTCACGTATACAACTCTGTTGAACAGTATTTGACCAAGTATGGGCTGCTCTTCGGAAGGACCGAAATATCATTCAACTCGTTGGAACACGTGGTGGTGGTGAGAAGTGCCGTGCTCGTGTCAGACTGGTGCAAGACTAGCCCAGATAGCATGCACCAGTGGATCAGCCGAATGTGCGAAGGGCACCCTGGTTGTTCTTTGGTTTGGCTTGTGACTTTAGCCAAACCGTTTTTTTGGTTTTCCCGTTTTTTACGGGCTAGCACGCAGTGTTCCAGCGTGTCTTATCTGAGCTTTCGGGCCTTTCGGGCGTTGCCGGAAGCTGATCTTCCCTTTTTGGGGGCCTTTGGGCCTGGGCGGTGACTCAGTGACTGGCCGCAGGAAAGAACGCCGATGCCCCTAAGCCGGGAGGAAAGGCGAGGAGCTCGGCTTTTGGTGAATCTTTTGGTGACCCACTCCCATTTGGGTGTAGATTAATGAGCTAGGGTTATATAATAGGTTTTGGTCTTTGGTTCCAAGCTGCCATTTTGGTACATGTGCTTGAGCCATTACCTCTTCTTTTTTTGCGGAGGATTCTTTGTAGCGTAGCGGGACGAACGAAACTCTATGAAGATTCCCGCTTGATCCGGGTCAAGTGCGTCGAAACCTCCAGCCTTTGAATTCCGACGCGCCATATGGGTTTGTCTCAAAAGGGGACCCCCCAAAATGATTGTGGTTCCTTTTGGCTTTCCCTTTGAAGCAACTAACCAAAAAGGGGGTTCCTCGAAAAGACACCCATTTCATGCGTTCGGATAAACCAAGGACGATTCTCCATCGATCCCCCCAACTGTGAATTGGCACGTGTTGTGGAGCCTCGATCCATGTGCTTGTCTCAGAGACGGAACCTTCAGAGGAGTCCGGTTTTCCTCCCATATCTTCTTGAAAACCCAGAGAAAGCCGTCTTTGGAGGTGCCCCATTTGGAGACGAACGGTTCCACATGTCGCATAAGTTGGACCGTTGAGAACTGCGCACTGCAGTCGACAGAAATTCCTACTTGGAACTAGTTGAGACAAATCTCCCCCTTTATATGGGGGTTTAGTCTTGGGAAGCCCTTTGTGTCGTATCATAGAAGTGGTCATTTCCCACATGCCTGGTGTGACCCCATGGATCCCCCCCATAGATCTCCCTCCCACTAACATGGCAGCTGACACAGGGTACCCCCAAAAAGGAAGGTCATGTTCCGGGTACCCTCCCACAGGTGCTATGTTTGTTGGAGGGAGGGTATTATTTTCTGCGACGGATGGCCAAGAGTCGGGGCGGGTGGATGGATTTTTTTGAGGCGTCCACCATGCCGAAGAAGGAGATCAAGGAGGGTGGCATCGGTCACGCCTCTCGGCATGTTTCGAGTATTACTTCATGGGGGCTGGGGGGGGGGAGGGAGGAGAGGGGGAGGGAGCCCAAATAAGCCCTTATTAAGCCCCCAATAAGGCCTTATTTGGGGCTTATTGGGGCTCCCTCCCCCTCCCTCCCTCCCTCCCCCCCAGCCCCCAATGAAGTATGGAGGGCTAGATGGGCTGTCTGTGTGTGTGTGTGTGTGTGTTTTTTTTTCCCGGTGTGAACAAGGGCTAGGAGTGAACAAGGATACAAAGTTTTCATCCCTTCCCCAAGTATTAGACCCCCCTAGTAATAAATCAATTATTAATAGGTCAGGTTTCCCTGAATTTGTGGTTTGGATTAGTGGTTTCGTGTGGACCTGAACCCCTTCTTGTTGAGGGTAAATGGAATGCCACTCCTAAGCCTCCAAGCCGCCAAGAGGCGAGTTTGTGACGCCCGCTCGCGATAGCTGGTTTATCCCAGCAGGATTTCGCTGAACATGTTCGTCTCACCCCTATTTGGTTTGGCCGTTGGGGCGGTGCTTTTCGCATTTGGTTTCAAAAGGAGCTGGGGTTCAAATCCCCAAGCCAACCCTATCGGTATGTGCTGGGCGAATGGGATCCATGAACTTGCCGCTTTCGCTGCGCTTCGTTTGAAGGGGTCCATGGGTCCACGCAGTCCAGGTCTCCAATTTTCCCTGGACGTGTTCGCTTATTAACCAGGCTCCCGCCTGCTGCCGCCGACCCTCGGCGCATTAAGGGAAAAGTCACAAGGACCGGTCCTGAAACACGTCCGCAAACCCAGGGACCACTTATAAGATCCTCTACGACCACAAACAAGGATTAACGGAAAAGTCAGAAATAGGGCAGCTAGTCCGTTAATTACCGCTTGGGCCGGCTTGCGCCCAAGTCACTTCGAGTTGGCCCGGGAGCAGTCGCCTCTCCCGGGGTCGCCCTGAAACTGGCCCTCCCGAAGTTGACCACAAACAAGGATTAACGGAAAAGTCAGAAATAGGGCAGCTAGTCCGTTAATTACCGCTTGGGCCGGCTTGCGCCCAAGTCACTTCGAGTTGGCCGGGAGCAGTCGCCTCTCCCGGGGTCGCCCTGAAACTGGCCCTCCCGAAGTTGCCCTGGACCGGTCGCCGGCAGGGACCGGGACTTGGGACCCTGTCCAGGCTGGTCCCAGTCTGGCGCGGTTTGACTTGACGTATTGGACTCTCTTGCAGAATAGATGGGATCCTCTACTACCACAAGGACGTCAACAACCGCACGGGCCGGCTTGGTCGCAGGGTCATGGGTGCCAGTCCGGAAAGGTGTCTGGAGCGGTTTGAGGCAGCACAGCATATTGAATTGGGACCCAAGACCAGCGGTCACACCAGGACTCGATCCCGGACCGGCTTCCCAGACCGGTCCCGGTTGCAGGGTCATGGGTGCCAGTCCGGAAAGGTGTCTGGAGCGGTTTGAGGCAGCACAGCACATTGAATTGGGACCCAAGACCAGCGGTCACACCAGGACTCGATCCCGGACCGGCTTCCCAGACCGGTCCCAGGACTGGTCCTGGGACCGGTCCCAGGACCAGTCCCAGGACCGGTCCTGGGACCAGTCCCAGGACCAAACCGCTGGTCCTAGGACCGGTCCCAGGACTGGTCCCAGGACTGGTCCCAGGACTGGTCCCAGGACTGGTCCTGGGACCAGTCCCAGGACCAAAAACCCCGGTCCTGGGACTGGTCCTGGGACCAGTCCCAGGACCAGTCCCAGGACTGGTCCCAGGACCGGTTTTGGCTGACCACAAGTAATCCAAAACAGCAGAACCAGGGTCCCAGAACTAGGACTGGTCCCAGGACTGGTCCCAGGACTGGTCCCAGGACCGGTCCCGGACCGGTCCCGGGACCCTGGGAATCCACTTTTTGTGGGTTCGGGCGTGTCCCCCAGGGACTATCATTGATTCCAATCACTTCCAGTTGCATCCCACGCCGGTCCCCTCTGCAGGAGGCTGGGACGGGAGGCAGAGGGTCGGCGGATTTTGCCATGGATGGCTTGGTCACGGTTTTAGGGATTTCTTTACAGCCGTTGGGAATTGGAGGGGTTACAATGGAAACATGGCCGCGGCCGTGGCTTTACGACGCTTTCTTTTAATGTACCCCTTGTGAGGTGGTTGTTAAAGGAACCCCCGAGGGAAGCCAACCATTCTGAGCCCCCCCGATCTTGGGAGTTTCCACCACTGGCACCTGCAGCAAGGCACAGTTCATCATCGAGAACACTGGAAAGATCACGGACCGATTGGGGCGGGCGGCAGCCAGTTTGTATGCGGATGTGCATTCTCTGTGTAGGTATCCATTGCCGTCTAGTTCTTCGGAAGACACCTGAAGTGTCTCACTTTTTGTTTTTCCCAGATGACGTCAGGGTTCGTCTGACCCCCTTTTGGGTTGAAGCCGAAGGGACCCCAACAAAACAGTCAGATTGAGGCAAACGTTTTCCGCTTCCTGATGACCTTGCGTTTCTTGATTTCGGGCGCTAAGAGCGCCCTCGCGGGTTGAGCGGTTTGCCTCTACCAATAGGGGCGCACCCAACATGGCCCTTGGCTTTCCTTGCACCATGTTCGAAGGGGTGCCTTTTCGAGGGACGCCAACCCAGAACGCAGGTGACACCGTGGGAGCGTCTCAAGAAAAAGCAATTACGCAGCTGGGCTTACGCAGGTTGTTCTATAGGTAGCTTCCGGGGATCCGGATCTTTCTAGAAAACCACCGAACACCCGGAAATGGCATGGCCGAAAAGAGTGGGGACTCAACCCCTAGAGCTGTAGTCTACTTCTCCATTTACCAGGGTTCCATCTTACTCCAATTTTGAGCCAGGCACGTGTGAACTCATTCCAGTTTTGCCAAGGCTTTGAAAAGTAAGCCCAAAGAAGCCGGCAATCATGTTGATTGTCTCCCAGGTTTGGCTAGTTGGTTCTCCCTGGTTTCATAGGGTTTAGAGAAAGGGCTATATAGGTCTGTCCCAAAATGGGGCGCCCCTTTTGGATGGTGGCTTAAAGGAGACCAAAAAGGCCACCAGCCATTTTTTGGGCGTCCCCTAGTTTTGGACACGCCCATGTAAACCTTGACACCAAGAAAGTCTTAGAACCAATCCTTTACCATTTTGGGCGTTCAAAGGAGTCCGCCTTTGGGGGGTCCCTGAAAAAACCGCGGACTCTCGTTTTGTCGTTTTTTTGGGAAGCGGACCTCGAGATGGCATGGGTTTTCCCTTTGGGTTTTCCTTAAAGACCAACCAAACGCGGGGGAGCTTCCGAGACGAGCTGCTCGCTTCGTTATTTGTGGGGTTTCAACGGGACACTTGAAGGAACACCATTTTGGAGGGCTCTGATTCCTTGAAAGAAGGACACACCACAAGTCTTTTGGATCTTTTGGTTTGCTTTTAGGACCAACACAAAGGGGGAGGGAGGGTCTCCTAAAGTTTCTTTTGCAAGTCTGTTGGTTCTTTTGCTAATCCCTAAAGACCAACCCCAGCAAAAGGGGGCGGCGCTTTTTTTTTAAAAAGGCCGAGGCACCCACAGGTCTTTCAGCTCGGTTGGAGTCGTTTTCAGCTCGGGGCGAGGCTCGGGAGTCGTTTTCAGCGGGCGAGGACTACTACACCTTGGACAAGAAGAAGCTCGGGGAGGGCTCTTATGGCTCCGTGTGCAAGGCCACCAACATCTCCACCAAGGCGCGGAGGGCGCGGTTGCCCCAGCGAGCGAGCGGAGGTCGTGGATGGTGGGGATGGTGGGCGTGTTTTTGTGTTTTTTTCCTTCTTTTTTTTGGGGGGGGGAGGCGGGGGGTAGTTGTTAAAGACTGGGGTTGGGTTGGGAAGGCAAAGGGAAATCGAAGCCTTTGGATCGCTTCTTGAAAGAAGGCATCTTCAAACATCATCTTTTAGCCCCTTTGAAGCGAGTCGTTTTTTGGGGGTCATGTTTCCAGCTTGGAAGAAAATAGATCCCTGCTTTTCTTCCTGGTTGGAAGTTGGTGCACACACCAACTTGACCTCATCTTAAAACCCTTGGCATGTTGAAAGATGCCTAAGCAGGAATAAAACCTACTTAACCTCATCTTAAGAAATCTTCCTAGCATGTTGAAAGATGCCGGGCAACAAGCAACCCAAAAAACACCAAGCTCCAAGGGAAAAAACAGACACAAAAAAAAAGAAGAAACACCCGCGGGTGCAGGCCATCCGCGCGGTGAAGACCATCTCCAAGAGCCAGATGAAGAACCTGGAGCGCTTCAAGCAGGAGATCGCCCCTGGGCCGAAGCGCAGCCGGAGGCCTTGCACTGGGGTCCCTTTGTGTGTGTGTGGGTGTCTGCGTGGCTGGGTGGCCTTTTTTGGGGGTATGTGGGTGTATGCCTTCTAGGGGACCCTGAAAGATGGGTGTAAGGGGACGCCTGAAAATGGCTTCAAAGCCGCAGAAGAAGACAAAAAAAAAGAAACAACAGAGGCGCAACTGTGCCATAGTCGTTGGATTTCGGAGAGTCAAGCAACACACTCTCAGATGTCGAACCACACGGGCTCTCGGCTCAGGTGGGTGTGACGTTTGTTGATTCTCAATGCCAGTTTTTGAGGTTGGACACCGACAGGAACACAACGAGATCCATTTCGGGGTCCAAATCCCCATTTGATACACATGCATGTTCTTGTTGGGGTAAAGTGAACAGGAAACAACCCATTTGGTGGGTCCACTCATTGTAACACACACACACACACACACACGTTTCGTTTGCAGACTGGCTAGTTTCCAACTCTGGCTTCTCCGTGAAACCATAAGGGGGGATTCTCCAAGAGAAAGGGTTCCTCCATTTTGGGTTGTGTTTGTAAAACTGGCCGAGCATTCCACCTTGATTCTGGAGTTCGAACACAAGCAGATCCTTCCCCTCAAAATCTTGCGGCCTGAGGCCATCATGAAGATGATGGACCACCCCAACATCATCAAGCTCTTCGAGTCTTTCGAAGACCACAGGACCGGTGACATGCGCATTCTAAATGCCGGGGCCATCCAGTGGAACCACTAAGACCTAGGCGTTGCGGGCCGGGGTGGACGGGGAAATCTTAACTGAACCGACGCACCAACATGTGTTTCAGACCATTTGTCAATCAAATGTATCAGCACCTGGATCGCCAATCGGCAAATTCATGGTATCATAGCAGAGGTTGATTCCCCATTGTCAACTCTCCTTCTCTTCAACCGAAGGCAGGATCCACGGGCCACTTGAGCCAACTGGGTTGTCCTTGCGGGACTGGAAGACGGCACCCAACTATCCAAGAAATCATCAGGAAGATCCACAGGAAAGGAAGCTTGTTTTTGGTGGGTATTTAAGGTCAGTGTCCTGTCAGAGCTGTCGAGGTAGCATTACAACTGTTCGCAGAGAACCAAACATAGAGAACTCATGACATCCTTGTTTTGCACAGAAGCTTTCCTCAAGCCGCCTCAAGCACCAACGCTGAACTCGCTTGAAACAAAACCTACATCGACCTTTCCTCACCTTGAGCCAACCTAACTCCAACCCAAGCTGGTGGGTATTTGGGGGGGAGGACCTTCCAAAACGGTAATTTTCCTCTTGGTTTTCTTCAAACAACCAGACAAAAGTACCCAGACAAAAAAAGAGGCACACCCATTTGTAAATCCGAGTTCCTGCCAAAAGATCTACCATACGACAAAAAAGCGCACACCCAAATCCAAGTTCCTGCAAAACAGGTCCTGGTTCTATGAATGCCGCGCCAGGAACATCTACTTGGTCATGGAGCTTTGCTCCGGCGGCGAGCTCTTCGACCGCATCATCGAGCCCGGGCCCAAACCCGGCGGTGGACGCGGGACGTGGCTGGACGGACGCGGGGAGCTTTTTGGATGGACGGGGCTGAAGGGGTATCGGTTTTGGTTGGAGCCCATTTGGCATCTGGCTCTCGCTAGCCACAATCAAAACCCGGGTAGATGAAGGTTAGTAAAGGATAATCCCAACCATAGATAGCTGCGGCCGCCTTCTTAATTCTTCAGGTGGTTCTGGGTAGACCATTTCAATACCGAGTTTTGGTTGGAACCCATTTGGGTTGGCTAAGGGAAATTCCCATAGCCAAGGGATACCCCAGACACACACTTAATTTTTGGTTGCTCTTTGTTTTTCCCTTGACCGGGTTGCAAGGGGTTGAATCGCCGAGAAATCTCTGCACCGGGGCGAGTTTTTTTTGTTTTGAGGTTTTGGGTAGACTGAAGATGAAATCGGAATATGACCATAGTCATTTTCTGTACCCCAGACGTGGGCCCAGCTTTTTTTTAATTTGGGGGGTCACTTCCAGCTTTTTTCGTTCCTTTTTTGCAGCCTCCGAGTGGCGATTTTACTGGACGTCCCGTAAATCTCCAAGGCCCAAGGTGAATCGACTTGTCGATGGCAGGTCCGGTCACTTCTCGGAGGTCCAGGCGGCCATCCTCATGCAGCAGATCATCCGCCCGCCGGCCCAGCAAGCGAGCCGCGGTCGCCCGAGGATTTCTTCGCAACTTTGGATTTGGGGAGATCCAGTGACCTTTTGGTATGTGGAACCCCGGATGAATAAACTCCAGTTGTTTATTCCCGGAAGTGGTCCGATTCACCCCTACACCCAAAAACACCCTTCCTATAAATACAGCGGGGGCTTTGTTGATCCAGGAACCCCGAAATGGTGGGTTCCCTTTTGGTTTATTCTGTTTATTCAGAGATTCTTCAGCCAACTTGAAAAGGGTAGCTACAGGTCAGTCGCCCATGAAACTTACCCACAAAGATGGAGGGACAATTGCGGCATCCACTTTCACCCTGCAGCCCTCACCGTGAATTTGCTGGTTCGCAGGGAATGAGTCGGAATGACCATCCATCCTGCGGTTGCCTCTCTGAATCCAATTTCAAAGGCTTCGTTCCCGGGACTCGGCTCAGCGGGCCTGAGGGAAGGAGCCCCAAACTGTGCGTTCCATGTTGCTAGAGCAACATATGACCCCCCCCCCCGGTGGTTTTTGGGGGCTCCATGTCAAGAATTTGAGGGAGGACCTTGAGGTAAGGGGGAGAAGGGGGGGGGATCCGCCTTTCGAACGCGAGAAGTCTCGAGAAGTTTACGTGGCAAGGGGAGGGGAGGTCCCACATTTGTGTTGGTGAATCGCTCGAGACAGCCTCTGGTTCACGAATTGGGGTGTCCTTTGGTTGATCAATCCGGGGTCGACAGGAGGGTTGTTTGAACAAAATTGGATGAAGGTCCATTGCAGACTGATACGCGAGAGAGAAGGAACCCTTTGACCAACCGGCAAGGCACAGTGCATGGCAACCAGGCACTATGTTGAGCCCCTGAATTGGGTTGTCACCAACACTTGCAAGCCGCTTTGCCAAGCAGTCAGCCCAGCAGGACCATCGTGGTAAATCAAGCAAAGGCCCCTGCAAAAAGCTGTCCTTGTGTTTGTCCCGCTGGACATCCACCTGGAGGAACACACAGGAGGGTTCTTGTCAGTTGCAAAGTCACCCAAGTGCGTTAAATAGGGAAATGATCCAAGTTTCTGAGCAGAAGTCAAAAGAAAAGGAGACCCCAGCCATAAACGGAAGCTTCATGGATAAGCTTCGTCCTGACAAGAATCCTAGGACTGCCGGTTCGCACACAACCTCCATGCATGAGCCACTCATCACCCACAATGCCCCCAAAACAAAGGGATAAGACCACCCAGTTGTCCAATCTTTGGAAAGCAATTGTGTCTGCTCCCACAATCTTGTGCTTTCCCCGCAAAAACTACAGACAAAACACACACACACACACACCAAATGAAAGCAAGGCTTGGACCTCGCCAAGTGGCTGATGACAAAGCTAGGGTCTTTTCTGGCGTCCTGGAAAACACATGGCACTCGAGGAAGGAAACTGAAACAGAAGGTTCCTACCAACATGTTCTGGAACCCAACAAAATGCCCCTTTGCGAGGAAAATTGTCTTCCAGTAACCTCCAGTTCTATGCGGGTTGGTGCGAAGATAGCCTGCCCCTCACATGGCCATCGTATCAGCTGACTTGGTCTCAGCCCATAGGTTTTGATCTGAATCCAACCGCGTTGAGCCTTGGTTGCTCCGAAGCTCAACGGCGACCCAAGGGACGGGGATAGAACATGGGCAGTTTGCCCAACCTTCTCCACACCTCGCGATCGGTGTGGGTCGAGTCGGAGCACATGGATTTTTGTGGTCGCTCTTGTTTTTGTCGTCAACCTCTGCACATTGCTGGTGCGATAGGCAGGGAATGAGGGAATGAACCAAGGGGTCCCCTTAAAGGAAACCACCAGCTGGATGGCTTATTTCGGGGTCATTCCCACTCATTCCCTGCCTATTGCACCAGCAAGTCACGCCGCTCAGGCGCCATCTACTACATGCACGAGAACCACGTGTGCCACCGCGACCTGAAACCTGAGAACTTCCTGTTCATGACCAAGGCGGGCGGACGCTTCGCATCGTTGGTTCATGGCGCGCGCGCGCAAAATTCGAGCGTGACGGGACGCTTGCAGCCTATGATTGTTCGGTTTTTGGTACGCTCAACGACACGAAGGTTGCGGGGGAGGGCTGAAGGGGAAGGGGGGAGGGGGGAGGGGAGAGTTGGGAAGCGCAGCGAAATTGGAGGATCCCATCGAGAAGAATTTCCTGAAGATCATCGACTTCGGCCTCTCCTGCAAGTTCATCCCGGCCAAGGCCTCGCCGATCGCTTCGATCCGCCGTGGAGCGATGGATCGATCGCCGAGTGGGCAAAGTTTCGACTCGGCAGCTTTTGAGGGACCGGCTTGTCGGGGGACGAAAGACCCAGCAATTCTTTCGGCTCTTGGGGGTATTTCCCAAAAGACCAGCTTTTCAATTTCTGTGGACTTACCAAACGCGAGGCTAAGCAAAAGCTGAAATTCTAGTGTTCGGGCTGTTGGCTTGGAACTTCGAAGCAAACTTCCCAGACCCGTGGGGTCCTTTTTGCCAGTTTTCGACTTGTCTTTTGGACAGGGGGTGACCCCCCCGTTCTGACTCTAAATAAAGGAGCCCCAACATGGACAGTTTTGACAAGGGCGGAAAAGGGGGCCAACACGGGTTTGCTCTTGTTTTGTGTGTACCCTTTTATTCTTTTGCTGGACTGTTTGAAAGGGGGCCAATGGGAACCTCCAATATGTTGGGGGCCTTTGTGGCGAGTCAGCCCCATTTGCCTACGTGTTTATTTCTTCCTGTTGGGGGCAGGAGAGACCTGACCTGCCATTTTCTTGAAGTTGTGTTTTTTTTTGAGTTCCCCCAGTGGCTAATACTTATTTCCTGAGTGCCTGGACTTTCGGAAACAGGGGGCTGGTTCTAGCTGTTTGTTCTTGTTTGGTGGAACTTGATAGCCAATGGAAGATGCCAAATCTCACCTTTGCAGCTTCGCATGGGCGTTTCCTTGCAAAACCTTGGCCTCTCGCCTTTTTCTTGCTGTTGCGATAGGTAGGGGAAAGACCTCTTACGGGTGTTGGGAATGAACCGAGGGGATTGAATGACCTAGTCCTGGTGTCCGGTTTTAGAGCTTCCCTGAAAGGAACCCATCGGGGATGGTTTTGCCCTTAGGCTCATTCCATTTCTCATTTCCTGCCGATAACTCCTGGAGACACCCTTCTGGGTGGCTCGTTTGTTTTCGGAGTACCCCTTTTTGGTTTAAATTGTTGGGGGTGTCTTTGTTTTGGGGGGTCCTCCAAAAAAGCATTTCGGTCGCCCTTTTGAGGCGTTCCCTTAAAGCCAGCCAAAAGAGGAATCCCCCAAAATGACAAACCCAGTTGGGCGTCCGTATATGGGCGTCTTTTTTGGGAATCGAACCCCGAAAATGGATTCGGTTCTCTTTTTGGTTTCCTGTTGAAACTAAACCAGGGCAAGACATTTCCGAACGATTCCCCCAAGCCGCATTCCTGCGTGGGGATACTCTTGAGATTTTTCCATGGAACCCAACAAAAAGCACCATCTGCAGAGGAACCTTCTTTTGGGAATTGGAGGCCCCTTGCTGGTGCTCAAGCGAAAATGGGAAGGAACCCAGGCTTTGGGTCCCTTCAAGGACACCGCAAAATGCTTCATCAGGTTCATTCCCTCGTGACCTGTCTATGGCACCAAGTGGGCTCCATCTCAATTTCTAGGCTCAATCGAATCATCATTCCATCATTCTAGGGAGTTCGAGTGGGCTCCATTCTAAGGTTTCTTCCTTTACTCCATATTTTCCAGGGGAGTAGGGACTTCGATTTGGTCCTTCTCGCTCCATGGGATGGTTCCCTTCCAATGTCGCGGCCTTCTGCTCGTGACCGAATCGCCTTCTGGAGCTGTTGGAAGCAGGCGATTTCTTGAAGCGGCGCTCCCTAGAAACACACCTGGAGCCCACAGGGTCCAATTCCCAAGAGGAGCTTCGTCCAGCGGTGGTGGTTTTCGGGTTCCATGAGTAGAGAGGTTACACCTCTTGCCCTCGCGACCGGACGCGGAACGCGCCCGCGCCAGCCGTTGTCCACCAAAGCCGGCACGCCCTACTACGTGGCCCCGCAGGTCCGGGTTCCGCTTGGACTCGGTCGGAGGCTATGGACTTTGACCATGTGACGCTGTGACAACCGTCCACGTGAACTTGCTGGTGTGTCTTTTTGTTGATGGTTCCTTTTCCTTTTTTTTTTTTTTTTAAACACATATTTTTGTTATATATAACACTTTTATTATTATTATGATTATTATTATTTGTGGTTTCAAAGGGAACCAAAAGGACACCGTTGCCATTTTGGGGGTTCCGGTTTCCAAAAAAGGACCCGCCCTGGTAACGGTGCACTTAAGGAGGGTTTCCTGGGCGGGAGCCGTTTCGATGGCGCAGATGCGATTCTGGAGAGCCACCAAATTGGCAGCCAGCTTTTCTGGGGGTATGGGTTTAGGGTTTGAGTCTGCAAAATGCGCTCTTTCAGTGTGGCTTCACATGGCTGAGAAGAGTTGAAAAGAGGGTGAAACAGCCCCCCGGTTGAGATCTCTGTCGACGTTCTATATGGGGGTTGATCATAAGGTCCGGTAAAAATAGGATGACCAACAGGGAAGCCACAAGAAAGATACGACTTTCACCATATGCGCAAAGTTGCCCAGGGTCATTTGGGAGCGCTAATTGGAATATTGATCGACCCCCATATTGTGAGGAGATGCCTAAATAAGGTGCAAAATCGTACTGTTTTTTGTTTGGTTCGGGCCAACTCCGTGAATCCGTTCCAGAGATGTGGTGGACGAGACGACACACGTAATCGCAGGCCCTTAGAAAAGAGCATTGAAACCAGTTATTTGTCATTTCCAGAAAGGCTCTCCAATTCAAAAGGGGCAAATCATAACGAGCTTGCTGATCCGGGGGAAATACAAGCGATTCCACGCAAGTCCTTTACTTCCTGCCAAGGACTTCATGCCGAGTGAAGACAAAAAGCAAATAGGACGACGGTAGGGCTTTCCAATCACCCTTTTGGGACCTACGAAAAGTGGACCAAAATGGGAAAACCCAAAGGAGAAAAGACAGGTAAAGAAGAATGAAGGAAAGGAATAGATAAAGAAAGGACACATAAACAAAAGGAAATAAAGACAACTATAATTGTGGATGAAAGAAGAACAGCCATATCTTACCAATGATATGATGAAGTACTAATAATAAAATGATACCAACAAATATTAAAGACAATTGAAATCCTCAAGGCCACCCAGATGCTGGAGTTCATCAAGAGCGTCATCAGGATTATGGGCGAGAAGGGACTGGAAGGCAAGGAAGCACAGTCCTCGCTCATAAGACTCTGTGCCCTCGCGGTGGCCGAGGCCAAGTCTGCCAACAAATACCAGAACTATTCGGTATACATGACCTGCAGGATGGCTGCCCTCCGCTCGCAAGCCACCGTTGATCAGAACGTGGCGTACCCTCCGCCATCGTATGACTTCAGCAAGGTGTCTGAGTACGGACGATTGGGACCTGCGCTGAGAGAAATCGTCTCAATGCTTCACAGCTTGTGCCAGGTATTTTCTCCCTAGTGCAACTTTTTGTTTCCAGGTCCTTTGGGCAAGTGAGACATTGGTTGCATGTTTTTTTGCAGTGCGCTTAAGGCGGGAGAACCTGAAAGGCTACCCTTTTCAGCGTGCTTGAAAGGGATATCAAAAGGAAGAGCACTTTTCCCGGGACCGCGGCCCCTACTTGCCACACTGAAGACCCGGGTAGTGGAGGTTTAGGAGAGAGTCCCCTTCTGGAAAGCGGATCGCTGATTGTGGCTCACCACAGATTTATGTCGTGTCCAAAAATTGGAATCGGACCCCCCCACAAATTGCGTTGTTTCCTTCGGTTTCCCCTTAAACAACACATATCTAAAACACCCCGAGAAGGACAAACCCGTTGGCCTCCGCATGGGGCTGGCTTGGAAGTTGTTTGTGACAGCCTACCGGGCCCCAACAACCCAACCTCTCACATCTTGGAACCCCGGCTGGCTCAAACAGGTATGTGACAATGGCGGGCTTTCCTTCTGATTTTCCTTCAAACCAACCTCAGAAAAGGTGCGACCCCCATAGAAATCTCCAGAACCACGGTAAAACAAGCAAAGCGCAAAACGCGAGCCAACCTGACCAGTAACCCAAACATTTTTTTAAAAGTATTAACACACACACACAAACCAAGGTAAAACAGGAAAATCCCCTTGAGGCCACCCCGGCCCCCTTCCCCCCCTTCCCCCCCCGCCCCCGCCCCCCCGGCGTCGGATTTCGGCCGCGACGCGCCGCAGCCCTTTGCGCGCCAGGTCCTGGCCGGGAACTACGACCAGCTCAGCGACTTGTGGAGCTGCGGCGTCATCATGTACGTGCGGGGGCTGAATTGGAGACTTTGAGATGTCCGCGCGTATCGATACATATGTACACGTATATAGCCATGAAATTTTCTAGGGAATGACCCGAGGAGTGGTTGGTGGACATGAATCCTCACCTAAATAATTGACGTTTCCTTGAACACGAAAGAGAGAGAAGCGGAGAGAGAACCAGACAGAGAGAGAGAGAGAGAGAGAGAGATAGAGAGAATCAGACAAAGAGCGAGAGAGAGAGAGAGAGAGAGAGATTTGCCATTTGGGTCCTTTTGGGGAGTTCGAAGACTCAACGAGGAAACCCGCCCTTTGGGGAGTTCCGAACCCGAAAATGGTTCGATCAGGTGCTCCTGTGCGGTTACCCGCCTTTCTTCGGGGACACGGACTCGGAGGTGCTCGCCAAGGCGGCGGAAGCTGTGCGCGTCGGAGGGATTTTTGTGTTGGGGGGGGGGGGCATCCGACCTAAAAGGTGAGTGTCCCTTGGGGGTGATGCTTTAAGGGGAAATATAGGGAGCCCTTGATCTCGTTTTTTTTGGGGATTCCTGGTGGAATGGCACCTCCAAGGTCCCGTGGTAGAGTGACAAGGGAAGCCACTGGGAAAGTGACAGACTAGTGGGGATGGTGGTTTTGGTGCGGACAGTGTGTGATTTCCCACTATCCAATCAGATCGGGCTTGCCCAGAAGAACAGCTTTGGTCTTCGAACTTTCCATGATTGGAGGGAGGTATGACCTGATGAGTGTTGGATTTCCTCAAGAAAGAATTCCAACGATAATTCTGAATGACCGTGCTTATTCAGGGGAGGCTTCTCTTTTACTGGTCAAGTCTCTTTTTTTTTGCATGTCTCGCTAGTGCGGTGATTGGATGACCAGATGAGTGATACTGCTACGGATCAATATCCTCCTGGATGAATTACAGAGGGGTATACAAGATCTGGCTCAAATTCTAGACTACCCAGCGAGCACCAGTCCATCATCCACTTGAATCCGTGGTCAACATGTTTCTTTTGTTAATGATTTGGGGTGTGTCTTTTGTTACGGAGTCCCCTTTTGGGTCGTGTTAAAGGGAAACCAACAGGAACACCATGTTGAGGGGTCCACTAAAAAAGCACACACACACACACACACACGCACACCGATTTACCCCACTAAACACCCCCCCCCTCTTTAAACCCCCCCCTCTTTAAACCAACCCCCCCCCCCCACCCGCCACCCCCGCCCCCCCCGTTTTGGGGATCGGGATCGTCCCTTGGCTCGCGCAGCTCGCGATCCCTCGCTCCCTCGATCCCTCGCAAGGTGCGCCTGGGCAACTTCAGCTTCAACCCCGCGGACTGGAAGAACGTCTCGGAGGACGCCAAGACGCTGATCCGCCCGGACGCCCAATCCGAATGCCTGGAAGCGACCAAAAAAAAACCCAAGGACAAAGGGCCTTCGGCTTCTTTGTTTCCCCTAAACTTGGCCATAGCCGCATTCCGGCCTTCACCTACAGGCGCGTTTTGCTTTAAGCTGACCTGGCCCCCTCTGAATCTCCCCCGCACTGATGGCAGGAAAACGTCTGCCGGGCGGCCTTCACAATTGTGTGAGTGAAATGTACATAGGGGTGCAAGCAACCACCTGCCTCAGCAACATTGCCACCACCGCCAACACAAACACCAGCCCCGCAGTTAGAACAGGGGGAAAGAAAGAAAAAAGGAAAGAAAGGAACAAAGAAAACAAGGAAGGAAGGAAGGGAAGGGAAAAGAAAGGGAAGAAGGAAGGAAGGAATTAAAGAAAGGCAAGGGAAAGGATGATGTCCCCCTTTAAATTTATCCGCCCTTCAGAATAGATGTCTTCTGTTGGCTGGGTTGTGGAGGTTTGGGGGGGGAGAGCATTTTCTGGAGCAACGGAGCCGTGTTTGTACTGGGGCTCTGCAGGCTCTGCGATTTGGACAAATCGCAGTGACTAAGGTTTCTTACCGCCTAGATAGCCAAGTTGCCGATTCTTTCCAGCCACCTTCGCCCAAAAACCGTCCTTCAGCAGCTGCCGGGGAAGACCGGAAGACCCAGGCCACCTGCTGAAGATGAACCCCAAGGACCGGTACACGGCAGAGCAGGCGCTGAACCACGAGTGGATCAAGAACAAGGCGGGGGGTTTGGGCGGGGGAAGGGTTGTGGGGCAGCACGCTTTGAACATTTGGAGGCGCGAAGCCGGCCCCTTTTTGGCAAAATCAGGTGGAACACCCCAAAGTTGTAGCGCCTTGCTGCACATTGGGGGCGTCCCTCTTTTCCTGGCTCATGGGTGGGCAGACTTCAAGCTCTTTGGAGGTTCCCAGCCGTCCGGTTCCCAAGTTTTGTGCTTTCAGGGTTGTGCAGGGGCGGTCATTTCACCCACAAGTTGAACTTTTTGCAGATCTGAAAACGGATGATTCTGACATCAAGCCACGGTTTTTAGAGGCCCAGCTTTTACGGGCTTTTCCAGGGATGGGGTCTGAAGGTAGATGACATATATAAAGGTTATACAAATTCCCACGCTAACTCATGTTGGTGGTATACCAGAACCCATACCTCCAAAACCCCTACCTCCAACTGGGTCTGCCCTTTTCTTGGCGTGCCCGTTGCCCGTTCTTTTGGGTGCGTTTCTCTTCGGGCGGCCAAGAAGGACCCAGGGCTCCCACTCCCCGACCCCATCACACGCGCGAGCGGGAGGCGCCGAAAGCCTCCAGCGTGGCGCTGCAGTCCAACTTTGTGGACAACTTGCGGGGCTTCCGGTCCCAGAACAAGCTCAAGAAGGCCGGCAAATCGCGATTCGCGGCTCGCGGTTCGGGGGCGCCTCTCGCTCCGGTTGAGTTGAGTTCTGTCGGACCTAGACAAAGTTCGGATTCTGGTTCTGATTGAAGCGGACGTGTGCTCCTTGAGTCCGGACCATCTTGGTGGGAAACAACATGTTCTTTTTGGGGAGACGATTTTTATGAGTGGAAGGGCTCTCTCTGGGAGTTTTCCGTTCGACACGGACTTGTTTTCTCCTTTTTGAGTGTGACCCATTGTTTAGTATACTTTTTCTGGCCGTTCCACTCAGTTCCTCAGCAGAAAAGATACTTTGGTTGACAAGCCTCGCATTGCGTGCTTCGCATGGATTTGTTGGAGTTTCCTTCTTTGTTATGACGAGCTCACTTAGGGAATCGGCAAATGGAGCTCACCCTGCTGGAAAGAAACGCCTTATGGGTGAGGCGTCGTGTTTGCATGGTTGGACGTCTCCCTGGATCGACTTGTCGCTTCCCCTAATTCCCTGATGCGCTAGGGTTCTTGAAGCTGAATAGTGTGGCGCCTTCGCGGGCAGGAGTTTGCATGAGGGACTGAACCAAGTACACAACTCGATCAACATGCTTCCCAAAACATGGACTCTGTGCCCCGGGTTGCAAGCAAAGAACAGTCCGGCTGCGTCCGTTTTCTGGGAACCCCCGTTTTCTCAGCAACCGAGCCACATGGCACCAGCCTCGGTTCCATTTTCTCATTAGGGGACTTGATACATTCCCCCTGTGCCATGGGCCGTAAGATCCACTACCTCTGACCCATCCACCATACGGACTGCGGCGGTTCTCGCTGGGTATGTTCTCTTTCTCAGGCGGCCCTGCACATCATCGCGGGCCAGCTTAATGAGGACCAGATCAAGGCGAGGGGCAGTGTTTTGGGCATGTGAACACCCAACAATGATATCCGTCAATAGGACTTCTCAAGACCGATACTGGTCAAGCTTCAACACTGAGAGGGGGGCACCCAAAACTGATACCCCAGTATTGCTGTCCGTTCTGCAAGTCCCCCATGTCCCGAGCCCTCAACTGAACATAGTCTCTTAGATATCTTGACTAAACCCCGTAATCATATGCGGGGTGTCCATTTTCAGAGCAACTTCTTCCAGTCTTGGCTTCATAGGATCTGGCTACCAGCCCTGTGTAAATGGTTGCTGGTTTTAATGCGGAACGTCCAGCACAATCCATGTGGAGCACGAATCGTCCCACATTGAGTAGGGTATGGGTCAAACTGGAGGGACCCTCAAAATGGTGGTTTCCTTTTGTTTTCCCTTCTCACTAAACTGAAAAAGGTTTCTCTCAAAAGACAACCACAACAACAAGGGCAATCACACAGTTGGACTTTGGCTCATGTGAGCCCATGTCAAAATCGTTGTCTATTGGTTACAGGAGTGGACTGGAACTGAAACACATGAGCGACGGAGGCCTACTTTACTTCCACTTGAGACCTCTATACCATCAATGCCTGTAAAATGGTGGCTATCTCATCCTATTTCCTTTGGGGGGCGATCCAGGCCTTGGTTGAGGGAGAGGAAATCGCCAGAATGCACCTTCCCTAAGTTGGTTTGGGACCCCAAATGAATCAATGTGGCTGATTGAAGGGAAAGTGAATGGGACCCCTCCTGGTAATCTACCAGGATTAAGGGCTTAATCCTGGTTCAACACGAATCTTCAGTGTTGCTTTGTTAGATTTGAAGCCTTTCGGATAGGAGCATGGTCCCAAGCGAAACGAAAGGACGCCTGCTTCTTGCGCTCCCAAATTGAACAGAAGCAAGGAGGAAGCATGAAGCACGAGACTCCATGGGAGCTGGAACTGGAACTTCCAGCCAAGCCAAGGGGAGCCTGGCAAAGGGTGGGGAAAGTTGGGTTGGCTTAGATTCTGAGGAGAAGTTCCAGAGTGGTTGAGCGGCAAGACTTGGCAAGCATGCCACATATTCCTGGGTGTATGATCAAAATAAGGTTGACCCTAGCCAGTTGTGGAATTTCGGCGTTGTTCGGATGGTCCCGGCTTCTGCGACAAATGAGAACCTTCTTCTTCTGAGATAGAAGTTTTTAGAAAGGCCTGACTGATGTTGGCAACTGATCAATCTCCAGGAAATTTATGGCCCCCTTCTTTGGGAATCTCCTTGCGAAAGGTGTTCCCCGGTTTACCACAAATCCAACGCATCCTTGGGATACCTCTGGATCCTTCCAACGCAAAACACAAACAAACAACAAGAACAACAAGAAGACAGGTCAACCTCCACGGAACAAACTGCACAACTATCGTTTGACTTGGTATTTTCCTTTTCCCGGATTTGGAACCACCAAGGGCTGCCCACTCGATGGCTCAGCCAAAAGCCGAGCTTCATGGCATCATACAATATCGGTTGCTAGTTCATTTGGGTAGCACCCCTTCAGACAAGACTCGAGCCCTTGGTCGAAATCTTGCTCTGATTTTTCATAAGGTTAAATCCCCACATGATGTCCCTGCGAAGGGCCCGACATAAAGTTCACACCCACCTGGTTTCTCCTCCAAATGTGTTTTCTCCCTTTTTAGGGCACCCTCCCGTCAATCATGGAAGCTGACAAGAAGGTGTGGGAAGTAGACGAGAAGGCTTTCCTGTTGTGGAAGCCACAGATCAAGCACTTCTATTGTTGGAAAGAGGGCAGACACAGCCACACACACCGAAGACCCCATGTTTGTTTGTTTTTGTTTCGTTTTTTTTTTTTTTTTTTTGGGGGGGGGAGTGGTTGGGATCCTATGACTCACAAAACACGGGTTTTCGTTAGGCCCTGCGCGATACCTTCATGGGCCTGGACAAGAACGGCGCGGAGCCGAGCTGAAGTTCTTCCAGATTTGACTTGGTGGTTCCCAGCCATCCCCTTAGCTTGTAGCTTTTTAGTGTTTAGTGGGGATTTCCACTTCACCCACCAAAAGTTAAACTTTTACCAGGGGATGCGAGGACAGCCCAGTTGAGTGTGTTGTTTGTTCAGGGTACCCTGCCTCCCATGGCAGCTGACACAGGGTACCTTCAAGAGGAACACCTATCTTCCAGGTATTTGTTGGAGAGAGGGTACCTTTTTCTTTCTGGTGCTCAGCAGGGAATGACCTTCCGGGGCTGGGAATGAACCGGATCCGGGGATTCCCTCAAAGGAAGCCGTGGGGGATGGATGGCTTTTTCATTCCCTGCCTACCGCACCAGCAAGAAAAGCAAGAGAGGGCAAGGGGTTGCAAGGAAGCACCCTCCGTGTGAAGCGAAGCTGCACAGGTGAGTCTTGCCTATCAAATCATCCAGTCTGTTGGTTGCTGCGATAGGCAGGGAATGAGAAATGGAATGACCCTAAGAAGAAAAACAAAACATCCAACTGGTGGTTTCCTTTATTCGGGGACCACAGCCTGGGTTCATTCCATTTCTCATTCCCTGCCTATCACGCCAGCCAGCAAAGTGTCCTTTTACAAGAGTCCTTTTAGCAAAATAAGTGGGGGCATAAAAACCTCCTCTAAACCAGTGGAACCCATCTGTTTCTAACCAATCTTTGCCCTCAAAAGCTTGAACCAGCAAGTTTTAGGGTTTGGCTATCTGGATCTGTCGTTTTTTTGGGAGTTGGTCCCCCCCCCCCCCCTACTCTCCGACCCCCTGCGCCCCCCTTCCCCCCCTACCCGCCTACCCCCCCTACCCCCCCAACCTTACCCGCCTACCCCCCCTACCCCCCCAACCCCCGCAAGCAAAGGGGACGCCCACAGTCGGGGGCCCGGATCCAGGCGATGGCCTGCTGACCCCGGCCGAGCTCAAGGAAGGCCTCCAGAAGGCGCGGGAAGCGGCGCCAGCGGCCCCTTTTTTATTCCGGGCTCCTGAAAAGACCGATACATCTTGCCACCATTTGAAACATGTGGCTTTTTCAACACCAAAATAAAGTTGGACACCACCCATTTACAAGGCAATGTTCGGGTGAATAATGCAAGGATCCCTGTTGTTTATTTTTTCTCGGTCGGACCGAAGGACCCGGACTCGTTTGGTTTGGAGCCGAGAGCGCCAATTGTTTTGGTGCAGGAATGTTTTGTTCGGTTTGGTGGTGTAGATGGCGATGTTTCCCACGGGTTTGCCAGTTCTCAGGGCCTCCTTTGAATGTTTGGGTGGAGGTTTTTCAGGGGACTTAGTGGAGATCCTTGGAAGGCAGACAGTCGGAGCGAGATCGGGGCGAAACATCTTGAGGATTCTGATGTTGGGTGTATCTCGTGTAAGGTTGGACCCCCCAAATGGTGGTTTTCCTTTTGGTTTCCCTCCAAGCCAATCTAGAACCATTCAAATGATCTAGGCCCGCATGCTCCTCGGTTTTGGGAGAGAGTAAAAGGGTTTGAAGATCCTTGGAAGATCCAACGGAACCACATCGGACTATCCCAACACACAAACAAAGCACAATGTTTGGAACAAGTGCTTGGATGCAGTGGCAAGTGTGCCTGCACCTTTGCTATGCCCAGTTGCAGGTGCGACGTGCTTGTGCAGCAATATTTGGATATTTTTGTTTGAATCGGGATATAACTTTTGTGCCAAAAGGCTTCCCCAAAACCCAGAAACCAAAGAGCACTTGAATCCGTTGGGTTCCGTTCCAAGTGCCCTTTGATTTCCTTTTCGGGTGTGGCCAAATGAACGAACCCGGTTTGAATCGTTGTCATTCCGTTTCTTTTCGAAACCATGCTACCACTGGAGCTTCCGGAGATACCGCTGTACATGCTGGACAGGTTGGTTCATGAAGACGTGCCTGAACGTGGGAAGAAGCAAATAAACATAATAAGTATAAACGGAATGAACTGGGACGAATAGAAGAGTTTTTGCGTTATCTTAGCCATTCTGCAGTAGTGATATATGGACCCGAGACGATTGATGATGGGGCCGCCTGTGGTGGTCTTCCTTCTTTCCATGAAAAACAACAATCAACATGTTGAGGGAGATGCAGAGCACTCGTGTGGGGAAGGGATTTCTGGAGAGGTTCCGGAACTGTGCGGGGGTGTCCGAGCCAGTTTTCTTTTTGTTTTACCGTTTGGGGGCGATTGTTTCAAGGGAAGCCAGTAAATTGATCAACTTAAGAGGAGATCTTCAGTGCCCCGCGCTTTTGCAGGGAATTTGGTGGAATCTCAAGTAAAAATAAATTTGCTTGGTATAACAAATGGTTTTAGTAGTACAATTTTCACAAAAAAAAACAGGTTATGGATTAGCCCCGGCGCAACGAAGAGCGCGAGGCCGGTTTGAAGGAGATCCCTCCGGATCTGCAGCAGATCATGGAGGCAATCGCTTGGGAGAGGGCGGCTTTTGTCGTTTTTTTGGTCCAGCGGGGCCCACCAGATGGTCAGTTTTTTTGTTGAGGGTATGCCTTGTTTGTGGTTTTTTAAGGGAAAGCAACAGGAACAACGCCTTGTTTTTTTTTTTGTGGGGTGGGGGGTGGGTGGTTGGTAAAAAGTAGACACGCCCATGTCATGTCTTTTTTGGGGGATCTGATATTCTCGCCTGAGCCACAATCAGCACCAGGACAAGTCAGGGTTAGTGAGGAACAATCTCAGCCAGAAATCGGTGCGGCTATCCGCCCTTTTAAATGTTTACCTGGCCCCCTTTAATACCAGGTTTTGATCATGTTTAAGGGAGACGCATCCGGGATCCTATATGGTAACCCACAGGCGTCCTGTTTGGCAACCCGTTTAGATCTTGTTCTCGCTTGCTTCTGTTTGTGCTTACCCGGGGTCCCTGCTTGAAGGCGGTATCACCGTATGGTGATCACAAGTTCTTAGGCCTTTAGACCTTCAAACAGTTGGGTCAATGACCCCAACAAAAGCGCGTTTGGCCAAGGCTTTTTAACTTCATGTCCGGTCAGGGGAGGGCACTCAGTGATGATGCCATCCATGATTTAAGGAAGTACCCTCCTGCTTCCCCTTAGGTAGCTGCTGGTTTGTTTTTGAACGTTTTTTGTTTTTGTTTTTGTCTCTCTTTTTTTCCCCAGGCCCGCTATGAGAAACCCTGCCGGCGCTTTTTGTCAGGACGTGGACGCGGACGGCAGCGGCGTCATCGACTACACCGAGTTCCTGGCTGCGACCCTGGACAGGCGCATCCGTCGGTGGCGCGTCGGTCGTGCCACTGACTTGGGGATATCCAAGCCCCCAACGCATCCATATAAGTGTGCTTTTTTTTGGGGGGGGACCCCCAAAACGGTGGTTTTGGTTCCTTTTGGCGTTCCTTTAAAGGGACCAACAAATGTGCACCCTTCACAAAAAGACCCACCATGTCACGTTTGCTGAACATTTGTGGTTGTCTATGGTTCATTTGGGATGGACATGCGATTCATTAAATGTCCCGCAAAAACAGGGACTCACTGTCCATGTCCTCTTGGGGAGTTGTCCAAGGCGAATCGACCTTTGAGCCAGATTGGGTTTCCCAAACAGATTTGAGCGTAACATGCCTGATAGGGGCCAAAGAAGGCGAAACAAGACAGGGTTGTTCCGAACCTCAAACTCTGGCCAAATCGCAAGGGCACGTATATGCATAGATACACATAAATAGACATACATATACATAGACGTACGTATACATATATATATACACATAGATACAAATGCATACAAGTACAAATACATACATAGGCATACATATTCATGACCACACATGCATATACATGCATATGTTTTCGCGGCTCACCGTTGCCCAAACCAGTAAGTGTTTTAGCAGGATGTGATTCTCGCCCCGGTTTAGACATATTACCAGCTGCTTTGAACACCTTTGGGTTCCACCCTCCGGGCGTTTTTTTTGCTTCCCCCTGCGGGGTGTCTCAAGATGGCGGACCCCTTTTTGGGTGGTTTTAAGGGGAAACCAAACGAACCATCCCATTTCCGGGTGTTTCACTATTTTGAGAAATACCCACATGATAATATTGCCATGGCAGTCTCAGAACTCCCCTATTCGAGATATCGCTGGAACCAGAAGCTATATGCCCCCAACAAAGGCGCCCACATGGGTTCTGCACAGATTTGTTTTGGAAGGAGCTCACCAATCGCGGGTGAAACGCGTGATTGATACCGCTTCTTTCTCTTTTTTTTTCCGCATTGTTTTGTTTTCGGGGGGCGGGGGGGGGGGGGGAGTGGCGGGATATTGTTTGAGTTTGAACCAGTAGGAGTTCTTGGGAACCCCAGTTGGTTAAGAAGCCTCTCGTAGGATTGTAATCGGGATGGACCGCACATGAGCAGGGATGAATGGTCTATTTTGCCACAAAACGGCGGATCGCCCACGTTGTTTAACGGGAGGTGTCTATGCACCAGTCAGATCGCAAGTTGGGCCTTATTTCTTGCGACCTGTGCATCCGCCAGGCGCCAGTACATTCAGGAGGAGACAACCGACTGCTCTGGAGCTTTGCGGTGAATCCCCGGTGCCAGATAGACCTCCTTTGTGCCGATGCTTTCTTTTGGCTTCCCTTAAATATCAACCAGCTAGGAACAAAACAGATCCATTGGAGGTCGGGTAACTTCACCTTTTGGGGCCGGTGTGGGACTGGGGGAGGTCTGCCGGCGCTTCTAGGGAGTCGGTTTGTTCCCTGGGCTGCCATGGCAGAACCAAAGACGAGCGATACCGTTGCTACTTTTGAAAGCCGACATCTTCTTTCGTTTTCGCCGCCTCAGCTTCCCCTCCCTGGAGCTGGAAGCCCAGACCGTTTGCCGGAAGATTTGCCGGTTTTTTTTGTCCAAAATGAGGGCTGAACTGGGGTCACTTGCCCGGCTCCGTTGTGCACCCAAAGGATACAAAGGATGCAGTATCATGGACAGTCACAAATGAGCCACAATTCATCTCGGGTAGATGAAAGGAGGAACAATCCAAAGCATAGCTGCGTCTTCCCTTTTAGTTTGTCACATGGATTTTTGCGAAGACAACATTAATGACAGGTTTTGATAGTCCCCGCGCTGAGTCTCCAAGTTGCAGGTCTTGTTCTGAGGAAGGCTTGCTCGACGAGTGCTTTGCCGATTTAAGTGCCAACTAATCACAATGGGTTTGTGGGGTCTGAGAGTTGGTTGCAAACCTCACGCAAAGATGATGCTAGACGACAAGTTTGGTTTCCTCGGCCCAAGTTTCTCGGGAAGCGAGTTGAAGCCTTTGGACCATGGCAAAGATTTGCTTGTTTACCAGCAGCAACATTGCCTTTTGCGGGTCAATCAGTATCCCCCAGCCTTCAAGATGGGCTTTTGCACATTTAGGGGTTCCTCCATGCTCAAGGGTCAAAAGGGTAGAGGCTGAGGAGCAATGGCCCAGAGGGAAGGTTCCATGTCACCAAGCACTTGGGAAGGGGTCAACAAAACCGTCTTCGGGTTGCCTTCCATATATTTTTTTCAAGCAAGCTTGGTTTCGAGTTGGAACGGGGCGAACAAAGCCACCTGGCTCGGGGCGCCTTCCAATTTTTCAACCTCCCCGGGCCTCAGGTTCTCGGGTCGACCCGGACCCTGGTGGGAACCTCACTGGGAGAGTCAACAAATATGTCTCTGCCTGTTGGGCCTCCATGGCACGGGTTCATGAGTTTTGTGTCAGCTGGTACACCCTGGGGCTGCAAATCCATGAGAAGGTTTGTCAAAAGTAGGGGCCCTTGTTGGTTCCCCTTCATCGGTGGCACTAGGCGGCGCTGACCAAACGACCACCATATTTTTCTGAGAACCCCCCGCGCCAGAGCATCTAGGTCTCAGGGAACGAAACCCAGATGCGGGGGCCCGAGAAGAAATTTGACCGCGAAGTCCACGTCCAGGACGTCTGCTGGTCCGCCTTCAGAGTCTTCGACCGGCAGCTCGGCCGCCGTTGCGCCAGGTCCTTCGGGACCCGTGCTTAAGTTGGGTTCTGAAAAGACCAGACAAGATCTGCTTTTGTTTTTTTCTCTCTGAATTCTTTACTTGGGGGTTAATGAGGATGGTTATCTTCCTGGTAAGCATCCAAGCCACGATCATGATTCCGATGAAAACCTGTGGCCCAATCGGCCATAGGAGTTTTGACCATGGCTCATGGGAGTTGTCGCAGCTCATGGAGCTGCCGGTGGGCCAACGTACCCACAAAATTGGTCCTTCAGCGTGGCCTTCGGCGTGGTTTTCTGCGAGGTTTTCTGCGTGTTGGATGCTCACCTTTTTTTTGGCCTCCTACTTGCCCTTGCAACCTCCAAATGTTGAGACATCTCGAGCCCCGATCTTTCCCGCCGTGCAAAAGCAGCCCACATCCTGCGCGGGTTCTTCTACATAGCGCTCTGGGGCTCCCCCTGTGGATCCCCTTTGCAGAGAACAAAAAGAGTGCCAAAAGACCTTATGGCTATTTGAGAACGGATCTTTGGGCTTTAACTTTTTGCGAAGTGGATCTTCCATTGGATCTTCCGAGGGGTCAACTGCAACCAAGCAGAGAGCAGCGAAGGGCGGATTCCACAGTTGGGGCATCCTATTTTTTTGTCGGGATGTTCTTTGCCCCAAAAGAACTGAGAGCAGAAAGTTGGTTTACGAAACACCGAAAGCATGGCTCGAGTGCCCAATTCATCCTGTTTGGCCCTCATTTCACACACAATCATGGGAATTCGAGCGAGGTTTATTTGGTTTTGTTTTTGACAGCCCCCCCCCCCCCCCCAGGAGGTTGGTGTTTTTCTGGTTTCCCCATGCCCGTTTCGGCTTTCCAGTGGCTTCGAGGAACGGCGACGGCAAGATCTCGCAGGATGAGCTGAAGATGGTGCTCAGCAACGATCAGGCTGCACCTCGGAAGCAAATCCAGACATTGACTGGTAGAAGCCAAATCGCCCAAGCGATCATGTGTGCATCCGAAAGGGACTGATTTGTCAGCACCGTTGGTGAATCTTCAACGTCATCTATTGCAGAGGGAATGCCATTGGGAGCACTCACCAAGTCGCCATTTGAGAATGGGGTTGCTCACCAAACTCGCGTGTCAGTTGGGGACACACGGAGTATAGCTCAATTGTAACGAGCCGACAACTATTGTATAAGATATATATATATATATACGTTCCGTATCATTATGTTCTGTGTAGTTTATAGCTCACCTGGAGATTCCTTATTTCCGACCTGTATAGGCATGGCAGTAATGCCCATAACTTGGAGTTGGAGCCACAACGGGAACACGAGAAGGTATTGTCCTTGCACTGGCACAGGGAAAGCAGCTCGTGGGATGGTCTGAACCGCAACCTAAAGGTTGCCAACCGGCTTTTTGGGTCCATTTTTTGCACACCCTCACCAATTTGGAACACGGGATGGATGAAGCCAGTCGCTGCATGAAATCCAGGTCGCCGATCATTATTAATTATTGTTTTTTGCGATATGGTTTGTGAGATGGTTTTCTTGATTTTCTCAGCTCAAATATTGAAATTTGTGCTTTCTTCCCAGTCGGTTTTTCCCAGTTGGTTTGGACATGGTCATGACACCCTTCCATTTGGGTGCGTGTCAAAATAGCGGAGTTTCCCTTCCAAAGAGAGAAGAGCTTCGGGCTTCCCCCTCTCTGGATCAATTTGTTCACCCCAAGGATTGGAGCCCTTTCAAAAAAAAGCAATCGGGACCGGAACCCTTGCTGACTCACGGGTCAGTCAGGAGAACGGACAGCCACCATGCCGGCCCGAAGCTTCGGCGGGCGCCGGCGCCGATTTCCGCCATGTCCACTTCCCCCGCCCGATCGGTTGCGACCGACTCGCGCGGTTCCGCGGTTCCCCGAGGTGGAGGACACCCTGGGCCACGGCATGATCATGGAGCTCCTGAAGGAGGCGGGGACGACTTCTTTTGGTGGCCATTTGGCTGTTCTTGCTTTTCTGAGTTCCTGGACTATACGCTTTGGGAGTGCCATTGTAGTGGCAACATAATATACACAAATGGCTGTGGCTCAAAAAGTCGGGGAACCCCAAAATGGCTTGCCTTAGGAAATGGAAGCATGGACTAAAACCTGCGGTCCAATTCCTGGTGGTTTAATTTTGAGCCACACCCATTTGGCTGTGGCTCAAAAGCATGTCACCAAAATGGCGCCTTGGTAAATGGAAACAAAGGCTAAAACCTGCGTAGCCCTGGCTCTTTAATTTTGAGCCACACTCAGTTGAAGAGTCCTCTCGGCCTCTCGAAAGTGGTTGGACATAGCAACCCCCGCCGATGTCCGAAAACGTCCAAAAGAAGATCAGACAACCCCCAGTTTGGGGTCCTTGGGGTCCCCTCATGAGCAAAACTCAGCTGCCAGGGCGGAGTTTGTAGGCCAGGCCCAAGGTTGGAACCTGCCCTCCCAGCAGGCTCCTCGATTTTTTTTGGGGGGAGACGGGGATACCCTGGTTCAGGGTTGTGGGATCAAGGGGGTTTTCCCCACTTCTGTGATACAAGGGAATCTCCCCCTTTATATGGGGGGTTAGTTTTTGGGAAGCCCTTTTTGTTGTATCACAGAAGTGGTCATTCCCCACAGCCCTGCCCTGGTCGGTGGAATGGACATTGGGAGGATGCGATCCCCGATTTTGAGCCAGACCCAAGGGTAGAGTTGTCAAAAAGAGGGAGTTTGTCCCTTTGTTACCTTGTTGTTCCTCAAAAAACGGGCCGTGCCCAAGTGGGTGGGTCTTTTGCTGGAGGTGCCCTTGTTGGAGTTGTTTGACAAGCTGAAGCCAATCGGTGCGTGGGGCCCGTTCTTGCGTGTCTTTCTTTTGGCAATCCTCTATCCAACAATCATGGAAGTGGACGATCAGGGGCTTCTCACAAAGGAAAGCAGTTGTCTTTCAACACCCTCCAGCTAGCGTCCACGATTGTTGGAGGCAATTAAGTCCTTGTCAATTTGTTTTGTTAAGGAACCGGAAGCCATCAGCTTGCCGATGAAAAACTGGGAGGAGGGCGATTTTCACCCTCCCCGCACAGCACCTTCAAGTGAACCTACCTGTATCTGGGTCGGTGTAGGAAGTGGTCCGCACAAACTTCAACACTCAACATGTGGGTCTGTCTGTTTTTTGAGGGTACCTCGTTCTTGTGGTTTTAAAGGGACACCAAAAGGGCCCTGTTTTTCTTCTTTGTCTCTTTTTTTTTGCGGGGGTTACCCCGAAAAAAAAACCACACCCATTTATATAAGGCTTGGACACTTCCTGACTTGTCGTCTGGTCCACTTGGGCTGAGGGGGGACATGGGAGAACTCGGCAACTTGCCACAAGAAACAGTTTGACTCTAAAAGGGGCGAACTAGGGCTTTCTCCCCCCCTGAGTTTGGACTCGGACTTTAGTTGGGTTTGGATAATTTTAGTGGCAAACAGCAAGTTTGAATACGTTGTTGGGCTAATCGACTCAGAAGTCAGTAGTTTTGACCCTGGGTTATTGGAGAGTATCTCAGACGTGGGGGATCCTCAGACGTGGGGATCCCCCTCAAACCGAGCCAAACCACGAGTTCGCCCAAAGACGTCAGCCCTTTTTTTGGGTGACGGGATGTCACATGCCCCCTCCCCCCCTCCCCATTTTGGGGGCTCTATGCAGAGACACACCCTTCCCCACAAGCAGTGGGTGCACCCGAATCCCCGCCTAAATGGACCAGAGGGTTCCCGATGAAGACGCACAAAGTTAGCTAAATCCACTCAGTGACCAATCCCCATTGGCCGTTCTAGTTGGTTCTACGCCGGTTTGAGTTGGTTGATAGCCTATGTAAGCCTTCAGGTGGACGGCAATGGCGACGGCGTCATCGACTTCCAGGAGGGATTCGCACATGGCAGCGGCTATGCGGGGGTTCTATGGGTGTGTCTCTTTTAGGAGTCGGACCCCGACCCCCCCCCCCCCCGCCAAAAAATAAACAATGTAAAATGAACATAGCGTAGAACAAAACAAACCACAACATGAATATTATAGTTTCATTCCGGTTTCTCCAAAAAAGAGACGCCCCTATCTTTGGGCAATCCCAGGCTATGTTTATTTTCCTCTTCTTGGTGGCTCCCAGCCATCCGGTTCCTTTGCTCTTTAGCTTTTTAGTGTTTAGCGGGGATTTCCATTTGACCCACTTGCAGTGAAACTCATAGCGGGGGATCTGAGGACAGCCCAGGATGTTTTGTAGGGTGCCGGTTCTAAGGGGCGGACCTGTTTAGGGATACCTGTTCTGACACTCTTCCACCTTTGGTTCCCATGTCGACCAAATCTCGCGCAAGCGCCCAAAGCCCCGCCAAAAGGGCCATCTTACTAGGTACCTGGCTTTGGTTGATTTTGCCAAGCCTTGTGCAACTGTACTATGTTGGTTTGAACCAAAAGAGATCCTTTGACGCTAGTGGCACCCTAGAATTCCTTTTGGGCGTTTGTGGGTGGGGTGTTTTTGGAGCTTTCTTTGGTCTGGGCAACCAAAAAGAAAGCCACCATGGGTCCACTGTTTTGGGGTGGGCGAGATTCGTAGACCAACCCAAACTAGGGGTGTGCAATATCTGCCGTCGGCCGCGAGTTTTCAACTTCTCTTTTGGGTGGATAGATTGTCCTTGTGCAAACCTCTGCAACTAGGGCAGACCATTTGGGTGGGCAGAATGGCTGGTATCCCTAGTTGCAAGATCCGGTAGAAGAGTTTCAACCTAACTTTACCTCCATGAGCAATGGGAGTTCCCCATTTGCAGAGTAAACTTAGTAACAATGGCCCAATCATTCAGGGTCCCTTAAGAGGCATACGCCTACAATTCACCTACAGGTAGAAACCCGAAAGGCTATGTTTGATTTGGCCAAGATGGGTGTCTGTTTTTGAGGGTACCCCGTTTGTGTGGCTTCAAAAAGCACACCAAGAGGAAAACACCGAAGCCATCTGGGGGGGTGCGAGTTCTGCAAAAAGACGGGCCCAGCCGTATCCTTGAAGGCATACCCGTTATTATACGTGGTTTTTGAGCTTCCATATCTCCAAAGCCCCTGTATTTTGGGGAATGACCCTATGTGTTCAGGGTGATGGAGACAAGCACTTACATTCAAGGATACTCCTTGCTCAAGTGGCATATGGCTTCAGCCTGAAAATCAAGCCACAAGCCAAAGTCTCCCAGGAGTTCATGCAGATGATGCGAGGGGCCGGCGTGAAGCCGGGTATGGGGGCGGCCAACCAGCCGCTCGCGTGAGAGAGGCGGCGGATTTTTTCTTTTCTCGCGACGCGGGGAGGGCCCGGGGGGGGGAGGGCCGTGGCGGGAGGAGGTGAGTCACTGGGAGCTTTTTTTCTGCTCAAGGTGTTTCTCTCAAAATTGTGGAGTAAGAATGGTGGGCTTCCTTTTGAAATTGCCCTTTCAAACCGTCCCAGAAGTGGTTGAGACAGAGAGAGCTAAGTATGAAATGCTGACCCTGAATAAACAAAGTGTTGTATATATGATTGGGCGTGTTCCCCACAGCCCAATCAAACTGGTGTACTAATTCTCTCCCATTACCCATCACCCCAGGAACATAGAACGGACTCGAGCGCGAGAGCAAAGAGCCCCTGCGAGAAAGCGCTGGTCCGCTCATTGTTTTTTTGAGGCGCTGAAGCGAGCAATGAAGGACCTTCTTCTCAGTTCTCCGTTCATGTCTGTGGACTTGATTGCCATCGAGTTGGATCTTTAGACTTTAACTTTTTGGGGCATCAAGGGTTTTCCATTGAACCCGGAAAACAAATCAGCTTTTTGCAGAGGGGTCAACAGCAACCAAGCGGAGGGTTGGCAAGATGGGCCCAGGAGCCCTTTCGGGTGTTTCGGGCGGATAAATCAAAGCTGGCGGATGAAGGCTCCTGGCTTTTTGCCGGGGGTCGGGGACAAAAAGAGATGCAAGGAGCATCTGCCGAAAGAGACGCGCCGCATCAGAAAACCGAGCCTCGGCAAACACTCTGGGGACACTTTCCCATTCTTTCCAGAGATCCTTCTTTCCAGAAAACCATCAGAACCCCGAAGGAAACCGCTGGTTTTTAGAAAGAACGATGGTTGGAATCAACCAGTAGAAACAAGCCCAGACCTCGGGTGCCCTTCTTCGACTTCAGTTTGGGGTGGGAGTTACCCTTCCAAATCGACCCACCCACCCTCCCCACCCCGCCGTCCAAGGTTGTAGGTCAAAATAGGTACAAAAATTGAAGCCCTGGAAAATGCAAGCGCTAGAATCTGCGGTCCAATTCCTGGTGGCTTCATTTTTTTGACCCATACCCAGATGTCATTTTTGGGCCCCCACCCCCCAAAAAAAAGGCTGAAGATCCAGCTGAGGGTCTGGGAATGGCACCCCAAAGTGCTGGCCCCCACTGCGGAAGGGCTGTTAGTTGGTCGACATACATCCCCAGCATGCCCACCAAAGGCTTCCTCATTTAAATTCACCTATCCCCAAAAGGGATATATATATATATATATATATATATTCAAGGGTTCCGTAAAAAGGACTATGCCGAAAAGGTAAACAAGCCCCAGTTTCTGACTTTCAACGCCCCCGCCAGACCCATCGCTGTCGAATTTTCCGCCGAGCGGCCAGCCAGGCCAAAAAGAGCACCACGGGGAACAGAGCTGGAGGGGCGATCGATGCGCTGCGCCTGCCCTGTATTTGGAGTTGGTACCCATTTCAGGTCGATTTACAGAAAACCGAGGGGAACAACAAAATACATGAGAGGGCTCCAAATCCCTACTTTGACGCATACCCTGCGGTTTGCTCGCCTTCTCTCCCTAAAAGCTTTTGGAACCCCAACTAGTCAGAGACTGGTGCCTCCAAGTCTTTTGATTTCAAGGTGAGGATGTCCCCCAACAACAGCCTTACATGCCCATGCCCAGCAAAGGCAACAGCCCAACAAAACAACCAGCCCAACAGAAAGCAGAAAGCCAAGGCCAAAACCTTAAACACACAAACAGCCCTACACACAACCCAAGAACCAAACAGCCCTGCCCAGCATCCTGAAAGTGACCAAGCCCAAGAGGGCGTGTGTTTTTGTTTAGTGTTTTCCTTTTGGCCCAAAAAAGAGGCCCCTAAAAAAGGCAGGCCGCAGGCCCAAGATGTAGAAGAAAGAGAGGCCTGCATAGTGGGAGCTTACTTTTTTCAAGGCACCCCCCCTCATTTACGCGGATTAGGAGGAAACATCAAACAACGAATTGACGCCGTTTTGCTTTCCACGAGTCTCAGCATCATCTCAGCGGAACATCGGTGCCCTTTTAGGTCAGTTTGTTTGAATCTAGTCTTGACCAGCCTGTTCATTGTTCAAGCTTTACCCATGGGAAGACCATTTTAGTGACAGACAGCTTTGGTTGTTAGATGTCTTCATCAGTACAACATCACTTTTGGGGCCAAAGATCCACCTTGGGTCAAAAGCCCTGGTCAGATTGTCAGTGACTCACACGAGCAGCGGTCAACATTTGCCAAATGAACTGTAGCTCAGGGAATGATCATGGGTCGCACTCACTGAAATACCAGTAGGAACTGGGGTACGCAACAAAAAAGCTCCATTGTCATTGACAACCATGATGGTCAGTGACTCACATGCCGTATTTCACAAGGCGGCGATCAGTTAAAGGGCGACCGGCCGCCCCTCCTTGGCAGCGGATTTTTGCGCCGCGACGGTCCACGACGGTCCTCGCCGTGGATTCTTGCGGCCCGTTTCACGGGCATCAGTTGCGCAAGCCAAACCTGATCGCCGGTTGGAGAATTCGGTTCTCGGAGAGCTGTTGCACCACTACTCGTGGCAACTCGTCGCGGCCTAGGCCTGGTTTGGGAGTTGCTTTCCAAAACTCTCACACACACACACACATCAGCCTCCCTGCAATTGGTGGTTCGACTTTTGGCTCGGAGGCTAAGGGGCAGTTTCCCATCTACCCTTTGCAAGAACCAGAGGCTCAAGTCTTCAAACCACCAATCCAAACCACCACTCAAGGGGGTGCCTGCTGTGTTGGATTGGTGGTCTGTAGATGGTTGTCCAGCAAACACACCCTTGTGCGCCAAAGGACGATCATGTGTTTGTGTTATTTTTGGAACCCATTTGTGAGAGCCCCTTGAACGGGTCACCCGACGTTGGTGTTTGATATTGGTCTGGAGATCTCGCACTGGGACAAGGGACTTTAATTGAGGGAGCCGTTCAGAACGCGTGGTTTCCCTTTGGATTCCCTCAGCACACTCAGAATTGGCGCATACTTGGGCACGCACACTTCTGCTTGAAACACCCCCAGTGACCTGAGCCCCACCCAAACCCACCAAAGCCAACCAAGACACACACACACACACACCCTAACCAAATCTAGGATCTCTGTGGACCAGTTTTTCACATGAGGTTCACTGAATACGGATCAGAATCAAACTTTTTCAGGGGCAACAACTGGGACAGAAACCCTCAACTGCCAGGCAACGACCAAGGCGCTTCGAGACACGGACAATACCCGCGGACTCAAGCGGGTAAGGCGGGTCCGGTTTTCCACCGGACCGGCGAGTCGAGTGATCTGAAGACGCGGCATCAGGAGAAGGCGAGCTTCGAAGCGTGTTTTGGACCTTTCGGTGGGGTGATGTTTAAGAGTGGGAAGTAAGATAGCTTTGACAAAATGAAGGGACAGAGTCCATGAGTGTTTTTACCCGAACAGTGTGTCTACTAAGGGGTTCTGACGGTAAGAGTAGAGGGCCGGGGTAGATCAGGGTGCTCTTTTTGGGTAGCGCTGACGAATTTGGTGGTGTGCTCTGGCTGAGGTGCCGTGCGACTTCCGAAAACGGTTTATTGTTCAGCCTGCTGCGGACTTTGGGTGCGTTGGATCGCTCTCGCTGTGGCGTGGCGCGAAGTTCTAGCATCCAACTCAGCCCTTTGTGGACGGATGGTGCGTTGAATCGCTCTTGCTTTGGCGAGGCGCGCGTAGTGAACCCTTCGGACTTTGGGCTGGTCAGATCACCATAGCTGTGGCGCGGTGCGAATATTGAACATCACAGGTGATGCCTTTGCAGACAAACGTTGGGTGGGTCGGATCGCTCTGCGCTGCGGCGCGAATTTGGAGCATCGAAAGTGAACCGTCTGCAGACTTTTGGGCGGGTCGAGTCGCTCTCGCTGTGGCGCGGTGCACTTTTTGCGAGCGTCGAAAGTGAACCAACCGTCTGTGGACATTGGGTGCTTTTTGAAGATCGAAAGTGACTGCGAATGTGGCGCAGTGCAAGTAATGAACATCGCAAGTGAACCCTTGCGGACTTTGCGTGGGTTGCATCATTGTGACTGTGGAGTTTGTGGATCCTGGACAGGGAGCTTCGCTATATCCGGGATCCTCGTGCGCAAATCTTGCCAGCGCCAAGAGACCATATCAAGAGATCCTGCGCGCAGATCTTGCCAAAAGATCCTTTCAAAAGAGGTTCTCGCAGAGATCCTGTCGCAAGGGTGCTCCCTATTCGTAGACTGGCTCCTGGAGGGCATGCGAGAGATCTGGCCAAGAGATCCCACCCGTAGATCCTTCGCAGAGATCCTGCGCACAGATCCTTAGCGTTGGTCCTGCGCAGAGATCCTCTCAACAGATCTTGCGCAGAGATCCTCTCTTTCGTGCGGAGACATGTTGTAGAGGGTTGATTCTCTCTACATAAGCTTGTAGAGGGTCTTTCAGAGATCCTGCACGAGGATCTTGCCAAGAGATCCTATCAAGAGATCCTATCCGCAGATTTTGCCAAAATCCTTCCACAGAGGTGTTGCCCAGGAATTTCTACAGAAACATTGATAGAATTTGTGCCTCTGCTGTGGCTACTTTCATGTTACCTGCGTGGGTTTCTGTTTCGCTTTTTGACCACGGTCTGGGGTCGCTTGACGGGTTGGCTTTGTTTTGCTTTTGCTTCCCAAATTAGAAGGGGGTCCAGGCCATCTGGTTAGCATCAATGTACCCCAATTGGTCTGGAGGGGCAATGTTGAAAGAGCTCTTCAGGCAGCTTGTCGCAAGGTGAGCGGTTTGCAGCAACTCACTGACCAACAGCTTCGTGGATCCCAGCTGATCCCAACTCAGACTATTCCTCGCTTAGAGCTCCTGAAGCCGCATGATTCAGCTGCCCGCGGGGGCGAGGCTCAAGCACCCAGTCTTACGCTGTTCAGCACTCACCCTGTTCGTTCCCTCGGATCCGGGCCAGGCGCAAGGTTGCAGGTTGGAGGCCGAGGCAACCTTCACTGGACTGGGCACTTCGAAGAGTGGTGGACACGCTAGTGTGCAAAATGGTCACGTATTGCTAACCTTTTAAAATCTTCGCCTTTCCTTTGGGAACTCCTCAGCCAAACAACATTTTCCACTCTTGCCCTTTTTATTGTGCCGTTCGGAACGTCATTTGTTAAACAATGCGTTTCGTTTTCGTGGGGTGATGGGATATTTCTTGAAAGGACACCCTTGGCTGAAGCGCACAGAGAAATGGAAGCACTGGTTGCGGGACATGTCAATCCGTTTCAGCTCTTAGAACTTGAACGTCTCTTACAAGTTTCTCTGGCAAGATGGGTCTGTCCTTTTTTTTCAGGGGACTCTTTTGGTATTCCTCTTGGTTGTTCTTTATATAAAACCACCAAACAAGGGCACCCAAAAGGACACCCGCCAACATGATGCTGCAAAAGTCGCACATATCAGAACAGTTCAAGAAACCGTCGCAACCCACAACCACATGCATAAATTAGTTGCGCTGAACGGAAAAGGTCTTCGGGCCCTAGGCTCGCTCAGAGCAACCTGCTTTACTTTGGGTTGCTGGTTTGGGGTGGTGTCCTCGTCTGAATGTTCATGAACATGAGCTGTGTGAGTAGGTTGCCATGAGACAAATGACAAGCCCTTGATGCTTTACCTTGGACTGGGTTTTCAACAGTCTGACAATATTGAGAGGTATCAATTTCCCTGGGATTGTCCTTGCGTCCTTTGGGGGAAATTAACGTTTGAAGAATCCAAAGCTGCATTCATGATAAAGTCAAATCTGGAAAATCAAAGTCTCCTTGAACCGAGGGGAACCCTTTGGAAACCAAGAGGATAATGGTTGATCACCCAGCTTTTGTGGTAGGGATCCTGGCCACATGGCACCTCCGCCAGCTCAGAGAGTCGATCCGACCGTGTTTTAGCGCCTCGAGCGGACGAAGGGCGCTGTGCCAACCTTTCCGCTTGCGGCCCCCCGAGAATCCGGAGCCGGGAGGGCGATGGGCCGACTGGGCCGCGTCGCGCAGCTTTGTTTGCCCTGTAACCCAAAGCTTGTTTTCGCCCCAATTGCGGAAGGGGGGGTTCCTTCATCTTCGTTTTCCCTGAACGGCGCAAGTCGACTTTTCGGCGGAGTTTACCAAAAACTCCAGCGGACTCCGTTTGGCGACCCAAAAAGGGGCAGAGGCCTCACGCGAAGAAGTTGCGCGTGGCTCACAGCGAAAGAATGAACCTGGAGTTAAGGATTGCCTCTCAAATGGGGCACCCCGTCTGTTAAAGGTTCGTTCATCCGATTTGTTTTGTAATATTTGTTTATGCGGGTTGACCAAAAGGTCCGGTCTTTACATGGGACGACCATGAGGGAAATCACAAGAACTGATTACTTTCCCCACCGCAGGGAAAAGTTACCTACGGTCATTTGGGGCCAGGAACATTCATCAATCTCCATTGTGAAGTACCTTGGGGAATACCCAAGTGATGTCCACAAAAGGTTGCCTAAACACAGCCCGCGCGCAAATCCCCTTGCATGGGGTTGCACGCTAAATGGTCAGCAGAGCTAGTCACAAGGTAGTTGAGATGTTTGTAGTGTGGTTCGCTCGTTGCATCTAAGTTGCAGCAAGAAACGTACGGGTCTTTCCATTTTTTGCGAGTGTCTATTCTTGGTTCTAGTCTTGGTGGACTGTTCCCTTTTTTTGCGGGGGACTGATTTGAGCTACAGATCCTGTATTCCCCTTAACAACGGGATTCGCACGAAGACGCGGCCCGGCTCACTTTGCTTTCGCCTCACCGGACGCTGGGCTCCGCGGACCCCGATCAGACTCCCCCCCGGCCCGAGGTGCGAGGCAGACGGTCAGAACTTCGCTTGCATTGCCTCTGCCATACCCTCGATTTGGGGAAACTAAAACATGTGATACCCTCGAAATCGTGGACGTCATAGAAATGATGCGTCCCCAATTCAGAATCCGCAGAAAAGGGCCAGGCCCTTTCCTGAAACTGCCCTCACTGCACTCAGTAGCGGGTGGTAGCCCCGCAACCCCCGAAACCCTCCGGAACCCTCCTGACATGCCCCAAACTACCCCGAACAAGCCTATCTGGGCAGAGACCCCATAGCGTTCAGCTGTTGGGGAAAAAGCTTCTTTTTCTTGGGGCACCTTGAAAGTCAGCTACCCCAAAACATGGTTTCCTTCCTTTTTGGCACAGAAAAGAGTCAAATGCGAAGAAGGGTGCCGCTTCCTTCCCATGCCCACTGGAGGACGAGATTCTTGGTTTTGAGTGGTTTCCCTTTGAGTTGGCGCACGTCACTGGTACGGCAAAGTGAAACAGTTGATTTCCTCGTCCCCATTTCTTTAGTACCCTTCCACACTTGTTAAGGGGGTTCCCCTAGTGGGCATTCCTTTGCGGGCCGTGATCAAGAACTGGTTGTGTCATTTGTTCAAACAATGGTTGGTTTCCTTCTGGCTTCTCTTTGAAACCAGCCAACATGGGCGGCCTTAAAAACAGACACACCCAACTGGGGTTCATAAATCCGCTGTCTTCTCAGCTCGCTCGCACACCTGGGCCAATTCGAGCAATCTTACCGGGGAGTCATCCTCTGGTCCGAAGTGACCATGCGCGCATTCTCGGTGACAACAGGAAGGTTTTTTTTGGAAGCTCCATAAGCGGCGATCGTTGCAATGGACGCGAGTAAATCGATCCTCTTTAGGGGAAGTCCAGATGTCTTATGAACAACCGGGCCCCAACTCTGAGTCAACATTCAGGTAGCCCTTAGTTGGTTTGGATTGGTGGTTTGGGGATGTGAACCCCTGGTTCTTGTGGAGGGCAAATGGAAGACCCCTCCATTTCACCACTTCACCACCAACTACCAGGATCCCAACAAACAAATTAGAGGCAAGCTGAAACATCTTACATCTTTGCCCTATCACAACGATGGATTTTTGGGTTGAATCGACATTGCTGCATATGGCTATGCCTCAAAGTTACGGCCCCGTAAAATGGCTGGTGTCCTCTTGGTTCCCCTTAACACCCAGCCAAAAAGGGGTTCCCTACTTTGAGACCCATGTGTCACGGTTGACCACCGCAGAGGTCTTGCAATCCGAGATGCGCGCAACGGATTTCACTCTTTTCCGGGACCCGCGCAAGTGTGCATCTCAATTTGTCCAGACTTTTGTGTCACTTCTGTAGCTTGTCAACTTTCCCTTTGTCCCTTTGATTTGGGTACGTGTCAAATATGGGACCCCAAAAATGGAGTCGGGAGTCCGGTTGCCTTTAAACCAACCTGAGGGTACTAACTCTAGAAATACATCCCCATTTGCACGTTCAGTTGTCGGATCCCTGTGAAGCGCCAGTGGAAACCATTAGAATGTGTTTTGTCATTTTCCCTTGTTGGTTTTGAAGTACATCTATCACTGGACATGTTTTTTTTTTTCTTCTCAGGGGATTGGAGCGAATGGAGGGAATTACCTAGCCAACATAGGAGGTCCTTTTTGCCCGGAAATCCATCCTCGCCTTGTTTTGGGTGACTGTGAGTTTCCTTTTCCCCAGAAGGATGTGTCAAAAGTGTGGTTTTGTTGAGTGTTCGGCGAATCAGCCAGCACGGAAGCACGGGCTTCGGAGACGCGAGAGTTGCGTATTGCTGCCACTTGACCAAAAAGCCGCATGGGCGAGCGATCTCCTGGGGGCCTTGGAGTGCGGGGTCGTTTACGGACCACGTCTTGGCTCAACCAACCACTGGCAAAAATCCGCTGGCTTTTGAGGATTTTCTCTGAAAAGCTGGGGGGTGGTCTTGGGTGCATCCTTTGAGTAGCCCTGTAGGCGTTTGCCTTATCCATGTGAAGCGTGCGAAGCCCTAAGACTTCTTGTTTCGGGTGTGCCGGCGGCCCGAAATCCTGCCGCATGCTTCAGGAGGGTGGCCTCCGTGATATATCCTCAACCTGAACTGAAGGTTGAAGCTATGCGCAAGGTTAAAGCTTGTTATGTGGAAGGAACAACTTGCTGCCCTAAAGAAGGTGGTTGCAATTCACGCTCATTGTTGCTTTTAGTGTGTGGCTTTATATTGATTGTTCCTTTTTGTTGGGGGGGGGGGGCACGGAACAGTGAGAAAAAAGACAAATTTGGGGCCACAAATGACAGCTGGGATCTTGGCATCAATCACATGGGGGCATAGTTGAGAGGAACAGACGGCGATGTTTCAGTTTGGTTCACCATACATTTGCTGGACCCTCTTCTTGGATGTCTTTGAAAATAAGCCAAAAGAGAGGCGCAGCCATAACGATTCCCTTGCCCCCGAATTGCTGCGGAAGTCATGTCCCACAGCAAGCTGCCAATCGGCGGCAGGGCGATTTCAAGGAGCCCCTCGTAAAGCAGCCGGTGTCTCCCAACCTCAGCACGGTTCCTAGGGCAAGACCGAACCAAGCGGGGAGTATCTCCCCTTGACCTCCAGTGACCGGCTCAACACGCGCTGGATCTTTGGCGCTTCCAGGCCACGGGTCCCATGACTTCTCGGCGCAAACAAACTGGGCTCGGCTCCGAAAAAGACAAAGCGGGCGCAAGGCCACGGTGGGGACTCTGCCCGTTGCAAAGTGTGGGATTTGTTGAAGGGCATGGGTCAACACACGACTTTGTATTGCCAATGCTGAGTTGAGCAGGGGATTTGAACTCCCAAATTGGGCTTCAACCCTGAAAAGGTACCAAGCCTCAGAAGAACACACACCACCTACACCTAGCCATGCATCAATGGAGGAAGGGGATGTCTTCTTGACCCGCCATGGGGCTCGCATTGACAAAGAAGACAGGCGGAATTCGGAAGTCGGAGTTTCGGAGTCCGAAGCCGCGAGGTGCTCCAAGTTCAAACTTCTCGAACGTTTCTTCCTTTTGCGTGTCTTATTTTTCGTTGTTGGTTTTCCTTTTCTCAGCCAAACAAGAGACAGAGGCGTCTGAAGGTGTGTTGGTAATGTGCTTGTGTGTGCGCCGCGCGTGCGGGTGTGGGTGATGTGTGTGTGTGTAGGTGGTAAGGCCAGATAGACAGCACACTTGTTTTCTTTTTCTTCTTTTTTTTGTTGTGTGTGTAGGTGTTTTAAAGCCAGACAAACAACACACCGGTTCTGTTTTTTGCGGGTGTGGGGAACTGGTTGGAGGATGTCAAAGTCCCCCGCGAACAAGGAAGGGTGAACCAGCCAGCTGCTTTGAAAGCAAATTTGGCCGTGGGGACCCGAGCTCAGTACGGAGTCGTTGGGAGTGAAACCCTGGGATTCTGGACATTTTCCAGATTCATCTGGATGTGGGTCAAAAGTAGGGTAAACCTAAAATGGGTTGCCCGATCGGTAAATGGAAACTGGTAACTAAAATCTGCCGTCCATATCCTGGTGGTTCAATTTTGACCCATACCCACATGCCAGATTCATCTAGCATCAGATCACAATCTTCGATAGGAAGTTGATTTCGGACTGTTGCTGACACGGTCGACATTGATACTTGGGCCTACATTCTTCGAAGTTTGTGCTTGTCGCAGATTCAGAGGATCTTCACTGCGTTGATAGGAGCCTCTCCTGAGATTCACTGCATTTGTGGCTATTGAAAGTTTGGATAGGAAGCCGCCTTCAGAGGTGTTCCCTGACATTGACTTCACGAATGCGAATGCCCAAGCTCTATACGATACCTATCGCTACACTGCTTCCATTGTGCCTTGCTTTTAGCGGAGGTGCGCTGCATTTGGAATCAAACGTTTCCGCGACCCTAGAGCACTTGGATCATATTTGTCCATTCGTAGAACTGGTGGTGTTCTTCATGACAGGTCTTGTCATGGTTGTTGTTGGGAAACATTTTACATTTTTGCTTATTGTGGTTTAGTGCTAAATCCCCACTGAACTGCTAAAGATTAAATTTTTGCTCCCCTTCCAACGTCAACCAAGTCTTGTTGTTTCGCACTTTCCCGTCTGCTTCTGAAAAAGAAGCGCGACCCTGTAAGCGGCGTTGCCATGAATCCACCAGACTCGGGCTAGCTTGCTGGCGCACTAGGACAGTTGCAGGGTTTCATTTTTTTTTAAATGTCTCTGTACTCATTGCTCGCATCGGATCCGCGCATATTATTGAATGGCTTTCTCAGATTTGTATGCGCGTGGCCCCAGCGCCTTGATGGAAGTTCATGGGTTTACCCGGAGCCCAGGCAACCCAACCCAAAGGGCAAGCAAGGCGCAGCCAGCCCTTAAATTCGGGCTCAGCCACTTGTGAGGTCTGGAGCCTTTTGAGTGGTGGAAAGAGAGTTGTGGGAAGAGTTTGTTTTTCTCCCCACTCTGATACGCCATCTGTTGGAAACCCTCACATTGGCATCGAGTTCCCACTGGAGAAGTGATGCCGGGGTTGTCCTTCATCGCAGGGGCTGGCTGGCAAAGGCCGGCCACACACGCAGAGACGACCCCCACCTGTCCGCGCACGGGGAGAATGCGGCGGAGGCGCGGGCTTTCTCGTGGGGGGCAGCTGGGGGAGGCGGCTGGGGGCGAGAATTCCAGGCGAGGCCGAAATGGTGCGGCGCTTGGGGATTTGGTTTCTTTTTAGGGGGCGTCTCTTGGGATCCAGCCCTGGGGGACCTACGTAATGAACCACCAGGTGACTTCAGCACCCTTTCAGCCCCTCTTGTTTCCTGAGAAACAAAGCACCGCTGAGTCTTTGAAAGCCGCCTGATGGTTGCGAAGCAGTGTTCGCGGGTGCCAATGAGGCTGTTGCCGAGCATGGTCCGCACACCGCTCCGAACGCAGCACGACCAAACAGACCCGATTTCATGCGTTGGGCCACGCTCTTCTGGCTTGGACCATTCCTAAGCCTTGCTTTCGAGCTCTTCACATGTAACACGCGCATACATACATATACATATACATATATATATATATATATATATGCAAATACATATATATATATATATATATATGCAAATACATATATATATATATGTATATATATATATATATATGGTACGCCCCCCCCTGGTGCCTAGGTTTTGCTTGATTTCAGTCATTTTTCAGGTAATTTTGCATTTTTTGGCCAAACTTGGGCACCAAGGAAGGGGGGTGTGCCACAATTCTACAATTAAGAATTCTGGACCCAAGATTGCTGAGAGATTTTCAATGTGACAATCTGGAGTTCAAGATTCAAGACTTCAAAACAATCTTTTCTGGAATCCTGGAGTATTGAATCTTGCGTCCCATATTTTTTCTAATTCTGGGATCCAAGATTCAAGATTCAATATTCCCAGAAAAAGATTATTTTGAAATCTTGAATCTTGAATCTCATATGTGTTTTTTGCAAAACAATCTGGAATTCAAGATTCAAGATTCCCAGAATAGGATTATTTTGGAATTTTGAATCTTGAATCTCATGTTTTTTTAAACGAAATCTGGGATTCAAGGTTCAAGATTCAAGATTTCAAATTGAATCTTGACTCTTGAGTCCCAGATTTTATTTTTATTTTTAAATCTAGGTTTGTCCCAATATTCTCTGTGTTCAATAAGATTCTCGGAAAAGCTTATTTAATTGTTATTATGAAAAGCTACTTGAGTTGTGTGTTTATTATATTGTATCTAACACTTGGATTATATTTGGGAATAAAGTCCGAACTTCTTTTGTTGAAGATTTGGAGTTTGCCCGAAATTATACTTATATTCTCATGTAGCTTCTATTTGGAAAGGATTTGCTTATATAAGCTGCAGTTGAGCAATGTTGAGCATAAACACATTTTTGAAACCTATAACCAAATTATATTCAAAATTCCCATTCTAGTTGAAGTAACATCTATTTGGAAAGGGTATCATATTGGGACATTTCGGATCTTGCCATGATGGACTGCAAGCCCATTCGTTTGTGCTCAAAAACTACTGCACAAGAAAAAACTAAACTCTTGCGCCTGCGCGCTGAAATCCAGCAAAACCTAGGCACCAGGGGGGGCGTTGCATATATATATATATACACACATATATATATATACACACATTCTGCACATATTTTCCTCGGAGAATCCACAGTACGGTTCCAGCTCCAGCTAAACTTCTTTGGGCGAACCACAACACCCCAGTTTTAATGGCGGCAACGCGACCCCCAACTTAGGTCCAACATCTAACCACCGGATGCGGCCAGGAGCTGGCGGCCCGCTGCTCGCAGCTGCACGCAGAGAGGCAGCTGGGCACAGGAACTTCCGCTAGGACGGATGGGTTTGGCCACTTTGGGGGTTCTACTTGGTCTTTGGGGCATTTTGCGAAGGGATGTTAGGACTTTAACTTTTTGCCAACTAATGGGTTTTCCGTATTAAACCACTAAAAATTATTCGCTTTTAGCAGGAGAGCAGAAAGCAACCGAGTGCCGATTTGTTTGTGGAATCCCTTTTTGGCCCCGCGACTTTGCCGGTGTTCGGACTCGAATGTTAGATAAATCCGGAGTACCGAGCCAATCAGCCAATCTGGGGTGGGCGTCTGTTTCAGGCCGCTCGTTTGGCCATGGTCCTCAGGATTAATCTGAAGTTAACCATACATGGGTGCGTGTTTTTGGGATATCTATATATATATATATATATATATGTATTTAAAGGGTTTGCCTAAAAAAGAGACACACCCATCTGGTGGTAAACAAAGAGTTTTCACTTTGGTCCAACCCACTCAAGAAGTGAAGACAACTCGAGTTTAACCGGTTGCTATGTACCCCATTCTCTGAAACCTTAACGAGATTGTTTGGGCAAGCGGGGATGAAAGTTGTTTAAGCAGCCAACCCTGAATCGCATTTTGTGGCAGCGAACCGGCATTTTGGTTTCTTTTCGCAAGGATCACCAGTTCGGTTGTTTCTTGGCGTTTGCAAAAGTCAGAAGCTGAGGCTGCTGCCCGGACATGAAATTCTGCGGCTACAACACATTCTGCAGTCAGGAGACATAGACAAAGTGGCCCAAGCAGCCACAACAACTCCGCTGAGTTCCTGCATAATTTCTTGGTTGGGACTCAAAAGAAGCTGCTGCCGAAGTTCGTGGTTTCTCGGACTCCCTCCTTCAAAGCCGACCTCCGGTGAGGCCCTTTAGCTGCATCGTGAGCTCCCCCTTCCTGCACCTTGGATCTACTTGGCCCCGATTTGTTTTGGGGTTGGGCCATCCGGCTCCTTAGCTTAGATCTTTTAAGTTGGTTTCGTGGTTGGTTTTCCGACACTTTGACCCTCAAGTTGTTCGTTTTTCCGAGATCTGAACACGAGCCCAGTTCCGTGGGGGGTTTCGTGGTTGGTGTCGGAAGAAAAAATAGCCCGCCAACAGCTGGATCCCCCAAACATTTGTGGGTTTTTTTCTGTTTGGAGAACCCACCGCGGAGCTTTTTCCCCATTTCGCCGGACAGGTTGCACCCGAATTCTGAGGCGCTGCCTGCAGACGGCGGCCCCGGTGGCCAGGCGGACGGATCCGACGTGTTGGGGTCGATGGGGCCGCCTTTTTGTTTGGGGTCGGTACCTCCCGCCCCAGGTTTGTTTGTTTTTTTCTCAGAGGGAATGTGGGTCGACGTGTCAGTGTTGTCAAAGTTTAAGGGGACAGTGGGTCGAGAGATCATTGTTTTTGAGTTGGTACCTCCCCCTCCCCTCCTTTATGAAGGTTTTTACAGGGAACGTGGGTCGACTCGGGTCAGTTTTTGGAATTGGTAAAAGACCTTGTTGTGGTTCTTAACGGGAAATCCGTGAATTTCAGGTGCGGGCCAAGTAGTGTTGAAACAACCTCCTTTGGTTCCCCCATGAAACCAGCCAGGAGAAACCAGGCGGGTATCTTCATCTAGCTTGCTTGCTCAACGAAATGGCTCGCTCTTGGTTCTCTTCCATTGAAACAACCCGCCTTTTGTTTTTTCTAGGAGGCCGAAACTGGTCTGATCCTGAAAGTCATCGCTTTGCCCCTATTTGCAATCCGACCTGGGTGTCAACTCAAGCCCATTCTGCGACCTCCTCTTCCGGCCGGAAGCTTGCCGGTTCTCAGCAGGGAAATGACCCCAACAAACACCCCTGGATGGTTTCCTTTAAGGGACCCCCCAAAACCGGCCGATTCCCAACACCCGGGCTCGGACATGGGAATGAACCTAGAAGTCGGATACTCTTCAGAGGTGCATTTTGCCAAGGGATGTTAGGACGTTAACTTTTTGCCAACTAGTGGGTTTTCCGTATTAAACCACTAAAAGTTAAACTTTTAGCAGGGGAGCAGAACGCAACCCGAGTGTCTTTACAGGGTTCATTCCATTTCTTATTCCCCGCAGGGACGGGGTCTGCTTGGGTTCGCCAATCGAGGGCCCTGAATCTGCGCATCCTCGTTGAGCCTGGCATTTGCGAGATCCTCACAGCACCTTTGGCTGAGCGAGCCGGGGGACATTTCTGCAACACGTCTATTTGCTTGTCCAGGCTTGTCCAGGGGGACAAAAGGGTGGCTTCCTTTTGGTCTTCCTTTAAGAGACACACCAGGGCCCAAGGGTCAGAACATATTGTTTTCTATACACCTCAGATGTGGGCCAAGACGATGGTCTCGCGGTTTAGCGAGAAGCAATTGAACAGCGCATGGTTCTTCTTACTGGTTTCATGGGGCTTATTGTAAGGGCTATACAAACCTTTACAACCTTGGCAGAGCCCAAAGTTGTTTGGTTTTGGGCACTGCTCAAGTGTCTCAATCGTGTCTTACATTTCTGATCTTCCAGTACAAACGGTTTGACATAGGCACGCAATTGCCGGCCTGTGCTCAGCGCACATCACGTGCATCAAGAGCTCAATTGGACCCTCTTGGAAAATCAGGTAGCTCAACGGAGGTTTGATGGCTATATGGCGGTGTAGCTAAAACGCTGATCTCGGAGGGGGGTGGGTGGGTGTCTGGTGTGGGTGGTGTGGGTGGTGTGGGGTGGGCTGAGGGTGGGGTGCGGGTGGGGTGTGGCGTGTGGGTGGGGGTGGTGGGTTGGGCTGCGCGTGGTGTGGGTGTTGAGGGGTGGTGTGTGTGTGGGGTGCTGGTGGTGTGTGTGGTGTGGGTGTGATTGGGTGCTCTTGACTGTCACCCCACATGTCACACCAAACGTCACATGTCTCAGGTATATCGAAAGGAGGCAGTTGACGACGCAGCCATAGTGTCTCAGCTCGTGACTGCGTGTTCATTGTGCTTGCCAGCGCACGAATCGGAACTTTTTCTACGCTGCTTTTGTGTTTTCTTTTTCTAGTCTGTGCATTTAGGGGTGCCCTTTTTTGTAACCTTTTGTCTTCTTTTCTAGTGGGTTTTCTTCTAACGTGTGCTTCGGCAGTCCTGTGTTTTTGATGCTTGTTTTCTGTTCCTTTTGGTACTTGCTTGTCATGGTTCTATGTAGTGTGTCAAGCAACACCTAATACCTGTCTTTGTAAAACCCGAAATTAAATTAGTGCCCTAGCAAAACTTAGTTAAGGCGCTCCTGCTGCCAAGCACCAGTGGTCAAAGACTTCAGCACAGGCAGGGGGGTGACCGCTGGGGATGATGAATGAATGATGCTGGTGATGCTTGCATGGGATGATGGGGAATAGACATGATGCGGGTGCTCTTGCACATGACCGCCTCTTAGGCGAAGGTGTGGAAGTCCGCCATGAAGCTGCCTTGATAATGGGGTTATGCAGCAGACTGCTCCCAAGAGGGAAGTGAGAGGCTACAAGGGTAAGGAAGGTTTGGGCAGGCATTGCCTAGGCTTAGCCTAGACACACAGGTCATTTAGGGGGTAAATTTCAGGCTGAGGCAGCGCGGGAGAGTTGCCGAGCAGTGTAATCACCGCAGGCAACAAGGCCATTATAAGATGGCTTGTGCTGGTTTTTAACCAGGCTGTGGATGGAGTGCTTGACCCATGCGATCATATCAGGATCAAATACAGACAGCAAGAAGGTCTGGTGAAATTCCGAAGGGCTGTTGCCCTTTTCCAAGAGATCCTAGACGAGATCAAGGAGATCTGAGGGGCCAAGCAGTGCCAGCTTTCGTTCACCCAGTCTTGTAGAGCCGGGGTTTGCATCGGACAAATTTCCACAGAGTGTGGACCTGGGCACTTGACCAGCTTCTGGCTACTAATCCTGGACGCGCCTTGGCTTGTCTTTTTGATCGTTCCCGAGGCTCCCCTCATGCTTGTCTGGTCGAACTGTCACTGTTTTACCAGTCCGTCTGCGCCTCAGGAATTTGATCCGCCTCAAGGACTTATATTCTGGTGGAACAGGGGCTAAAGCCCTGTAAAACAGAAACAACACTTAAAACGAAGCCTGCGACAAAGTTGCGATGTTCGAGCTGGCGCTGCGAAAGTGTACTTCGCGTACTAGACTTGTACTACAAAGCTGCGATTTTCGAGCGGGAGCTGCGGAAGTGTACTTCGCGTATTCGACTTGGAGTGCTAAGTTGCGATGTTCGAGCTGGCTGTGCGAAAGTGTACTTGGCGTACTAGACCTGTACTACAAAGCTGCGATTTTCGAGCGGGAGCTGCGGAAGTGTACTTCGCGTATTCGACTTGGAGTGCTAAGTTGCGATGTTCGAGCTGGAGCTGCGAAAGTGTACTTCGCGTACTAGACCGTATAGCAAAAGCTGCAGAAGTGTACTTCTCGTACTAGGCTTGTGCTACAAAGTTATGATGCTCGAGCTGGAGCTGCAGAAGTGTACTTCGTGTAGCAGACTTGTACTAGCTGCGGAAGTGTATTTCGCGTACTGGCCTGTACTACAAAGTTGCGATTTTTGAGCTGGAGCTGCGGAAGTGCGCATCACGTACACGGCTTGTGCTACAAAGTTGTGATTTTCGAGCTTGTGCTGCAAAGTTGCGACTTTCGAGCTGGAGCTGCGGAAGCGTACCTTGCGCGCTAGGCTTGTGCTGCTAAGTTGCGACTTTCGAGCTGGAGCTGCGGAAGTGTACTTCACGTATTAGGATTGTACTAAAGAGTTGCGATGTTTGAGCTGGAGCTGCCAAATTGTTCTTCCTTGTACTAGAAGTGTACTACACAGCTGCGATTTTCGAGCTGGAGCTGCAGAAGTGTTGTTACAAAGTTGTGTTTCTCCAGCTGGGTGGGTGGTGTGGGGTGGGTGGGTGTGGGGGTGTGGGGTGTGGGGTGTGGGGTGGGACTGGCGTGGGGTGAGGTGTGGTGTGGGTGTACGTGGTGGATTCTGTGTTCCATTGGTTGGGGGGTTTGGTGGGTATCTAGGGTTTTGCCTTTGGCCTGGCCGAAAAAAAGGCCCTAAATTGATCCACATGTTGTGGCCATAGCCAGGCACATTTGCTCATGGGCGCTCGGCCATTTTGCTCGCAGTGTTTGGCCTTTCTCGTGTGCCTTTTCTTTTTAGCAGGCCTGGGCTTGCCCGCTTTTCAAAACGAATGCCCCATGCGTGTGAGAGGCTGCAGCCCAGGGATGTCAAGGACTGCTTTTGGCAACTTGAGGCCTGATCATGTCCTGGTGGCCACTCCTGCCCTACCCTGTGGGCTAGCACATGCTATGATGCTTTGCGCCAGGCTTTTGGGTCTTCAATCTGCAAGGCCATGGAGCACAGACAATGTGAAACGTCCCAGTTGGTAGTGGCGCAAGGTGCAGCATTGCCCGTCGCCCTTCAGGTTTTGTGGATCAAAACAATAGTTTCCTTTGGCAGCCTTACTATGAACATCGAGGTTGGAACCATTTTTGTGTAACAGCAAGTTGCGCCACTCGCTGCAGGCTAGCCGTTCTCGCTCAGCCAAATGAGGCACGCTTGGGTCGCATGTTTGTGGGAAATGTGCCTGCAGGCACCCAAGCTTCGCCCATCAGAAGCCCGTTTGCACCAGGCACTACCCTAAAACTTGCATCTCCAAACTAAGCCCTTCCTGCTAAGAACGCTTGGCTGGAGCAGTCGCCGCTGCTTCTTGGCACACAAAAGGGATAGTTTTGCTTGGAATCATTGAACCAACGGGCTGTGAGCCTGGTAAAGGCCAAAGTGTATCATGAAGGATGTGCAAAATCCTGGACAGCGCGCCAGGGTGGCCATGTCGGCCTGCCACTCAATTTCATGATTTCATAACACCACGTGACACCCCATCGCATCACAGCGCAGCACATCCAGGCTGATCAAACATCCAAGCTTTTCGAAAACTGCCTCCTCGCCAATGGACAAGTTGTTTTTGTTAAATTGCCTGTGCTATCCACTTTGTATTTTGCCGCCCTCCCACCAACAGGCAGAAACAATTTTCGTGACATTCAAAGATTGGAGCCTTGCAAATGAACGGTGTTGGACTGGGTTTTTGAGCCCTCACTTTGCCTGTGATGTGTGGTATGCGCTGTGATGTGATGCGGTGTGATGTGTAGTATGTGCTGTGATGTGATGTGATGCGGTGCGGTATTATTTAATTGGTGTGATGTGAGGGGGTGTGGGTGTGATGCGGTGTGATGTGATGCGGTGTGACGTGATGTGATGCGGTGTGATGCGATGCTATAATGTGCTGCAATGTGATATGTTGCTGCGACGTGATGAGCTGTGGTGTGATGTGATGTGGTGTGTCAAGATGTGGTACGCTGTAACGTGATGTGGTGTGGTGTGGTGTGGTGTGATGTGTGGATGTGATGCGTTGCGTCGCGATGCGCTTTGCCTGGAAAAAAGGCACCACAAACAAAAGGACTTCCCTTAGCCAATGAGCTGTTTGCTGCCTAGCTGCGTTTGGACCAAGCAAAATCAAATCTTAGCGCATCCTGATCAAGTCTGACCAAAGCCGTGTCTTGATCAGATTTGATCAGGCTTCATGTTCGTTGGTTTGGGGTTGGGACCAAGCAAAACCAAATCAGATCAAATCTGACCAGGCCGATCAAATCTGATCAGACCTGATCAAACCTGATCAGATCTGACCAGCACTGTGTTTTTGATCAAGCTTGATTTTGCTTAGTTTGGGCCTAGGGAGACAGCAAACAGATCATTTTACCAAGGGGCGTGCTGCTGTTGGGCCTTGAGTTCTGAAGATGGAACTATTCGAGTTTTTTTCGAGTTGACAGGGTCCAGTGCTGAGTTTTCCTGAGCTTGGGAATGTTCATGTATAGGGTCTTCCCCTACCAGGAGGTACAAACAGTCATGTGATGTGTTGTGCTGTGATGTGATGTGTGTGTGTGTGTGTTTGTGCCGTGACGTGCTGTGATGTGATGTGATGTGGTGTGTTGCGCTGCGCCGTGATGCGGCGCGGTGTGGTTTCATTTGCCGTGATGCGGTGCGGTGCATGATGTGATTTGATGTGATGTAGTGTGACGTGGTGTGACGGCGACGTGATGTGTTTTGATGTGATATGATGTTGTCATGTGATGTGGTGATGTGTTGTGTTGTGATGTGCTGTGCTGTGATGGGTTGCGGCGTCATATGTTGTGTTGTGATGTTGTGCGGTGTGGTTTGCTGTGATATGATTTGTGTTGCTGCCCTGCGATGCCATGTGATGTGATGTGTTGCAATGTGGCATAAAGTGATGCGGTGCGATGTCACGTGATGTGGTGTGGTGTAGTGTGATGTGATGGGTGTGATGTGATGTGTTTTGGCGCCATGTCATCTTATGTGATGTGTTGTGGTTTTATGTGCCGTGATGTGATCTGGTGTGGTGTGGTGTGATGTCATGTGCTGCAATCAGACGCGATGTCTTGTCATGTGATGTAGTGTGCTGTGTTGCGATCTGGTGTGATTTGGGTTCCTGTGTGTTGATGCGATGTGATGTTGTCTTGTGACGCGTTGTGTTGTGATGCGACTTGTCGTGTTGTGATGTGGTATGGCGGGATGGCGGGATGGGATATGTTGTGATGCAATGTGTTGTGGTGTGGTGTGCTGTGGTGTGGTGTAATGCGATGTGATGCGGTGAGGTGTGAAGTGGTGTGGTGCGGTGGGCCTAGAACAAACAGCAACCTTTCAAGAAGGACTGGTGCAGAAGCACTCAGCCCTTGAGCTGGCATTTGCAAGAAAACGGTTCAGATTGTCTAGAACTTCTTTTCGTGCGCTATTGATGTTTTCTTTGATTGTGCTTGGCACAAACGCTTGGTTTTATTTCATTGTGATATTTTATTTTGATATTGAAGGAGGGCCCTAAGTAATTACTACATGCTATTGGAAACCGCCCTCCAATAGAACAATTTTCTGCAAAGCAGTGTCGCTTTTGAAACAACACCATGAGGATCCCAACCAACTTCGGCTACTTGTCGAGCGTCTAAGCCGTGAAGCTAGGCATCGGTATCGGGCAGCCAGCCGACTGCGGCAACAATTGGTCCTAATGGCCGAAGCACTCCAGATTGCGGACCGGGCTACGCAGCAAGCCAACAAAGCCTGAACAAAAAAGGTTTAGTGACAGCCTGCCCGTCATTTTGTCTGTGCGTCACGTTTTGTGAAGACTGTATTTTGAAAGGTCCGTTTTGTGAAGGGCTGAAGAAAACAAATCCTTACAAATCCCCAACACCCTTGTTTGTGAAGAATGGGGACCTCATCCGTCACAAATAGTAGCGGAGGTGGAGAGCTCTTACCGGTTGCAAAACGCCCGCGAAAGTTTTTCATAATTTTCGGGATTTCCGCAAGGGTTTGTGACTGACTGGGACACAATCCGTCACAAAGCGTAGGGCTCAGTCAGCCGGCCATGTTGTGAAGAATCCACCATTTTTTGGTCAAACCATGTTTTGTGAAGAATCGGGACCGAACTCGTCACAAAATGCTTCGCCACGGGGCTGACTCGTCACAAAACACCTATGTAACCCCTGAGCTCGTCACAATACACCTTTGTAACCCCTGAGCTCGTCACAAAACACTTTTGTAACCCCTGAGCTCGTCACAAACACCTATGGCAACGTTCGGGCTCGTCACAAAATATCATAAATGGAATGCGTTGTCGCAAACCAATTGGGTTTCAGCCGCCTTTCCCCAACCCTTCCTTCCAACAGACAGTCTCGATCAACTTTGCTGAAAATTGTTCTATTGGAGGGCGGTTTCCAATAGCATGTATTAATTACTTAGGGCCCTCCTTCAATATCAAAATCAAATATCACAATCAAATAAAAACAAGCGTTTGTGCCAAGCACAATGAATGAAAACATCAATAGCGCACGAAAAGAAGTTCTAGACAATCTGAACCGTTTTCTTGCAAATGCCAGCTCAAGGGCTGAGTGCTTCTGCACCAGTCCTTCTTGAAAGGTTGCTGTTTGTTCTAGGCCCACCGCACCACACCACTTCACACCTCACCGCATCACATCGCATTACACCACACCACAGCACACCACACCACAACACATTGCATCACAACATATCCCATCCCGCCATCCCGCCATACCACATCACAACACGACAAGTCGCATCACAACACAACGCATCACAAGACAACATCACATCACATCAACACACACACATGAACCCAAATCACACCAGATCGCAACACATCACACTACATCACATGACATGACATCGCGTCAGATTGCAGCCATGACATCACACCACACCACACCAGATCACATCACGGCACATAACCACAACACATCACATAAGATGACATTATCATTACATGATGCCAAAACACATCACATCACACCCATCACATCACACTACACCACACCACATCACGTAACATCACACCGCATCACTTTACGCTACATGACAACACATCACATCGCATCACATCACATCACATTACAGTGTAGCAGCGCGCATTACATCAAAGCAACTCACACCACATCACATCACATCGCATCACATCACGTTACACCAAAGCACCAAACCAAACAACATCACACCACACCACAGTTCAGCGCAACCCATCACGTCACACAACATTACCTCGCATCAGATCACACCACACCACTTTGCATCACACTGCACCGCATCACAGCGCAGCACATCACAACACAACACATCACCGCACCACATGGCAACATCATATCACATTTTCTCACGTCATATCACAGCGAAACACATCAACACAAATCACATCGCCGTCACAACACATCACACTACATCACCACATCACAGCAATTAAAACCACGCTGCGCCACATTACAGCGCAGCGCATCACACCGCATCACATCACATCACAGCACATCACAGCACAACACATTACTGTGTTTGTACCTCCTGGTAGGGGAGCCCAGGCGAATCACGATGTAGCATTTTGAAACCCTGACTCCTCTAAAGGAAGACCCTGTGCGTGAACAGTCCAAAACCTCGGAAACTCAACACTGGACTGTGTCTGCTCAAAAAAAAACGAGTTGTTTCATCTACAGAACTCAAGGCCCAACAGCAGCAACCCCCTTACTCCAATAAACTGTTTGCTGTCTCCTTAGGCCCAAACCAAACAAAATCAAGCTTGATCAAAAACACAGTGCTGGTCAGATCTGATCAGGTTTGACCAGGTCTGATCAGATTTGATCAGGTTTGGTTTTGCTTGGCCCCAACCCCACACTGACGAACATGAAACCTGATCAAATCTGATCAAGGCACAGTTGTGGTCAGTTTTGATTAGATGCGCTAAGATTTGGTGTTGCTTGCATTGGCCAAGGAAAGTCCTTTTGTTTGGTGGTGCCTTTTCTTTGCCAGGCAAAGCACATCACAACGCAACACACCACATCTTGACACGCCGCGTCTCATCACACCACAGCTCATCACATCACAGCAACATATCACATCACAGCGCATGACATAATGATCATGACATAGCATCACATCACACCACATCGCACCACATCACACCGCACCACGTCGCATCACACCACACATCACATCACACCGCACAGCGCATACTACACATCACAGGCAAAGTGAGGGCTCAAAACCCGGTCCAACACCGTTCATTTGCAAGGCTCCAGTTTTTGAATGTCATCAAAAAAGTTTCTGCCTGTGGGTGGGAGGGCGGCAAAATACAAAGTGGATAGCACAGGCAATTTAACAAAAACAACTTGTCCATTGGCGAGGAGGCAGTTTTCGACAAGCTTGGATGTTTGATCAGCCTGGATGTGCTGCGCTGTGATGCGATGGGGTGTCACGTGGTGTCATGAAACCATGAAATTGAGTGGCAGGCCGACATGGCCACCCTGGCGCGCTGTCCAGGATTTTGCACATCCTTCATGATACACTTTGGCCTTTACCAGGCTCACAGCCCGTTGGTTCAATGATTCCAAGCAAAACTATTCCTCTTGTGTGCCAAGAAGCAGTGGCGACTGCTCCAGCCAAGCGTTCTTAGCAGGAAGGGCTTAGTTTGGAGATGCAATTTTTAGGGTAGCCCATGGCGCAAACGCGTTTGTGATCGGCGGAGCTTGGGTGCCTGCAGGCACATTTCCCACAAACATGCGACCCAAGCGTGCTTCATTTGGCTGAGCGAGAACGGCTAGCCTGCAGCGAGTGGCGCAACTTGCTGTTACACAAAAATGGTACCAACCTCGATGTTCATAGTAAGGCTGCCAAAGGAAACTATTGTTTTGATGCACAAAACCTGAAGGGCGACGGGCAATGCTGCACCTTGCGCCACTACCAACTGGGACGTTTCACATTGTCTGTGCTCCATGGCCTTGCAGATTGAAGACCCAAAAGCCTGGCGCAAAGCATCATAGCCGTTGGCTATTGAAGGTCTCCATGTGCTAGCCCACAGGGTAGGGCAGGAGTGGCCACCAGGACATGATCAGGCCTCAAGTTGCCAAAAGCAGTCCTTGACATCCCTGGGCTGCAGCCTCTCACACGCATGGGGCATTCGTTTTGAAAAGCGGGCAAGCCCAGGCCTGCTAAAAAGAAAAGGCGCACGAGAAAGGCCAAACACTGCGAGCAAAATGGCCGAGCGCCCATGAGCAAATGTGCCTGGCTATGGCCACAACATGTGGATCAATTCAGGGCCTTACTTTTCGGCCAGGCCAAAGGCAAAACCCTAGATACCCACCAAACCCCCCAACCAATGGAGCACAGAATGTGGGTGAAGAGCTTGAACTAGGCGACGTCAGCTGGCTCTCTGGATCTGAGGGTTGGGTTAGAAAGCATGTGCTCGAACGCATCCGTCTTTAGCAGAAATGCTGGGTTGATGGCATATGGGGGTTTGTTGTTGTGGGTGTGTCTTGGATGGTGTTCGAGGGAAACCAAAAGGAAAACCACCCTTCTTGGTTGTTCTCCTAAAAGGCACCGGCATCACGTTAAAAATGCCACCCACGTTTGGGTACATGTGGTACATGTTAAAAGGGGGGTCCCAAATTAAGAAATGAGGTTTCCCTTACCAACCGAAAGGCGACCGAACCGGAAAGCAAATCCACGCGCGGCCCGTTGCGACCTTTTCGACGTGAACTGTGCGGCATGTGGAGCGAGCGAGCGCTGCACGTGGGACTCAGGTCTTTCCGCCGGGCTTTTTGAGCACGGAAGAGCTCCGGGCCCACTTCCCGCCGCTCGGCCTGGAAGGAGGCGATGCAGGGGAGAAGGCGGTGTTAGACAAATGGCGAGTTTTTTTTGGTGTGCTGAGAGGCGCTTTGGTTTTCTTTTTTCAGTTTTTCTCTTTTTTTTGGAGAGGGGGATGCTGCTAAGCGGGAGGGTGAATACGAATTCGTCGCACCCATTCGCTTCTTTTCGGCGTCCCTTGCAATTCCTTTTTTTTGTGTCAGCTTGGCGACTTGTTTAGGCCCAACCCTATGCAAGGCCGCTGCGGGGGAGATTTTTGACCAATGCAGGCCATTTTGTTTTGGTCTTCTCAAAATATACACCAGGGTTCATTGCTTTCCCAACGAAGGAATACCTAGCGCACACGCACACATAATTGTTGCCCGGTTTTGGTAGATGTCTTCAAAGGGATTCCCCAAGAAATTGGACACTGGCAAGCAAAACGTTAGGTCGCCGGGCTTCAGGTGACCCCCTTCGCCGAGGTCCATCGACCCTGGCTACACGCCCTGCGTGCTTCGCGGTCACCTCGCGGCGGAGACGTCTGACGGCCAGGCGGCCAGACGCGCGGCGGAGACTGCGCGGCAACTGCGCGCGGCTCGGCGCAGCGACTGGACAGAGCGAGCGGGCCGGCGTTTGGTTCGGGCAACCGAAAGGAACACTCATGGCAAACATGGTTTGCCTAGAGTTGGAGTGTGCAGTGCCTGGGTTGCGGTCGAAGGGGTTCTCCAAGCAACATTTTGGAGGGTTCCTTTATATGAGGTTGGTAGGGGGATGTTTTCCGAGAAAAACTGCGGGTTCCCCTCTCAAATGAGACGCCCCCTGTTTCGACCAGGTAGGCGGTGCTCGTTTTTTGGCGTAGAAAGTATTGCCACGGGGGGTGACAAACACGCATCGTAGACGATGCTTATGCAGAACCAGCCAAACCCACCAAACGCTCCGGCAGGGAGAGAGGGTGGGAGGGTGGAGGGGCGGGGTGTGCGGCGGCGCGTGGATTTGCCACTGTTGCACCTCCTGTTTGTCAACCACTGGCTTGTTCTTCCGGGTTCAAGAAAGTGGGTAGAATTTTATAAAATACACCAGACACCCTGCTCGAAATGCGCTGACAAGAATAAAGTAAAATACACAGTATGTAGCGTGGACATTTGTTCCCTCTCCAAACCTACCCTAGTAGAAAGGCCGGGTATTTGGTTAAATACGGTGCATTTTAATCTTTAGCCATGGTTGGATATCACATCTATTGGCTGAGGAGGATGCGCATCCTTGTAAAACAGGTAATGTACGGATGTAGGAAGGAACCCTGCTCGTGTACATGCCCCCTCAAATAAGACTCCAGAATGTCTGGTTTGTTCACTGCGAATCCTTAAGTATGCCAGCTAGTTCCCCTTGGAGTGGCCCAGTACGGACTACGAAGTGGGTTTCGGGATGCCCCTTTCCCCCTTATGAACAAGCCAGTTTGGGGTTTCTCTTTTGCTCTTATCACAGTTTGCCATACATCAACCCAGGAGGTCCAACATTCGACCCCCGAGGGGTGGGCAACCCTTCCTGCTCTTCACACGTGCGGCGCGCCTTTTAAGTGAGGATAGCAGTCTCCTTCTAATCATTACCCAAAAGGAAACGGGGTCATGGCCATTTTGGTTCCCCGTTTCGGTCCATTTAGTAAAGGTCCCCAAAGGTTAGCCTTATTCCTCGGTCCGAACTGGGCCAGTGAGTAGACCTACATGCACATATGCACAGAGGTGTCCTTTTTAGGCTAGTTTGGTTAAAAATTGTCTTCCAGGACCCCCCGAACGTCCTGCTAAGTGGTGAGAGAGTACCAGCTGAATCATCCATTTTTAGCCAAAAGGTCGCCTATGTACATACAGTTCCATTCCAGGGGTTGATTCTTCATTCTTTTTTCAACCATCGTTTGTTTCAAAAACCGGATCCGTTTCTTCTGGGTTTTGGATGGTTTCCTGAGAAGATTCGGATCCCTGGATTCAGAATGGGGAAGTTACCCCTAGACAAATACAGAATCACATCCGCATGTCAAATGTACAAATATGGTACAGTGGTTTGGATGGTTTCCTGCAAAGATTCGGATCCCTGGATTCAGAATGGAATTGGAAGGTAGCCCTAGAATACTGGGAGAAAGAAAAACAACAACATTGAAAAAGGTGGATATACTGGGCAATGGTCGCCCTAGATCCATCCATCCATCCGAGGACAGGCTGTCGGGCCGGCTTCTCTTCGTCGGCCACGGCGCCAGTTGCCTGGGCATCGCCCAGGCGTTTGGTGGCGACGACTACGCGACTCAGAGAAGGAAGCGCCCATTTGTCGGCTTAGACTTGGGATACATTTTACATTTTACCAGTGACTCAAAGGGAAGCAAACAATAGAATATACGCTCTATAACTGGGCCTAAGTTAAATCATGCTTTGTTGGGTGCCATAACTGTCACCAAGAATCCATATGGGGGTTTCTCAAAATGGTGGATCCCTGTTGGTTGGCATCTGAAGGACAACCCACCCTTTTAGGGGACCTGCGTTTTGAGAAACACCCATATGGCCAATATATAACTTTGCAGCCATTTTTAAGAACTAAGGTCCATGAGTTTGGTCGCTGCTGATATGGCAGTTTCTCAAAGTATAGATGGCTTTACAGGGAAAACAAGGACACCACCTACCTGGAGGAATCAGTCTCCAACTTGGAGAAATACTCACATGCACTTCGTATGAGTCTTAGACTCAGGTGGGCTATGCTTCCTTGACCCACTTCGTCCAAAGCGGGGAGCGGTGGAGGGTGGAGGGCTGCTTCAACGACGTGAGCCACTTGAGCGCCGCATGGCGAGAGAGATTCTGCTCCGGAGGGCAGGTGTTCACTGGCGCCCAGCATGAGTTTTTGTTCTTCTTATTTTTTTTCTTCCCCTTTTCTTGTACTCTTCGTGGACTCCAATGTCTTCGATCCCAAACAAGGTGGGCAATTACTTTGTTTCTACTGGTGTGACCTGGGCGACAGAAACATCCATTGGACAACGTGGGGGGTTTCCAACAAGTCAATGGTTTGGCGACCCGATTGGGATTGGACGGGAGGAAGCAGAGAGATCTCGAGCCAAGGACAAGCGCACGTCCTTGGCGAGTGCTTTCTGAGAGAAAAGTCGTGCAGAGCGGTCGGCAAAGATATGTTTTTCTGGGCGATCGCAGCCATACCCTTCTGCTTTTAGATGTTTCGCGTTAGAGGGACTTGTGACACAATAAAAGCTTAGCTTTAGGTGGCATCAACGAACCACTAGGGTTTGTTTTTTGGAGTGCAACAAGCGGGTGGATTCCTTTTAGATTCCTTTTCATGTTCCTTTAAACTCAAAGAACACGTACTCTCAAAAAGACATGTCCATATGTGCAATGGGGATTGGCAGGGATGGTGGGGAATGAGAACGGTGGAGCTACCTTTGCAATCATTTTGCATGGGCATTTTTTTCAGCGCGACCTCACGCTGCGACCTTCTTTATTCTTCATAGGGATCCCTGGTACATCAGGCTCGGCGAAGTACTGAAAACTCACCTATAACTTTAGCTCATCGTAGTGGAGATATGTGGTAGGGTAGTGGCAACCATCATGACACACGCGAAGCCACCTTCGCAAGCATGTTTTGCTTGCAGAGCGCTGTGTTTTCTTCAGAGGACTGCAAGCAAGCCCCACACTCAGAGAGGCCCGGATCCGAATGACCCAGCGACGAATTTATTGGCAGAAGATTGGTACTTGGCAGTTTGGGGAAGACATGGAGGGCCGACCGAAGTCAGTAAAATCCAGGAAGTCCAGGCCCTATTTTCTCAGGTTTGTCCGCGGCTCATACGAGCAACGTGAATATTCATCCAAGGTAGACGAAGGGATGGGTACACTCGCCAACTGATCATTTGGATGTGCAAAAGGACATTTGGCCTGTCACAGGTTGTCTGTCTTTTTGGTTTCGATTTGAGACCATTCACGAAGTTGTCCCCCATGTTTTGGACATCCCAATTTGGGTAACTACTTATTTCATCAGGGGAGGTAGCTCGAATTCTCAAAGTTGGCCACTTGGGAACAATATTTGTGAAGTCCAATCAGCGGACAGTGAATATTCCGACTTGAAGTCGTGACACCAAGGTACTGGTTTGCGACGGCACCCAAGGAAGTTTAGATTCCGCCGGTTCTCTCGTCTCGTTTGGTAACCCCTTTGGCTCCCAGCTCGTTGTTGATCCGCACTCAAATGGCGCGGAAGATTGTTTGGGTGGGTCTGCATCATAAAAGCACCCCCAAACACTCAATTTTCGGTTTTCCCTTTGGTTTCGGTTTTCCCCCACCACCAAGCTGAAACGAGTGTAAAGCAACTCAAATGACACCCAGATAGTCCACTTGCTAGCATTCCATGCCCTACCGAGGAAAAAAGAGCCCACTCGCTTCGCATGCTTAGCCTTCGCAGGCTCAAAGATGGCCGCAAATTCCTTCGTGGAAGGTGAGAACTGCTCCCATGAAACATCAAGCGATTTAGCCCAAGGTCCCTTAGCCGCGGGAAATGTTTCTTCGTTCCGGGGTGTGAATTATAATACCCTGTTTGCCAGCCGAGCAAATAGCGTCTCCTTCACAGGCAGGATGTAGGCCAAAAGAGAGACTCTACATTTCTTACCCGCAGCAAAGTACGATCTGGGAACAACGAGATGTGGATGTCTTCCTTCTGAGCCAGTTTTGTGTCGTTATTTTCAAAAGTGATCGGTAGCTCCAGACGTTTTGCCATTGTTTTTCTCCGAAAAGACTCATCCCAGGATTCAGAATGGTTGGGGGTTAGCCTTACAATTATGTTTTGCCTTTCGCGAATACCAACTTCCTCTCCACAGCCCCCAACAATATCCATGTGTTTTTTTCTGCGGAAAACCAGCAACGCCTCCCCTAAACATGCAGGAATCCTCGGGTATGCCAAACTTGTCACCAAAACTCGTTGAACAAAGACAATCCTCAGCCTTGTCACCCAAAAAGTCGTTGAACAAAGACAATCCCCAATTCTGTCACCCAAAATCTCGTTGAACAAAGACAATAATTACCCCAACCTCGTCACCCAAAAAGTCGTTGAACAAAGACAATACCCAGGCCTTGTCACCCAAAAACTTATTGAACAAAGACAATACCCCAACCTCGTCACCCAAAAAGTCGTTGAACAAAGACAATACCCCAGCCTTGTCACCCAAAACTCATTGAACAAAGACAATACCCCAACCTCGTCACCCAAAAAGTCGTTGAACAAAGATAATACCGCAGCCTCGTCACCTAAAAAGTCGTCGAAGAAAGACAATAATTACCCCAACCTCGTCACCCAAAAAGTCGTTGAACAAAGACAATACCCCAGCCTCGTCACCTAAAAAGTCGTCGAAGAAAGACAATAATTACCCCAACCTCGTCACCCAAAAAGTCGTTGAACAAAGCAAAACTCCAATTCTGTCACCCAAAAAGTCGTTGAACAAGGACACGCCGACCTGGTTTTAGTTTCTCTATGCTTGCCGAAGATGGTGTCGGGTCCGGAGATGGAGCCGGACGTGCTGCCGGTCTTCTACTACAACGACCTCTTGCTCTCCAGGATCGGGCGGGATGGACGAAACCCTACAGACTCTGAGACGAGCCAAGTGGCTGTGGGTCAAAAATAGGGAAACCCCAACATGGCACCCTGGTAAATGGAGAACAATGACTAAAACCAGCGCTCCCCTGGTGGTGTAATTTTGACCCATACCCAAATGCCAAGTGGTGCAAAATGCAGGTCCAGTGGGTTCAAAGTGTGGAAGCTACCGGAGAACCACGACTCAGTTGCATTTGAAAGGTGGCGATGGCAGTGCCCCGGACTTGGCGCATTTCTTGGGACCATTTTCGCGGCAAGACACTTTAAGCTTTGGCCACTCAAGTGAGAAGTCAATTGACCACTTTATAGCGTCCTTGCCCAAAATGGCCATGAATTTTAAGAGTTGGCACCGCCAACCACAAGTGGTTCGTGGACATGACTCACCTAAGCAATGTTCACCAAACACCCCAACGGTAGGGCCCCCGTTTGGATACACAGGGAAGCCACAAGGAAACCAACCAATTAAACTTATCGCCCATATGTACCAGGACAAATACCTACCCTAGGTTGATTGCCTCACTCCCTGAGTTCACGGACTTTTTACTTGACCATTTTGGTGGTAAACAAGAAGATCAGACGTTTTTTGGGCCATCCACTGAGGAAGTGAGTTACCCCTCATGTTCGCAAATGCTGCACCTGCCAGGATCGGCGATACCATCGGCGGGGGTTCCCGGAACTCCGAGGCGTGTGGTTTGGAGAGTTTTTTGACCTGGCCTCACTTCGCTGAATACCACGCTTTCCCAGCCATCCGCTACGGGGCATGGGCTCCCGGAATGGCACTGATCTTGGTTAGCCATGCCCTTAGCGTTTTAGTGTTTTGGCAGTTCTGTATTTAACCCGCACAAAGTTAGTCACTCTTAGCGGGGGATCTGAGGACAGCCCATTCCGGGGCGTGGGGGTGTTGTTTGAGTTCCTGGACTTTAGGCACTTTTTGGGAGGACCCACATTTTAGTGGCAAGCAGATGTCTTGGACTTTATTTTGCAAATCCACTCGGGAAGCGAGTAGATTGAAGTAGATTGGTCAGATGGTGTGCTCAAACTTTGGCCCCCTCCTACCTTGGGTTCAAACTGCCCCAGATATCCTTAAAAATACCGGCCCTTCCTTTTGGGGTTTCCCAACAGCTCGTCGAAAACGGCCAGCCCTGCTCCAAATTTCGCTTTTGTGGACAAGGGGGGGAGTCCCTAAAAGTGTAGAAACACGCTGGATGTGGCTAAATGAGAGACTGCTTACGACTTGAGGAACGGCTCACGACCCTGGAATCCGATCCAAATATATGCTTGCTCTGACGAGTTTTTTTTTGCTGGGAACCTGTAGCTTTGGAAAGCAGCAAGGGTACTGCTTCAAAGTGCAGAACCGGGTGTCAATTCAGCCAACTTCAAGTTCAGCAAATGGCGGCTGTGTTTCAACTTGACGGCCCACTTGAAAAATGTCAACCTGGAGTCTCCCTGAACCTTGAAGCCTCGGTTCACCCAAAACCAAAAACCCCAACTCCTTCAGACTCGACTCCAGCGTCCCCTTGGCCGAGCCGAATCCACGCGACCTTTTGATGGGTTTGTTTTTGGAAATCGACGAGCTCCACTGAGTTGGATGGGTCTTATAGGATATCCATTTACCACTGAAATCGGACTCGCTTTCCGGGAAGTGGATTGGTCCACTCGTACCTAGAGTGCTCTTCTGCCGCCTCGTTTTCCGGGAAGCCGGTCCCCGAGCACCGGGCTCTCGCAGCTCCCAAGCCCCCAAGCCCCGGAGCCCCGGAGCCCCGGAGCCCCGGAGGTTCGGGGCTCGAGTCGAAGTCGAGGCCTGAACTTGTTCGAGCCCCGGTACCTGGAGATGTGCCGAAGGTTGGCGGCGGACCCCCGGTTCCTCTTCATGCCCAACTTCCAGGACGAGAAGCCGGGAGAGTCTAGAGATGTCTCCCAAATGGGGCAGAGGCGAGCCTAAGCACCCCAAAAGCAACAAAGTTGGGGCCTTGGTCTTTCTCTTTCTCTTTTTCTGAAAAGGTGCCCTTTTTAGGGATTCGGGCTGTTGGGCGTGTCGTTTTTTTTGGTTGGGAGGTACCCTTTTTAGGCATGATTTTAGCGGGGAACCAGTTAGAAGAGCCGCCAGGTTGGGGGCCGATTCCTTTTTTTCAAGACGTCAGCTTCCCGGTCTCAGGTCCTTTGGGGCGGTTTTTGCTTACGGGTAGGCTCCCTTGGGTTTTCCGTTGAAAGGGCACCTTCAGAAAAGAAAAGGCACCTGGAAGGTTGGGTTTTCTACCAGGGCTGCTTTTAGGAACCTAAAGAAGGGTACACATATTCGATTCGTTTATGCTGGAAAGCCACTATCTGCAACGTAAAGCACATCCCGGCTTCGGTTTAAAGATATCAAAACCAGCAGGTGGGCCCTGAAACGCATTCCCCCCCCCCTCCGCCCACCTCCTCCATTTTTCTCCCACCTCCGGGTGGCGATCCTGCAACCCAGACTTCGGGGACTCCGGAAAAGCTCGATGCCCGGCCAGCCGACTCGCTCCCGGCACGACTCGCCCGCTCCGCCGTCGGCGTCGACGGGGCGTGGCGCCGCGGGCCGAGGACTACCACTGCCGGCCCGGGGACGTGGGCTTCGTGGTGCGGCTCACGGGGCTTTGGCCCCAGGCGAGGGGCGAGGGGCGAGGGGCGAGGGGCGACGGATTTTTTTTTGGCGTCCGGGGCGTGGGCTTTGGATGGGGCTCCAGACTGAAAAAGGCCCCGAAAAAGAAAAACAAGGGGCCCACATAAAGACCACGGATCCGAATCCTTTGGTTTTGGGACATCTTCTTTCGGAGAAGCTGTGCGGTTTCAGTTTGGCTTCTCTTTGAACCGCAAAAGACTACACAGAATAAGCACATTCTGTACTGGCACTTTCTTTCCCACTGCGGGCAGGAGGGGGGGGGGGCCTTTGTTTCCAACCTAAACACACATCACCCCAAATGGCGACTCACGAGACCTGAAAAGGCGGTTTGTAAGCCACTCGAATCGAAAAGGGGAATCGAGTGCCACTGGCAACCCAGTTGATTCATAGACGCCTGGTTGATTTACAGTGACCTCTTTGAGGGGGCATCCTACAGCCGAAAAGAGGCCAACCAGTTTTGAGGAAACCAACAAGCCCGAGTTGTTCAATCTTCCAGAGATCATGTTTTGAGGGTCCCCCATCTTTAGAAGAGATAGGGTCTGCTTTGTGAGGGTACCTCTTTTTTTTTTGGGGGGGGGGGGTGAAAGGGACACCATGAAGGAACAACACAATTCTTGGGGGGCCTTAAAAACCCGCACCCAGCTTTAGTTGTGCTTACATGGGGTCCTACTACCTTTGGGGTTGTATCCAGTTTGGTTGTCTACTTAGAGTCTCCATGACCCTCAAAAAACGGGTCCATGACCTCTTTAATCTTTTGGTAACAACCCCATTTTTCATGGGTCAGAAGGAGACTCCAGGTACTCCTCTCGGTGGGTCGGTGGTACCAACCGAAACGTGCGGCGCTGGGTCTCTCCACTCGCAGGCGCGGGGCCGCGCCTTTGGCGTGCAGGGCTTCGCTGAGCGCCTGGTGGCGGCCAAACCCTCGGTGGCTGGCTGGGTGCGTGCGTGGGGTGGGCGAAGGGCCGGCCTTCGACAAGATCTTAGAGAAGCATTTGTGGTTCGAAGTGGGAGCAAAGTTTTCTTGGTACGGAATCGGTCATCATTTTGCGGTTGTTGGTTAAAAGTGCCACTTTGGTGTTGCTGAACAGGGAGAACAGGAAATACACCATTTCCGAGATTCCATTTGTTTCAGATACGGAAGGCTATATGAAAATGGGCCATCCCATCGAATCCCCACATGCCGTTTCCGAAGCCTTTCTCAAGCGCGTTCTGAGAAAGCCTCTCTGAAACCCAAGCGGCTCAAACAATTGCAAAGCAGCTCCCAACACTATCATACAATTGTATGGCTATGTTGCCGAAGGGACCGCCTATTTTGCGGTCCTCCTATTTTTGCTGGTCCTTCTTGGTTAGGCTTGCAAACGCGTGCACGAATGTTCGCCTGAGCTATTCTATAGTTCACCTACCACCGTCCACTGGGCACAGCCTTTTTCTCCGGCTAAAAGCTGTGGGCCACAACTTTCGTAACGCGTTGTAAACCGTTTTTGTTTCGCCGTATTTGATAGCAGCAAATTGAATTCCTGTGGATGGACGAAATCGTGCAACAGTAGAGAGTTGGTTGTCCCACAATTTATGAAGTTTCATTAGTCCCAATCTCCCGAAAGTGTGTTTCTTTTGGCTTCCTGCACTTTTGATGTGCGCTCGTGCTCGGTAGAACGATCTTCTGACGAAGGCCCCTTACTTATGGGTCTTGTTTGTTGGATGAAATGCGGGCCCGATATCCAAATCCTCTTCCCCCCCAACAAAAGAAAGAGGAAAGAAAACACACGCACACAACAAAATTCAACTAATAAATAAAATGAAGCTAATAATACTGATAATGATAATGATAATAATGATAATGATAATGATAATGATGATGATGATGATGATGATGATGATGATGATGATGATGATGATGATGATGATGACGATGACGATGATAATGATGATAATGATGATGATGATGATGATGATGATGATGATGATGATGATGATGACGACGACGACGACGATGATGATGATGATGATGATGATGATGATGATGATGATGATGATGATGATGATGATGATGATGATGATGATGATAATAATAATAATAAAAATAAAAATAAATAATAATAATAATAATAATAATAATAATAATAATAATAATAATAATAATAATAATAATAATAATAATAATAATAATAATAATAATAATAATACTAAAATGATAGACACAATAATAATAAACATACAAATAATAACAATAACAATAAAACATAGAACTAGTAATAGTAATAATAATAGTAACCATCATACCAGAAACACGCACCAAAAACAAGCCAACGCCGGCGTTGTGCGCCGCTCAGGTCGCCTGCAGCTGGGAAGAGCCGGACACAGAGGGCCTCCACTGTGCGCAGTTTTGGGCTTTGGATCCCAAGAAGGCCGAGGGATCCGCAGGTTGCGGCGCTCCGGGCGTGTGTCGTTTGAGTTTTTTTGGCGGAAGTTCCTGGGGGTTGCTTGGGATGTGGTGTTTTGTTTTTTTTCCCTGGGGACGGGGTAGAGCATTTTTATTATTTATTTATTTTTGGGGGGGAGGTTTTGTGGGGTTGCTTGGATGAGGTGTTGCTTTTCTCCTCGGGCTGGGTTTCTCTTGGGTGGGGGTTCCCTGCGGAGGGTTTCAGAGAGACCTGCAGGAAGAGTTCCAGATGTTCGCCCAAAAGAAAGCTACCCGAGAGGCGTTCAAAAAGCAACTTCGAGCTTGGTTTGTTGCGGTCTACCGAAAGTGTCTCTGGCGCTGTGAAACCCAAAGGAGGTTGTTTATGCAGCAAATGTGGGACCATGTTTGACCGAAAGGAGGTTGCTCCTTGGACCAGCAGTGGTCGTAAAATATCCTAAAAGTGAGCTCCGGCCAAACCTGGAAAAGCCACCTGTTCTGTGGAAAAAGGGGACCCTTGTTGAGGTTGACCATAGGTGGAACCCAAGGGGCTTTGTCTCAAAATCAGGGAGCATCAAAAACAATTCACGGTTTTCCCTGTGGGTTCCCCAGTTTAACACCACCCCAAATGGGGGTTTCCTCAAAAAAGCAGACAGACCAGACTGCAACACCCTTGGCTTGGCAGAACCCGAAGCCGTGAGTTTCACGCAGGCGCCTCTCCAGGAGCAGGCGGGAAATACGAGCGTGTCGTTGTCCCGATAGCGCGTGGGAGCGACGGGAAGGGATGGGTGTGGGCTCGCACTGGTGACTCTGCAATGTGGCGAATGTTGACCCCATATGAATCAACCCCAGTTCATTCATAGGGGGGAGTGTTCCCCTCCAAAAGTGATGATTCCCCACTAAACCCAGCAACACCCGCTATGAGTAAACTAGGCTTTTTTGATATGGGGTCAACATGTTTTAATTGGGGTTCCTTGGGTGGACGTTTTTTGAGGGAGCCATTTTGGGGGTTTGGTTCAAAGAGAAACCAAAAGGACCCCCGAAATCAATTTGGTTCCTGGATCACGTGTGGCGCGCTCGTCGCCCCTGCCAGCTCTTCCACCAGCTCACGAGCTTTTGCGGCGACTTCCAGACGTGAAATCTCCTTTTTTGCAATGCGAACACCCAGAGGATCTTCCAGTGGTTGGACGACCGCCATGGACATACATTTACACATGAGTTCTTTGAGAAGTCCAGCATGTACGTCTCGAGACACCACCGTGACAGATCCGAAGACGGCGCTGGTGGTGGCTGAAGTAGTTTCAAGGGGTTCTCCCAAAAAGACCCCCATGGGTGTTTCTCAAGGTTCGCGCGGGGAAACCTTCGCAAAGGGGTCGGGGTGCATTTGTGGTCTATGGTCCATGTGGGAGAGACATGGGGCGGCACTCAGCGAAAATTCCTCAAGCCAGGGGCGCACTAAATTCCCCATGTCGCCTGGGAAGCTATGATCATGAGGTAATTGGTTTCATAGAGCCCCACAACCCTTTTCTTAACCCGTTTCTTACGTCTCACTCTTTCTCTCTTTTCTCTATCTTGCTGCTTCCCTCACTTTCTGTTGTGCATGTCGTTACTTCTTTCTTTTCCTATTTTTGTTTCCTTTTCTTCTTTGTTTCTTTCTTTGTTTCTTTCTTCTTTGTTTCTTTCTTCTTTGTTTCTTTCTTCTTTGTTCTTTTCTTTTCTTGCCTTCTCTTTTCATGCCTTTTCTTTTCATGCCTCTTCTTTTTTCTTTTCTTTGGTGTCCTTTCTTATTTCCTTGTCATGTATGTTGTTTTTGTTCTTTCTTTCCTTTGATTTCTTTTAGCTGTGTTTATTTCTTTCTTTCTTGCTTGCTTTCTTTCTTTCTTTCTTTCTTTCTTTCTTTGTTTCTTTCTTTCCTTCCTTCCTTCTTTCTTTCTTTCCTTCTTTCCTTCTCTCTTTCTCTTTCTCTTTCTCTCTCTCTCTCTCTTTCATGCTTCAGGCGGGAACCCCAGTTGAGTGAGCAGAACCCCACAAAACAGACAGGATGTTCGACCGCCGATTCGCGACCTCGACGCAGGAGTTCTGGGCACTGCTGCAAGCGATGAAACAGTCAGGGTGGCAGATGGATCCTTGGCCAAACTTCTGAGAGATCCAGAGCTCTCCCCGAAGGACTTAAGTCACTTTTTGTGGTTGGGCCATTTGGCCATTTGGCCAAAATCCCGTACCCCCAGTGAACATCCCAATCCAACCACGAAAACAGGTTCTAGAATGGGTGGCACCTACCCCAAAATGGTACGATTGGTTTTGGCCCACAGCCATTTTAGTGGCAAAGAAAAAGTCTGGACTTTGCAAGAAAGCCATACTTGTTGTGCGTGCCTTGATGGGCTACGATCTCTCAACTTTGAGCTGAGGCCAACTACTTCGACTTCTGAACAAGAGTTCATACATCTCCCGTTGATCACCTTTCGGGCCAACCAAGAGGGTGATGTTCAGGCTCCCAACAAGCCGGCTGCTAATTTTTACCTGCCACTTCCCATCATGCCTTTGTTACAAACTAGGGGTAACATTTAGCACGCGTTTTACCTCCCACCTGGCTTTGGAATCTGATTGGACCCCCGGTTTCAAGTATTTTCCTCTTAAGTCTTACCCTTTTGCTTCTTTGTTGTGGCCTCCATGAGGTTTTTTGTTGATTTCCCGTGGCCAAATCAAAGCTCTTTGATGTCTTCCTTTGCTTGGCGGTTCCCTGCCGTCCCCTTAAGCTTTTAGGTTTTAAGGGTTCAGTGTAAGTTTCCTGGAATCCCAAAAATGGCACCCAAAGGTGAATGGAAGCAAAGACTAAAACCTGCGTAACCCTGGCTCTTGAAGTTTTGAGCCATACCCACCGGAACCTTTTCTCATGGGCGGATTTGGCCCAACGATTTGCACATGTCAACCTGGACACAAGTTTTGTTGGCACGTTCCAGCAAATTGACATGGACCCCCCCTTTGTTGGGTCCCCAAAAGGAGTTGCCTGTACAAACGAAGCTGCTTTTGGTTCCATGCTCTCCTGCACAGGCTGCACTCATGAACCGAATGTCAGGTTTGTCAGAGCATTGAGAGGGCTCACACGCGCTTGCAACGTGGCCGCTTTTTGTTGAGGGTAGCCCTTGTTTGGTGGCTTTAGCAAATGTTTTAGAGGGACACCAAAAGGACACCACCAAACGGAAATTGGGGGGGTCGCCCTAACAAAGACACACCCAGCTCGAGCCCCCCGAATCCACCCCCCCCCCCCGCGAATCCGCCAACCCGACCCGTGACTCGTTCTGCGACCTTCCGCCGAGCTCAGGACCCCGAGTCCTTCTCGAGGCTGCACTTCAGCCACCTCCAGGCGGATTCGGTTTCTAGAGGTACCTTCCAATTCCATTCTGAAAGCGCGTGGCGGTTTAGTATTTTTTGTTGAAATGCTTGGTACCCCTTTCTTGGGGATCAAAGAGGTGTTAAATATTGCTTTCTGGGGGTAGTTTCCAATTCCATTATATGTACCCAGAATGGAATCCTGGTAAATGGACACATGGACCAAAACCTGCGGTCCAATTCCTGGCGGTTTAATTTTGACCCATACCCATGCATGTTTCTAGGGGTAGTTTCCAATTCCATTCTTTCCATGGCATCCAAATCTTTCTAAAAAAACACCCAAAACCCTGGGTGAACGGATCCGGTTTTTGAAGAGAACGATGGTTGAAAAGAATGGGGAAGCACCCCCTAGAATGTTGAAAAACCCAGATCCCAGACAAACTTGCTGGTGCGATGACCCCGAAATAAACCGTCCAACTGGTGGTTTCCTTTGAGGGGAGGTTCATTCCCTCATTCCTCATTCCCTACAGAGCGCCAGCAAGAAAGGGTTCTTGTCCTCTTTCCAAAAACCATGGAAGTGGATAGACGGGTTCCCCAAAAGGCAAGCAGTCTTCTAGAACCCTTCGATCGTCAGCTTCCATGATTGTTGAAGGGAGGGTACTGTAGAACCTTGAGAAGGGTTCTTGGAAAGATTCTGAGAACCATTTTGGCTAGTCGGGGGCCCGATTAGCCCTATTGGCCACAACTTCAAAACCCGGGCAAGTAAAGGTTCAGGGCAGCTCCGGTCATGACCAGGTGCGGATCCCTTGCAATTGCGTATATGGGTACCAGTTTTGATTAAAACCCATTTGGTGGGTGGCGCTCTAGTGGATGCGCGTGTGTTTTGGTTCTTCTTTGTGTGTTCGTGCTCTCCTGAGCTTTGTTGTTCTTTTGTGGGAACAGACATGACACCCATCAACTGTTTGGAGGGGGGTTGGTTTCCATACACTAGCTCGCAAACAGACTCTCACTTTCTGCAGGGACTCTGCTGTGGCAAGCTTGACCGAAAAACAGTTTCAGACCAGTCCGTTGTTGTTTTCAGCTTGCTTTTGCCATCTATCCTGAACAATTCAACGCGCAATGCCAAAAGAGGGTTTACAACACAGCGTTGTCGGTTTTTTTGCTTCTGAGTTTCCTTCATTTTCCCTTTTCACTAGCAACAGGTTTCACTTTTTGCAGGGGTCCACTCATGTGGCCAAGAAAAGCAGACTCCGGCCGCAGTACTTATAGGCGCGGGGTACTTAGTGACCAAGACTTAGTGCAATCTATCCATGGTGGCAAGCTCCCTACAGGCTTACCAATCACTTACGCACCAGGAACACTTACCTCCCAATAGTCAGGTTTATTCACCACATACCTGTACCAAATCGATCGCTTGAAGTTAAGTAGGGTCCGGGTTTTTGGTCTACCTTTCAGGCGCCCCTGTTTAGGGGTTCTAGACAAATTGGTTCCGATCGCCTGCGCAGGAACGTGTCCGAGTTAGGAACAAAAACACGTTAGATTTTATTCAACGAAGCCTTGGGCCTCTTTTTTGGGGTTGGTTAAAGGGAAATCAAAGGACACCACCCATCTTGCTTGTCCCCTAGGAGAACCCCCCGCCCCCTTCACCTTGGGGTCTTGATTTCACCGGAGCCGCGTCTCACATGTGTTTGGCCTCGCGAGGTGCCGGGCACGGATGTGCTCTTCAGCTCCAACTGGCAAAACCAGCGCCTTGGTACAGGCTGAATCGGGTGGCTTGGAGCTTGTGTGGTTGACGGGTGGCTTGGGGTGGTGCTTGGAGGGTTTGGGAGGCGGTTTTGGGGATCGGTTTCCGGTTTCCCTGCAAAGCTTAGGGCTAGCACGTTCTAAAACACGAATGGGGGGGGTACTGTTAAGCCGAATTCCATTCTGGGACAAAACATGCGTGTAATTGTTCAGCCCCTTCCATGGAAGTTTTTTCAACACTCCCCACGCGAAGGGGACCCTTTTCCAGGCATTCCGGGAGGTTTTTGCAGGGGAGGTCACTGTCACTGTTTTGGTTTCAAGGGTTCTTCTGATGGGATATTAAAGCATTAGTACCCAGACTGATGCAGAACTCACCCAGACTGTTGGCATGTTTGGTCAGCAGATTGGCAGATTCAGAAGTTTGCCCAAAATCACATGTCTGACTGGGCTGTTCAAAAGCGATCTGTAAGATTGTGTCAAGACATTTGGCTGCATGATCAGAAGGCCAAGAACTCACTGCATCTTCCTTCACCTAGATGATGCTGCTCTCATTTTCTGGGGGGTACCGAAATCTCTTCCGACGCCGGGCGTCTTTTTTCGCGAGTCGAGGACCTTTGTGCTGGCCTTCCTCGCCAGTCCGGAGGCTGAGAGGCGGGTTTTCCTCCGTGGGAGCGAAGCATGGGGCGGGAGTGGTTTCCCATGGGCTTCCTTGTGAAAGCAAAACATATGGGTCTGTCGTCGTCGTTTTTTTTTTTTTTTGAGAATGTTCCTTCGAGGATGTTCCTTCTTTTTTGTTGGCGGTTCTAAATGGACGCCATAAGGGAAATCACCACCCACGTGTGCAAATTGAAGAATCAAAGGGTTACCGAAAGGGACTTTTTAAGTTTTTCCAGACCCCTTGTTTGGCAACCAGATTTGGATTTATTTGGACCACTGAGGAACCAGCTGATTTAGAAGGTTTTCTTGGTAGTTGGATGTTTTTTTTTGGTGTATGCTTTGAGGAGCCCATCGTAAGTTTCAACAGATTCCAGCCTCTCTTAAACCTTCCATTTGGGTATGTGTCAACATCGCCCAACATGGATTTGGGGTTTCCTTCTGGTTTGCCTTTGAACCTACGTACCCCAAAAAGAGTACTGCCCGATTTGGTGCCAACAACCACGCATATCGGGGCAGGTACTCTTGTCCTGTGGCTTGGTTTCAACGGGAAGTCAAAGCACCTTGGAGCTGAGCAGCTCAAGTCCTAAGTTCTAAGACTTCAAGATGCTTTACCATAGCTTGGAACAAATGGCAGTGGTTGTCAAAAATAGGGTAACCCCAAAATGGGTTGCCCTGGTAAATGGAAGCATGGACCAAAACCTGCGGTTCAAACACCTGGTGGCTTAATCTTGACCCATACCCAAGTGGGCGGGTCCTTTTTCGAGGGTACTTTTTTTTGTGGTAAGAGGAAACCAAAAGGAATTTGGGATCCGATTCCTAAAACAAGACACCCATTTTTGGTTGTGGTTCATTGGGGTTCTACCTTCGTACACTGCCAGGACAAAAGTTGCGCCTCTCAGGCCTTCTCAGAGAAAACCCTTTCCCCTTTTAGAATCCTGCAAGCTGATGCTGGGTCACTCGTGGTCGAATTTTCACACTCCAAAACCTTTAAAGTATTTTAAATTGAAAAGAGGGTGATAATTGACCGTCCCACTCCTGCCACACAAAACCGAATTCGAAATTTGACCCGCAGGTGATCCATACGGCTTTGCAGAAACCAGCAAGAGGCATAAACTTTCGTCCTTCTGATGTCTGCAGCCAGATGTTTGAAAGGAGCCGCGAGTGCCACTAAATTATCTTGACTGCCCTGCGTTACGGCAGGGGTGTTGCATTGAGGTCTAAGCTGACCTGCCTTTTGGCGCCGAGAGCCGTCGTACAGTACACAGCAGAGATTGCGAAAAATGCGAATCGCTCGTCTGCAGCCTGTCACCCAACACCCCTCCCGTGACGCAGTCTGCAGCCAGATGTTTGAAAGGAGCCGCGAGTGCCACTAAATTATCTTGACTGCCCTGCGTTACGGCAGGGGTGTTGCATTGAGGTCTAAGCTGACCTGCCTTTTGGCGCCGAGAGCCGTCGTACAGTACACAGCAGAGATTGCGAAAAATGCGAATCGCTCGTCTGCAGCCTGTCACCCAACACCCCTCCCGTGACGCACTGCCAGGACAAAAGTTGCGCCTCTCAGGCCTTCTCAGAGAAAACCCTTTCCCCTTTTAGAATCCTGCAAGCTGATGCTGGGTCACTCGTGGTCGAATTTTCACACTCCAAAACCTTTAAAGTATTTTAAATTGAAAAGAGGGTGATAATTGACCGTCCCACTCCTGCCACACAAAACCGAATTCCGGAAAGCCATACGGCTTTGCAGAAACCAGCAAGAGGCATAAACTTTCGTCCTTCTGATGTCTGCAGCCAGATGTTTGAAAGGAGCCGCGAGTGCCACTAAATTATCTTGACTGCCCTGCGTTACGGCAGGGGTGTTGCATTGAGGTCTAAGCTGACCTGCCTTTTGGCGCCGAGAGCCGTCGTACAGTACACAGCAGAGATTGCGGAAAATGCGAATCGCTCGTCTGCAGCCTGTCACCCAACACCCCTCCCGTGACGCACTGCCAGGACAAAAGTTGCGCCTCTCAGGCCTTCTCAGAGAAAACCCTTTCCCCTTTTAGAATCCTGCAAGCTGATGCTGGGTCACTCGTGGTCGAATTTTCACACTCCAAAACCTTTAAAGTATTTTAAATTGAAAAGAGGGTGATAATTGACCGTCCCACTCCTGCCACACAAAACCGAATTCGAAATTTGGCCCGCAGGTGATCCATACGGCTTTGCAGAAACCAGCAAGAGGCATAAACTTTCGTCCTTCTGATGTCTGCAGCCAGATGTTTGAAAGGAGCCGCGAGTGCCACTAAATTATCTTGACTGCCCTGCGTTACGGCAGGGGTGTTGCATTGAGGTCTAAGCTGACCTGCCTTTTGGCGCCGAGAGCCGTCGTACAGTACACAGCAGAGATTGCGGAAAATGCGAATCGCTCGTCTGCAGCCTGTCACCCAACACCCCTCCCGTGACGCACTGCCAGGACAAAAGTTGCGCCTCTCAGGCCTTCTCAGAGAAAACCCTTTCCCCTTTTAGAATCCTGCAAGCTGATGCTGGGTCACTCGTGGTCGAATTTTCACACTCCAAAACCTTTAAAGTATTTTAAATTGAAAAGAGGGTGATAATTGACCGTCCCACTCCTGCCACACAAAACCGAATTCGAAATTTGACCCGCAGGTGATCCATACGGCTTTGCAGAAACCAGCAAGAGGCATAAACTTTCGTCCTTCTGATGTCTGCAGCCAGATGTTTGAAAGGAGCCGCGAGTGCCACTAAATTATCTTGACTGCCCTGCGTTACGGCAGGGGTGTTGCATTGAGGTCTAAGCTGACCTGCCTTTTGGCGCCGAGAGCCGTCGTACAGTACACAGCAGAGATTGCGGAAAATGCGAATCGCTCGTCTGCAGCCTGTCACCCAACACCCCTCCCGTGACGCACTGCCAGGACAAAAGTTGCGCCTCTCAGGCCTTCTCAGAGAAAACCCTTTCCCCTTTTAGAATCCTGCAAGCTGATGCTGGGTCACTCGTGGTCGAATTTTCACACTCCAAAACCTTTAAAGTATTTTAAATTGAAAAGAGGGTGATAATTGACCGTCCCACTCCTGCCACACAAAACCGAATTCGAAATTTGACCCGCAGGTGATCCATACGGCTTTGCAGAAACCAGCAAGAGGCATAAACTTTCGTCCTTCTGATGTCTGCAGCCAGATGTTTGAAAGGAGCCGCGAGTGCCACTAAATTATCTTGACTGCCCTGCGTTACGGCAGGGGTGTTGCATTGAGGTCTAAGCTGACCTGCCTTTTGGCGCCGAGAGCCGTCGTACAGTACACAGCAGAGATTGCGGAAAATGCGAATCGCTCGTCTGCAGCCTGTCACCCAACACCCCTCCCGTGACGCACTGCCAGGACAAAAGTTGCGCCTCTCAGGCCTTCTCAGAGAAAACCCTTTCCCCTTTTAGAATCCTGCAAGCTGATGCTGGGTCACTCGTGGTCGAATTTTCACACTCCAAAACCTTTAAAGTATTTTAAATTGAAAAGAGGGTGATAATTGACCGTCCCACTCCTGCCACACAAAACCGAATTCGAAATTTGACCCGCAGGTGATCCATACGGCTTTGCAGAAACCAGCAAGAGGCATAAACTTTCGTCCTTCTGATGGTTCCCTTTTAAACCCCCCAAGACAGGGGTGCCAACTCGAAGCAAGACACACCCAAAAATAGACGAAGCGTCTAGGGGTACCTTCCAATTCCATTGTTGCCATGGATCCGGATCTTTCTAGTACAATCTTTAAACCCCTCGAGAAAGGGGTTCCAACTAAAATGAAAGACACCCCCAAATATTATGGGGGTTGATTCACCATTCTTTTCAACCATCGTTCTTTTTCAATCCGATCGCCGTTTTTCCCCGGTTTTTGGTGGTTTGGCAGAAAGATCCGGATCCCTGGAAAGAATGGAATTGGAAGCTACCCCTAGAAATATACCAAGCCGTACCGCGCCACGAGTCGGGGGCCTTCGAATCTCCAGGTGTTTCGTGGACACTTGGCTGGCGGCGCAGCCGGCGCTCGCGGCGCCGCGTTTGTCTGGGCCTGCGTTCCTGGAGGCAGGCCGGAGGTCCTGCCAATGCCGACCTTTGAAGGGGAACCGTTGAACCAATATGGCCGTGGGTCAACACCAATGGTACCATTTTGGGGTAGGTGCACCACCCATTTTAGTCTATTTTAGTGAATTTTAGTGGAGATTGGGATGTTCACTGGAGGTACGGGGTTTTGACCCATAGCCATATGGATGTACGATACGAGTTTCTCTTTGTTCAAGAAGACCATGTTTCCAAGGTTGTTTATGTAAACTGGTTTGGTGTTCTTTTACATGTTTCAAGGGGTTAGTCCCAGTTGCAAGCCTGGAGTTTTCACACAACCCAACCTGGAAGATACGCATCCACGCTGGGGATAGGAAAGGCCGGGCCCCCGCTCCCCGCAAATTGGACGGGGGTTGGGACACCAAACACGATCATTCCATGAGTCAAGAGTCAAAACAGCTCACCACCAGGATATGGACCGGTTTTAGTCCATGTTTCCATAAACTGGGATTTCATTTTGGGTACCGATTTTTGACCCACAGCCATTTTGTCTCCAAAATGGGACCCCAAAATGGTTCGGCGGTTGGACCGTCCCTTTCAAAAAAGGGACGCTCTCATTTTGTTTGAAGGTGTTCAGAAGGTTGGGACGAAGGTTGGGACTGTTTGGGTCATCCTAAGACAACAATTCGGAAGCCTGCAGAAATGGCCCTCTCACAGGGCGGCATCCAAAGAGCTCGTAAGTGGGAACCCCAAATCATCCAAGGCTACACCCTCTAAGCCTTTAGGCAAAACCTACGGGGCTCGCCGAAAGAAGAAGGAACAACTCATGGCCAAGTATTCAAGCAACATGATAGCATGATATTTATTGATATCGGCTGGCTGTGGTTATTTTAAATTATATTTATGTGCTTTAAGGCACTATTTGCGCAGATTTTCAGACGAGCTCATCCATATCTGGTAAAACGCGTGACGATAATCCCTGGGTCCGGTTCTGGGGTCCGCGTGCGGGCCCTCAACTGCCTGTTTTGAAGTCAGCCTTTGGATAGCGCTTAAGACCATGGTTGAACATCCATATTGTGCCTTAAAATCGGGTAGGCCATATATTCGGACTATGGCTCAAATCTTCCATTTTCTAAAAGGTGTTTTAGTTGGAATCGATTTCACTTTTGGACATACTTTCTGCTTTTTTCCAGCGGACACAAACGCAACATGCACCTACCAAAATTGACCCCCCCTTTTTTTGTGGGGGGGCAGGGGTTTGGACGCTTCTCAAGTTTTGGCGTCTCTCTCTTTTCCGGGCGTCCCTCATCTGGTTGTTTTGCCTTTTTGTTTAGTTGGAACCGAGTTGTTGGGTTTTTCAAGGGACACCATTAGGAACAGCACCGTGCTTGTCTTCTGTGAGTTGGAAGCCTGTACATTCACCACGTACTGGAACCACCTACCAAAATGATCCGTTTTCTTGAGGGGTAGCATGGGCGCTTCTGTTCTGGCCCATTTGGTTGCTGAAAGACGGGTTGAAGCTCCAATTCCAGGCGCTGCAGCGCTTCCCGGGCCTGGCCAAAGGCGTCCCGCTGGACGAGGCCACCGCTGGAAGCTTCGCCGACCGGCGGGCTTGGGGAGAATGGTGGGGCCTCGTTTTGGGCTTTTCTCTCCAGAAAACCCGCCAAAAAAATGGGGACCCTCCAAAAAGAGACAGACACACATTTTGAAGAATGACCTTTTTTTGGTGTAGGCGTCCGTTTTGTTCAGTTTTTTCAAGGGCCCGGGTGGACATTTTGGTTTAATCATCTATTAGGGCCATGTGTTTTCCTCAAAGGACACATCTGCTCTGCGGCCGACAACCAATATATGACAAAGTGGCTACCCCCGAGATATGTTGGGGTATGCCGTGGCAAAACACTTACCAAGTTCGGGAGCAACCTGGCACTTTGAGTTGTTTCTGAAATTACGTTGGCCAATTCTAAGTGCCATTAAGAGGGCACGTCTTTGCGGATGTCGTTTTTTGCTCTGCTTGGGCGCTCCTTGACTTGTGTTTGCGCTAAGAGCCCCGGAGAAGGTCCATAGGGAACTGCACCCCCTTCAGGTCTTCTGCACCCGGGGTCTCATTGGCTCGAAAAGAGCTCTGCCACCGGCTTAAACCTCCAAGGGTCCAAGATTGGGGAGTTTCCGAGCGAAGCTGCAGGGCTTTCGAGACTTGTTCTCACTTCACTCCCTGAGTTCATGGACTTTCTGCTTTTTGGAAAGAATATTTTGGTGGTAAACAACAAGTTCAGACTTTGGGCCATCCACTCAGGAAGTGAGATTTGCGAACCACGTCCACCTGCGTGACGGAACCCGTGTAAAGTGGCGGTAGGTTACACTTTGCCTTGTTCAGAGCTACATTCGAAGATGTCCTGACTTGCGGTTAGAGGCTGGTGTTGTAGGGGGGGGGTTGATCCAGGAATGGGCTCAATCTGAAAAGCAACCATTACAAGGGTTTCCAGGGACCGAGCACTGCCTGCGGGGAAAGCCAACCACTTCCAGCCACTTCCAGACAACCTAAGTGGTTTCTGAAGTTTTTAGACATCTTCGTAGTCACCAAGAAGTTTAGTTGGCTTTTTGTTTGTGGCGATTCGGTAGCGGACCTTTGGACTTTCGAACTTTTGGGTTGTAACTGGCCGGATTTTCCATACCCACAAACAATATCCATTTTTTTTTGCAGAGGGGTCAACAGCAACCAAGTTTCGGTGATTTTATGCAAGAGAGTCTTGATAGGCTTCTTCATTGCAGTCAAGACCCGTGTCAAACTCTTGACCCCAAGCTTTCAGCTGCAGGGGAGAATCATCATCTACGAGGCATGGCCCGAGGTAAAAATGCAGAAATAAGCCAGGCAAGAAGTATTGTAAATAGCACAGATCCATACCCAAGGGGGAAATCGTTCAGGTCATGGCCGAGATGCGTCAGTTCGTGGCGGCGGATCCGGAAGCGCTCCGGAGCCTGCTGTGCCTGGCGGAAGGAGGGGAACACGACTCTCGCATGCTTGTCAAGTTGACCCACAAACATTGCCAGACGAAGCTTGCCGCACTCCCTGAGTTCCGTTGCGGACTTTGTCACATTTTGGAGGTTGGACCATTTTAGTGGCAAACAGACAGTTTGATTGTTTTTTTTTTGGGGGGGCCATCTACTGGAAGTGAGTTACCCTTTTAACTTTTCGCCTTTTTGTTCCTCCTTCATGTCCCCTTTCAACCAGCAGAGAGTGAGCTTTTTGCACAGGGTCGGTTTCTGGCCCAGAAAAGTCGTGACTTGGTCTTCTTCATGGCCTTGAAGACCAGGTGGGTTCCCTTGTTTCTACCGGTCATGGGCAATCCCACGGGTGAGGGGGCGCAGGATGCATCTGGAAAAACCGCTGTGGAGCCACGTGGACCGAAAGAGGTTGGCCAGGCTTCCCCTTTTGGGCCCATAGGACCAGGGTTGCTTTTTCAGTGGGAGCAACCCCAGGGACCGGGGGGTCCGTTTTTGGATGTCCTCAACACCGATTCGAAGGGGTCAAAGGGCCAGCTGCGAGCTGCACCGCTGGGGTCTCCTCCGACGCTACTTTAGACTTGTTGACCAAGGATGCAGCAGAGCCAGCAGGTATCATTTTAGATGCAGGGCCGGTCCACGCAAAGAGGGCCTTCCGAAACTTCTTGCGATAGATGTGGGTGTGGCAATCAAAATTAAACGATCGGAGGGGCACCCCGCAGGTTTTGGTCCATGTTTCCACTTACCAGACTTCCATTTTGGAAGTCCGGTTGTTTGAGCCACAGCCAGAAATTCCCAGGGTCGGTCCACGCAAAGAGGGCCTTTGTATAGGGCGGTGCTATTCCCAGCTCTTCAAATTGAATGAATCAACTTTTTAACCCATTGGTTTTCCCTCTTGGCAGATTTTCTCCCAAAACTTGGTGGCTCCCAGCCATCCCCTTCGCCTTTTAGCTTTTAGTCTTTAGTGGTAGCGGGGCAGCCCAGAAAAGGTTAAACTTTCGTGCTCAGGTCCTTTAGGGAGACCTTCCCTTATTCTTCCAACACCTTCCTCTCAGCTCCAAGGGTCGCTTCGGATATTTTTTCAAGCCCCAGGCATGGTGCGGCTGTTTTCCTAACTACCGGCACCGAGACCACCGCAACTGCAAGCCGTGGCTAATTGACCGTATTTGGCCAGATTGGATCACGCCCATGGACACTAGCAATTTTATGGTTGGACACTTGTTCGACCTTCAAGATTTCAAGATTTCGCAAAGTTTGTGTGTTCCCAATGGATAGCAAACGCACACACTTGAATGTGACAAGGACCAAGTACGGGTCCCTAATTCGGGTCCAATCTCAAAGTAGGACGTTCAGTTGTCTGGTCGCGCTTCTTTTCCACGTGTTTGGCTGTCTTCGATGGACCCAGTACTCGCATGCCTCGCTAGGAGATGACTTGGCCAAGAGGGACCCACTCAGAGTCCCGCAGGAAGCGGGGGGAGCAGCGGAAAGCTTGGTCTTAGCTACGCGTTGGGAAACTCAGTTGGGGTCTTTTGAGAGTACCCTTTAAAACATTTTGAACCTAATTGGCGGTTTCGCTTGGTGGTTTGTGGATTGAACCCTGGGGAAACCACAAACCGCCCATCAGTGGAAAGCTGAGTAAAGGGTCGGCTTAAAGGTGAACCAAAGGACGACCAGCATTTTGGGGGTCCCTACTGTGGATGGACAAAATCCTGCACCACTTTGAAACCATGGCTGAAAACAAACAATTGTTTGTTGGGTATTTACAGGTGAATCATCATAGGGTTTCTTAGGTGGTGCGAAATGGATTTCGTCCATCCACAGTATGATTGTCATATACCCAATGGGCAACCCGAAGGCGATACCCAGAAGGCAACCAGAAGGCGATCCTCATTCCACTCGTCCGGCCTTTTTTGTTCAAGCAATGTTTCTCAGGGAAATCGGCCGACCTCCCTACTTTCATCCTCCAAATCGAAGCTTTTCACCTCTGTTTGCCCCAGGAATCCAAGGGTTCAAGGAGCCCAAACCCCAAGCCAACGCAGACAAGAACCACCCCTCCAAAGGCAGGGCTGAACCAAATCAAACCCACTGAACATTGGGTCCCCAATTTGAGGAGAGCAGGGCAAATTTGAATGATCGGTTGTCTACTGCTTTGTTTTGGGGGACATTCGTAAAGTTGTCCATCGCTAGTATGTCAAAAGTACCATTCTAGTTTTCGCACCCTGCCGAAGAATCAAGCCACGGTTGCTGATTGCCAGTTTGACCTTCATATGGGTGTGGCTCAAAATTCAACAGGTGGGGCAAACCGCAGGTTTTAGTCTTTGCTTTCATTTACCTTGTGGGTTTCATTTTGGGCACATAGGCCACTCTTTTTTTTGTGGGGGGTCCCACTCCATTCAGCTTGTTCACAACAGCCCTTGTTTCTCCGAGTGCCGAATTTCATCGCGGGTGTTTCCTTTACGACCGATTGGACCTCCGCGCTTTGGGCTTGTCTCCAGAGCAAAATCAACTGGATCCGCTGGAGGACACAACATTTTGGCGGCAGGAGCTGACTTGTTCTCGAGAGGGGAAGAGTTGCCACGCGGCAAACGGGAAAAGACAGAAGCTCTCCGATGGGTTCTTTTTCGATCTCGCGGAAACAAAAAAGATCGGTTTAGACGGACCCCAGCTTGGACCCTCCAGCTGCCTTTTCCCCCATGCTGCCTGAAAATCTAGAGGAAGTTTGCCAACCTACCAAATACCGAGTTGGGTTTTGCTTCACTTGTAGAACTTCCTAGCTGGGTGTGCCACCCCCTTTTTTTTTTCTAGGGGGTGGGGACCCCCAAAAAACCCCACCACCCTACCCCCCCCCCCAAGAAAAAAACAACAACAGCAGCAGCAGCAGCAGCAACAACAACAACAGCAGCAGCAGCAGCAGCAGCAGCAGCAGCAGCAGCAGCAGCAGCAGCAACAACAACAACAAGGTTGCACAAACCCCACCCCCCCACACCCCCCACAAAAAGAAAAAAACACACACACACACACAAGGTGGTTCCCTTTTCACCCAAAAGGGTCAGATTCCAACCAGCTAAGACTCACTGCCAGTCGAGGAGCTCTGGAGGCAACTCTTGGCGCGTCTGCGCCTGGCCCGGGTGGAGAACATGCCGGCGAGGCATGGAAAAACGGCCGGCCGTTTCAGGAGACGTGGCCCCGAATTTGGGACTAGTGAAGTATATGGGCGTGCCCAGAGGTGTCCTTTTCAGGTTTTAGTGTGCTCAAAAGAGATGGCCCCCGGTTCAGCTTGGTTTTATTTCATATTCTAGGCTACTACGTTGCTCCTTCTGATGTGGGTCATAGTAAGGAGTAGACAACTTTTTGATGTATAGTACTGGACACCCCGCTTTTCAGCAGAAACATCGCTGAAATTTGCTTTAATGCCGGAGCAGTCAACCTGGTGCATTCAGAGGGGAAGTTACACCCAAAAGCAATGATCTCCCTCTAAAAGTGGGCACCCTTCGACTGGATTCCCGGGATCTACCCTAGAACCTTCTGGTTGATTTTGATCGGGGGGTGTTCCCTTGCGGTCGGATTCATACCACGTTTGGAGTGAAGGACGCGTTGATGAATGCGGGGTCAACATTGCAGACGGAACCGGGGTTTGACCCTGGTTCCCATTGGCTGTGTTACACTGCACGGTTGATTCATTTCCTAGCAAAATAGGGACCCCCCCTTTGCCTAGTTTGTGGACTTGTCCTTCCTCGGCACGTTGCCTGATTTAGGGTTTAGGGGGTTTAGGGGGTTTAGGGGGTTTAGGGGGTTTAGGGGGTTTAGGGGGTTTAGGGGGTTTAGGGGGTTTAGGGGGTTTAGGGGGTTTAGGGGGTTTAGGGGGTTTAGGGGGTTTAGGGGGTTTAGGGGGTTTAGGGGGTTTAGGGGGTTTAGGGGGTTTAGGGTTTAGGGGGTTTAGGGTTTAGGGTTTAGGGTTTAGGGTTTAGGGGGTTTAGGGTTTAGGGTTTAGGGTTTTTAGGGTTTAGGGTTTTTAGGGTTTAGGGGTTTTTAGGGTTTTTAGGGTTTTTAGGGTTTTTAGGGTTTTTAGGGTTTTTAGGGTTTTTAGGGTTTTTAGGGTTTTTAGGGTTTTTAGGGTTTTTAGGGTTTTTAGGGTTTTTAGGGTTTTTGAGGGTCACACTTGGCTTGAAGGAAACCTGAGCGCTATGCCAAGAGTTGGAGCGTTTTTTCCCCAGACACCCCTTTCGCTCCCCTTCTTCGGGGTTCTCGGTTTTATCTTCTGAGTTTACCCTGCGCGGCGCCTGATAGTTGGTCCAACTTCTTCCAGCTACCGGCTCGTAGTGCTTCATTTTTTTTTGCTTTTTCTGTTTGTGTTGTTTTGTGTGGGACTGCAAAGTGGATCTTTGCCGCCCTCACTTGTTTAGCTGCCCGGAACTGAGACAATTTCTTGAGCATGAGTAAGGATTCTTACCAACCATTATGATGATCGATGCTCACATCCAGACAGTCGAGTCTCAAATTCACTGCCTCGGCCTGCTACGGCTGCGGCTGTAGGCCCATGGAGCATGATTTGATGCAAGCGCGGGAGGTGATACCTAGGTCCCTAGTAGTGCCCCTTTACCCTTTTTTGGGGGAGGGTTCCCCCTACTAAAATAGACTATTCTAACCTCACTACTGGAGGACCTAGATACTGCTTCCTTCTCAGTGGGGCCATGACCACAGGCCAAAGAGGCGGAGTTTTGACCACGGCTCGCATGAAGTCTCCCGGCCGCGGCCCATGGAGGGACTTTGGACTCCTACGAAGGGCTCAAATCAGGTCACCCTGAACTGGTTTGGCTTCGAGAAGACAACCCCTGAGTTTAGAGCCCTCCAAACCGCCAGGTGCTGACCAAATACGCCTCGGTTCGCATGTATCTCAGTTCTTAGGTCTTTGGGCGAAACTTTTAGGGGAGATGATTTGAGTAAACAACAGGTCTGGTTACTCCCCAGCAAATTGACATGGAACCAACACTTGGGGGGCCCCCCAAAGGTGTTTCTTTTACAAAGGATGCTTTTTTCGGAGTTTCTATGTTGATCTGCTGGAGATCAATCTAAGGGCTTACTACTAACATGACTTCCTATGGTCATGACTTAAAGCTGGTTTTGATTTTTCCCACCCATTCGAGTCATGCTCGTCTCAGATTATCATGGACCCCATCCACTCCACGAGGAAACTCCTTTAGCTTGTGTCTCTCTTTTTGAGGCTACCATTTTCTTTGGGGGGGCGCCTTTGGAGGGGGCTTTACGGGTAAAACCGCTTAAAAAGGGGTTCCATCCCATTTGAGGACCCGCACCATCCTGTGGATAGACTAAATCCTGCACCACTTTGACACCATGGTTGAAACCAGTATTTGTTGGGTATTTACGTTGGGGAATCATCAGAAGGGCTTCTGAACGGTGCTGCAAGAAGCGGATTTCGCAACCATTCACAGCCTGTCCCAAGTAACGCGCGTCGACGCGAGTCGCCGACGCCAAAATGTCGCCGACGGCGTCGATGGCGTCGATAGGATGGACACGGCGCGGCTGGAGCTGGGCCTACTGGACGGCCCAGGCACCCGAAACCCGCGGGGCCGGGGGACCGGGGCTCGGGGGGCAGGGGGGAGGACGGATGAGCGCGAAATGGCTGAGGAGCTGGGCACGAAAAATGGCCCGGTTGGTGGTTGTTTCCTGTTTTCCGTTTCGGTTTTTCTTCTTCTTGTTTTTGGTCTTTTTGCAGGGTACCCTTTTTCGAGGGCATTGGGGGAAGCGGCCCCTTGGATGATTCACTTCAATGGGGAGCCACCGGAGGTTTGAAAGGGAAAGCCTAAGGGAAATTCGCCAGACTTCCCCTCAGCATTTGGCCGCTCACGCAGGGCTCCTACAACAAAGCCAGGGCAGCAACGAGCAAGGAGTACGGCCAGCTGGGCATCTCGCAGCTTTTTTTGTCGAGAGGGTTTGGGTTCTTTCGGCCGCGGCCGGAGTGCTCAGCGTGGCGAAGGCCATGCTGCAAGTTTCTGCGAAGGACGGGCGCCTGGTGTTTTGTTTGGCTCACATGCAGGGGGCCAAGGAGCAGGCGGAATGGTTGACGAAGCAGCTGACGAACATGCAGGAGGCAGTGCTGACGAAGCACTGTTGAGTTCTTGGGAGATGCGGTTTGGGTTCATAGCTTGGGCTTTGACAAGCTATGTACTGGCCCACATCTTGGAGTGGCAGAGTCGCCAAGTGAGTCGAGCTGACCAATTGGTTTGATGAGTTTGATGGCAATAAGTCAAGTACTCGTCGTTTTGTGCTTAATTTTCAGAAAGGTTCGGTTGTTCTTTGACAGTCCAAGGCACCAAAAAGGGGGGGGGGGTTGCTGTTTGGTTGCAAGCTTTCTTCAAATTTCCAGAGGGTTTAATTTGATTTCGCAGGTCCTTCAGGCGTAGGTCAATGCGAAAGTCTCCGAGACGCCCCTTCCTATACGAGATGTACATAGAAACCGTGTAGAGTCATTTGCAGGGGTGTATGCCTGGGCAATGAGTAGTTGGTTGGGTGTCTCAAAGACAATCATCTGGGGTAGACTTAGGATACATTTTACATTTTACCAGTGACTCAAAGTGAAGCAAACAATAACATATACATTCTATAACTGGGCCTAACTCTAATCCTGTCATGGTTCCTCTAATGTTTATGATCTCACTATTCTTCCGTGAAGTTTGGCTCAGTTCTTCCAGATCTCCCATAATCTGCCTGAGGCTTCCAAACATGCGCCTGCGATTTGGCGAAGACTTCTTCACATCTTCGTCAATGTGCTAAGTTGTTCCCAAATCTTTGAGGCCCTGTGGCTGCCCGCGGCAATTTCTGACTCCTCATGGGCCCCTGCCACGCCGACATCCAGCATATACGAAAGAGAATCTGAATCAAGTGTGTGGACCGCCCTAGATCATTCCCAGGCTTGCCCAACCTTTATGCATGTTTGCATGTTTGCCGAAGACAAACCCAAGGAACGCACAGACTTACAACTAACTTTTTTGCATGTCTCCCTCCGGGCTTCCTGGAATTGTCCTCTTCCCCCCCCAAAAAAACAAAGAAGACAGAAAAGGAACACGAGAAGCAGCAAAGAAAAACGTTCATGCGTTTCGCAGCCTTTCCTTGTTTCGCCCGCAAGAAAAAAAGAGGTCAGACGGGTTTTGGGCGGGGACGGAGCCCCCGCGGCGATCGGCGATCAGATTTCCGCCCCGGGAGGTGGGTTGGAGATCTCCAGGTCGGAAGCCTTTGCCTCGGTGTGAAACGTGACGTGGGCTCGAGGGCTCAAGGGGCCAAGGGACCGAGCAGGTGGTTTCAACATGATGGTTGTTGTTGGGAAACATTTTATATTTTTGCTTATTATGGTCTAGTGGTTGAAATCCAACCACTGAACTGCTAAAACCCAATTTTTTGCTCCCCTTCCAACGTCAACCAAGTCAACTTGCAGGTCCTCGGAAACAGAAAGCAAATGGCCAGAACAGGTTTCACGATGTTTTTCTTTTGCTAGTTTCAGTCGTATTTTTTTTGGGGCTGTCTCGCTCAAAAAACGGACCCCGGTTTTGTGGGTGTTAAAGGGTGAGCCGCACCAATGTAGAGGTCCTCCTTGGAGAAGCTCCCAGGGTATCCTTTTTTTGTTGACGGCACTATAAAGCTCCGTCCAATACTCAGAAAGGGCCACCCCCAAAACAAGGGGTGGTTTCCCTTTGGCTTCCCAGAAAAAAGCAAGAGCCTATCCCAAAAAGGGGCGTCCAAGTATACATCCTATGGATGTCAGGGGCCCCCCAAAGAGGGACCCGCTGGACACTAGTCGCTAAAATCGCGCCTATTGGGATTGGGGCATTTGCCCCTATTGGAAGCGTTTCGGTGGCCTTTGGCAGGTGGCGCAAAAAGCGATGTTTGCCAAATGGCAATGTGTTCACCCCGCAAAAAAAAAAGGACCAGTTGCTTTTTTCTGGGTTTCCATTTAAAAAGCCAAAAGGAGGGGTCCCCCTCACCCCCCCCCCCCCCGCTCCCCCCACAAGAATACAAAAGAAGGGCACCAAGCAACTGGGGGGGGGGTCGGGTTCTCTCGCTCGAGGCATGCCCAAAGACCATCGGCGTGCTGATGACCAACGGCCGGAATGCCCCTCGCCCAGCCTCGTCCGTTCGTCGCTCGCGGCTTTGGGTGGTTTTGGTGTTGGTAAAAGCCGCGCGCGGCCCCCTTTGGCGCGCGGAAAACTGGTCGGATCACCGGTTTGTCGTGCCACATAGTATCTACCTATTTTCTAGCGCGCTCACCTTTTCGGTGGGCAGAAAGGTCCTTACTTGGGGATCTCGAAATTCTCAGCTTTTGGATTTATAGTACCATTTGCGGATAGTATGAAACCAGAGCTTTCGGACTAACATGATCCAACCCAAGAGTTGAAGTACAGAAGCTTGTTGGATGATCCTATTTGCGATTGCCAGGTTGGGCTCGACTTCCCCCCTGTAGCCCTGCAGCTAGGCTTAGCCAACCCCCAAACCATCCAATGGCGACCCCGTTTGCGGGTTGGACGCGCTGAGTGGCAAGTACGCCCAGACAAGGTCATCTAATTAGCGAAGCGATGCTTCACACAACCGCAATCAAGCTACCGCAAACAACGGAAAATGCGCTGCAGCCCAACCACCAGGCGTCCAAATTACCCAGCCACAAGAGAAGAGGTTTGGTCCCCGCCAACTGGCAGGATTCAGGATTTCAATGTTTACTTTCATCATGCTAGTCAACGACAAAATGTCAAAACAGGGGATACCAAAGATGGTCACGCCGACTTGAATACTGGGACAAGTGGAAAAGAAAGCAACACCCCCCCTCTTCACACACCTCTTGAAGCCGGCCTCCTCTTTGAGCACCTGCCACTAAATGGCTTCAGGCGACACACTAGATCTGTAGTGGCGCAATGGCTGCGCGTCGGAGGTTGCCTCAAAATGGGGCGATTCCTATTTTTCAAGGGTTGCTTGAGGGGCGACCTTTGCGCCATGCGCGGTTGCGAGGTTGCGAACCTGACGCGCCCAGGTCGAGCTGTGGTCGCGACCGGAGGACCGCAGTTTCCCTGGGACGATCTCTCAGGTTTTCCGGACCGCGCAGCGTCCGCTTGTTCCTTTATGTTTGTTGTCAAGGTTTGTAAAGCAGCATGTGGGCAACAAACAATATTCAAAGGGCATCTATCGATGTTGAGTGGTCAAGTATCAGTTTCGTAGATTGCTTGGTATCATTTTTGGTAGGCCCCTATCGTTTTCTTGTCGTTTTCAGCACCCTTCGACCAACGGCAGTCTTTCTATAGAGGTCTGAGCTTTTTCGTGGTCATATTTTGGGCGTCACATTTTCCTTTTTGTATCTTTACGGGGAAATTAACACCCACTCACCCCACCCCACCCCATCCCACCCCACCCTCGCCCCCACCCCCACCCCCGCCCGCCCCTGCCCCATTGCCCATTGCCTGACATCAGAGGACGTGGAGGTGACGGAGGAGTCTGCCAGAAGCGCGCTCATGGAGCTGAATTGGAAGCTGAACAGGACTGCGCGGAAGCTTCGAATCATCCACAATGCTTCCCCCCTGCGTAGGTGGGCCTGGTAGGGGATCGAGGATTTGCCAGGCCTTCAGTTTTTGGGCCAGGAAATGATGAATGACGAATCCCCCTGGAAGTGTATCCTCTTGAAGGGATACCGCCATTTTTTCCTAAGGCAAAAGGAGAGAAAGGCACAAAAGTCAGGCTGACCAGTGGGTGGATGAATCGATGAATCGCAGTTCCAAGCGCTGAACCACGGCGAGGTTTGTGGTGTTTGTGTCATTTGTGAAGGTTGTGGGCAACTTGACAAGAGGGTTTCTCAAAAATATTGGACCCCTGTTTTGTTGGGTTTACAGCAGAGCCACGAGGAAACAACACATTTCGGGGAATGAAACCAACAAGATCTACGGCCCGCGTATTTTGTGGAAAACATCCAACTCAGGAGGGGAATGGTTTCATGCCCACTATGGCAACGGACTCACTAGGCCGTAGGTTTGACCCTGGCTCACGTTGATCACAACCGGCAAGGCCTGGCTCCAACCGGCCTTAGCCTGCCTAATGTCTCACAAAGTAACCCCCTGCTATCACCAAGCCATTCAAAAACAGGCACAGGCACAAAAGCTTGCCTTCAACCAAAGGCGCAATCATGAAAGGGTGATTTTTGGGTAGGTGCCCTGGATGGCACCTGTAAAATCCCTGCGTAGCGAATTTGCAACCACAGATGTCGGTCTATTGGAAGTTTAGACAACAGAAAGAAGCAGACCCAGAGGAACCATTTGGAAAACTGAGAGGGAAACCGAGAGGAACACCATCGTTGGGTGGGGGGTTCCCCTCAAACAAGACACAGAGTCGCAGCGAGCCGATTCCCGAGCCAAACCCCAACCTAACCGCACCCCCTCAACTCCCGGACGCCAACCCCAGAGAGAGAGAGAGAGAGAGAGAGAGCGAGAGAGAGAGAGAGAGAGAGCGAGAAAACAGGGCAACAGAGAAACAAGCACGTCTAAAGCAGAAAACAGGAAGGACGACTGTGCAAGTTGCTTTGCGTGCGTTGCTTTGTGCAAGTTGCCCTTTGCAAGTTGATCTGTGCAAGTTGCTCTGCGCAAGTCGCTCTGTGCCAGTTGCTTCGTGCAAGTTGCCCTGCGCGCGGCTTGCTCAATGCGCTGCTCTCCTTTTGAGATTTTGAAGCTGGAGCGGCAGGAGTGTATATAATTAGTGGTGAAAGTTCCACTTTGATATCACATAAATTGCTGTGTCCCCAACCCTCCTCTGGACTTTATAGCAATCAGGAAGACCATTTCAGTGATACTTCGAGGGAGCTCAAGGCCAGACGCACTTCCACTAAATGTCTGATGGACTATAGCTATTTTTTCCGGATCCCCACACATTCCCTGCTCCAAAACCCCAAGGCATCTAAGGGTCCCGTTGGTTTGGTCCCAAGGGTCCCATCCCCGGAGGCTGCGGCTCGCGGTGGTGCAGCGCGCGCGGCGCCAGCACCTGCGGCCCTTGGCCTTGTTGGAGGCCGCCGGCTTCTCGTCGTTTTTCCGGAAACGGGTAGGCGCCCTTTTGGTTTGCTACAATTCTTTGATGGATTCCTGGATGGTTTCCTTTAAGAACCTAGTGTTTCCCTGAGAGGAAACCAAGTCGGATATTCTTCAGAGGTGCATTTTGCCAAGGGTGTTAGGACTTTAACTTTTGCCAACTAATGGGTTTTCCGTATTAAACCACGAAAAGCTATTAACTTTTAGCAGGGGAGCAGAAAGCAACCGAGAATTGCTGGCTTCAAAAAGACCCCCCCAGGTGAGGTGCAATCAAAACCGGGGCAGATGAAGGTTAGTAAGGGACAGTCCCCACAGACGTGTGCAGCCGCCTTTTTAATTGTTTACAACCAGGGTTTGAGTATGACTCAAATGCAGTCGACTCGCCGGTCGATGTAAGGGGAAGTCTTTGGGGCAATTGAACGCCGGACCTCGTAAAAGGTTTCGGGTTGCAACCGTACCCATAGCCCATGAAGGTTCTTCGGAGATCTTAGGGTGCCTGATTTTAGGTTAGTGGATTATCGTACCCTCTCACTCACCGACATGGAGCCAGAAGGTTTGGGGGCTTGCAGACTTTTTCATCTTAGAGTTTAGGGGGGTTTCTGACATATCCCTCTAAATGTTTCACTTGTAGCGAAGGATCAACGAGCCACTCAGGTTGGACGGGAGGGTACTTTGCCCAGAGATATTCACAACACGTGCCGACCATCCGCTGTGCCAGGATGATGCTGCCTATTTGGTGTTCAGCTTCGCTCGGGGACCTGACCCGACGTTTCCGGGATTTGTGACCGAGCCAATGCCACCTGTCACATAGGTTTGTTTTTCTTGAGGGTACAACCACCATTTGCAGGGGATCCCCCCTACGGTGAAAGGACAACCTCACAGTTTTTGGGGATCCCCATAAAAAAGACACCCTCCCTCACCATGCGAGAAGTTTGGCTTTAGCATGGGACCAATGAACCACTACCCATGTTTGAGGAATCTCCCGATCAGACACCTCCAGGATGTGTGGGCTCTTTGTTGCAGGCAAGTACTGGCACCCTTCAACAGGATGTTTTTGTTTTTTCTGTTTGTTTGCGGGGGGGGTGAACCAAAGGGGATCCGAACGGCAGCCCACCATCGTATCTTCTTTTTGGGGGGTGGGCTGAAGGGAAGCGAAAAGAAACAACTTTTTTGGGGGGGTCCCATTGGCGACAACTTTCGGGCTGCTGTCCTCTGCCACCTAAGTTGCGGAACCAAGGCGCACCAAGCCCAAGGCATGCCCAAATGGCTAGTCTCTTGAAGTGAGACATAAATCCTCACCGAAATGATGTCCACCAAAGGGTCACCAAATAGAATTCATGCCCAAGTGATGCACCTTCCAAGTGCTGTCCGTTTGAAATCACTTCAAGACTTGGTACAAAACAACGATCACACTTCTCTGCGGAGTGCCGCCGTTTGAGCGTGGCTCCTTTGGCGTTCGAAATGACAATTATTGAAATATTGAACTCTTCTTTGGCCTGCGAAGGATCATGGGGGTGTTCCGTGTGTCGGTTTGTCAGGGGGTACCCTTAAAGATGAAAACCCTGTGTTGCCCCCGTGTCGCCCTACCGCCCTGATGGTCCCTTTTGTGTTGTTGGCCAACGCCAGCGAGCAACATTTATTCCATCTGTGTCCACACACTGATTGATTCGAAACTCGTTTTCTTGCAACTAGGTCCCTCAGTAGTGCCCTTTCACCCTTTTTTGGGGGGAGGGTTCCCCAGCTAATATAGACTACAGAAAACGGGTACCCTTACTTTTTTTCTACTGGAGGACCTAGGCAAGCTTTGATTTGCCAAGTGCCTTAGTTTGACCCCAGCTCTTGAGTGACATCAAATAGAAGGCGCTTACAAGAGGTACGAATAGACCCCCTTCGGAGTTGGTTTATTGTTTCTGTTGGGGAGGAGCTGCATTCCCAAGAGGTGAGGGTGGGGTCTGCGTTGGGAATCGCTGGGAGGTGAGAGTTGGCCCGATGGTCACAGGACCAGGCAACTTAGCTAGGAATAACCAATGGAACAAGCCTTTGACATCGAAAAGGAAAATGGCTTGCCTACTATGTAGCTGAATTTTCCACTGGGCGAGCAACACGTAGGTTCCAACCGCGAAACATGGAACCAAGCCAAAGAAATGCAATCGTTCCACCTGAGTCACTGGGGGCTGGGCTTGCCGAAGCCTTTGACCATGGCCCACAATTGCCGGAGTTTTGATGGGATGACTCAAGCATCACCCCTTCTTGCCTGTTCGGTCTCCAAGTTTTGAACTGTGTGTTGCCATCTGTCTTCATCATTGAGTCTCGGCAACAGCAGGTCAGGACATTGCAAAAGTGAACGGTTGTGTTTTTGTTTCGGCTCCGAGTGCTCAATGACTCAAGAGGCACACCCAATTGTTGGACAAGCCCCAAAAAAGAGAGAACAACATCCCAGCACCCTCCAAGGATGGTCCATTGGTACCTGCCCTTGAGCCATTTTAGGTACCACGTGACAACTCTTCTAGATCCCCCAGTAGTGCCCTTTTACGAGGGTGTCCCTAAAATAGACAAACCAGAAAAAAAGGTTGGCACCCTTATTCTAAGCTCGCTACTGGAGGACCCAGTCTTGGGCGGTCTCCACGGGACCGGGACCGGCCTGCGACGCGGAGGTCGCGGAGCGCCCGCCGAGCGACGAGTGACCGAAAGGGGCAGCGCTCGGCTCGGGGATTTTCCGATGAGAGGACGGGGTGTGGCTCGAAGAGCACGTGGGAACCCCAGCAATGGTGGAGTGGTCCAAATTTGGGTTCTCAGCCAGGAAATGGGGGACTGGATTAAAGACATGCGTTCATTGGTTTGACCACTTTCACCACTTTCCCACTGGACATGATGCCGTTTCAAGCAAGCGTGTCTCTGTTGCCCAGGTAGGCCAGGGGTCAGGGGCAGGGAGAGCCAGAATGCACCCGAGTCGATCCCCCCGGGTACAGGGACCTCCAAAGCGAGGCGATGACTCGACGGAAGTGGGAAGAAAGGGGCGGGTTCGAGCTTTGGGTGTGCGTTTGAGCTTTGGGCTGCGCTCAAACTGGGCATCCCATTTGTTTCTGAGTGTTAGATTCCATTGCGGCTCAGATCGGGTTTCGGGGATCCCATTGTTTCTGGGTCCTGGATTCCATGCCTGTGGCTCGGAGGGTGTTCAGGAAAAACCAAGCACCGCATTGAGTGTATACGTCTGCGTACTTGTTGACGATGTATTGGATATATGTATTTATATAATTGTATAGATATGGAGGCTGATGTAGGTATATATGGTTATACACGATAGGTTTCTTCTACTCCTGCGGATCAACAAAGAAGCCCAAAAAGGAGGCTCCCTCGAAGGAGATTGCTCGTGTTTTGCGTCCCATGTTGATCTGCAGGGGACCCGCCCGGCTGAATTTGGATCCATGGGATCCTTGTGCTCCTCGCAGTTTCTCAAGCCACATGGGCCGATCGCGGCGATACGCGCGGAGATGATGCAGCCCAGGGAACTGCAACACGAGGGCCCTGTTTTTTTTTGCTGATTTTTCGAAGCGCATCCGTTCCTTGCATGTCCAACCAGCAAGAATCTGAGAAGAAGCTTCTAACCCCCTTGCTGGGTGTTTCCCCTCGTTCCACCAGATTTGTTTGAGCCGGTGTTGAATCGACTTGGTGTGTCTTAAAATTTCGTTCAGCCCAAACAACGATGCCCCTTTTGGTCTCCCTTTACCAACCCCAAAAAAGGGTAGCCCCCAAAATGCACCCCCCCAGCTTTGGGTTCCTCTGCAGTGGGTCCCCGGGTAGGGCCGTAGGGCCTCCTCCCCGAAACAGTTTCGGAGCTCGGAGCGGCGTGCGCGGCGTGCATGTGCCGTACGGAGGGGGATGGAGGCTGGGGTGGGAGGGAACTCAGGTCGCGGCCAACCTGCCTTCGGGTGGACATAAGTCTCGAGTTGATGGACGTTTTCGGCTTTTTTGGGGGTTGGACCATTTTAGGGATAAACAGCAACACGTCGGTTGGGCCAAAAAAAAACTATTTGGGAAGTGAGCCGTTCATAGGTGTCCTTGGATACGGTCGGTTTGGCCGCATGCTCTTGGGTCTCTAGGCCGTGGAGTTCGGAGCGGGCCAACCGGTGCCGGGAAGCGGTTCCCGGGACCTGCTAGGGGGGGAAACTGCATGTTTCGGATGGATCTCGGGAACCCCGAGCAACGTTGTGCCGCTCTCTTGTCAACCCCCCTAGACTGAATTCTACCCCCCCCGCCTTCGTGGGGTTCGGATTTCCTTGCGGGTGCTCAGTAGGGAATGACCCATTCCGGGTGTTGGGAATGAACCCTTTGGGGATTCCCGCATAAAGGACACCAATCGTGGACGGTTCCTAGGGACTTCCTTGAAGGGAAGAAGCCGAATCAGGGACGGTTTCAAAGGACACCAAGTCCGGGATAGTTTATAAGGCCGAGGAAGCCAAATTTCAGATGGATGGTTTAGGCAAAGGGCACCAACTCCGATGGAAGGTTTTCCTTGGTCATTGCAACGAATGAACCCTTTGCGATTCCCGGAAAAACCAAAAAATCGGACGGACGGGATTTTCTCCGGGTCATGGAACCCATGTCTCGTTCCCTGCCTCTCCTCCCCCACCGACCCGCCCGCTCCCCAATCGACCCCCCCCGGCAGGTCTTCGCGGGGCTGGGCCTCGTGGCCACGGAGGTCTTCCGCTACAACCGCCAGAACTTCGCCTTCGACCAGGAGAAGCGGCGGAGGGATCGACGTGCACGGGGCGGGGAGGTTTCGAAGGGGTGTGGACGGGGGCGCCGCCTTTTTTTTAAACGGGACCCAACAAGCCCCCCACAAAGCCCAATTTGAATGTGCCAGGTGTGATAAATTGAAAGCACCCAAGGCTTTGGGTGTGTCTTTTTGGCCCAGAATCGGTGGTGGTCCTTTTTGGTTGTGCTTTGAACTGGGTAGCCTCAACCAAGACATATCCTTATGACGCTGAGACATCGCGTCATTCGTCGGTGGTAATCACCCCAGTTTGGTTAGGAGTGTTTGGAACCCACCCCCTGTTATCCACACTTGTTTTTGGATGTTTTTTTTGGGATGGGCTTCCCTAGGAAAAAAGTGTTGAAAACACAGCCAACAGAAAAAGGCGCCCTTTGTCCCATGGCCGGGCTTAGGGACAGTGAAAGTAGATGGCACGCTTCCTCATGGTGAAGTCACCGCGTTTACTTACCCGCCTTTGTGATTTCTGCCATCTTCTTCTACATCGGTGCTTCCCCCACAAGTGAAGGGTTGCCTGTACGGCCAGGGGCTGATGCGTCCTGGGTTCCCCTTGCTCTTTGTGTATGTCAATCTCCAATTTGTTTCCCACTGCATCATTGAAGCTCCTAAAAGCTATGTTAGTCATCAGGTGGTTCGTTTCCTACATTTATTTTACGGGGATTTTATAAACGTGTTTTGTTGGTCGAGTGGCAAGGCAACGGGTTTTGGGCGCTGCTGAATTAAGCCGCAATCAACACCGGCGTGGATGAAGGGAATCTCAGGAGAGGTGAACTCTATGGATGGGTCTAAGGAACAACAGCCAGGTGAAAGTAGATGGCACAATTCCGCCTTGTTGGTTCAGTCATCCCTTTACTGCCCACATGCCAGCACCCAACTGCTTTTTCTTTCCGAAGTCTCAACTGTCCAACAAAGCAGTAGGGGGTGCTGGTACAGGAAGTTGTGCCATCCCCGTGGGATGTTGCCTCTTTGGTCCAAGCCAGGTCCTCCAATTTTCGTGAATTGAGAAACCCTTTGATTTGGACACACACACACTTCATGGTGCGATTGCACAATTCCTTTTCGAGCCTCTGAAGCAACATGTGTCGACTTCAGGCCACCCAACCCCACTTCAGCTCCACTCAACTCCACACCACCCCACTCTCCCACTCCACTCCACACCACCTCAACCCCTCCCACTCTCCCACTTAGGCCCAGGGTCAGTGGCCTTGACTCAGGACCAGCGCTTCAACCGCCGGGGCCTTGCTTCGGACGGACGGATCTTTCAGGTCCACTGTCCGCGTCCCCCCCTTTCACTCTCACCCCACCAACACAGTACACTCCGAACATAGAAATTGGCATGTTTGTCTCTCGCTCTCTCTCTCTCTCTCTCTCTCTCTTTCTCTCTCTTTCTCTCTTTCTCTCTCTCTCTCTCTCTTCTTTTCTCAAGGTGGCCCCTTTGGTGGTTTTGAAGGGAAACCAAACGAAGCCCACCACTTTGGGGGTAAAGGAGGAAGGTACGTGAAGCTGAACGTATTGAGATTTGGCAGTGTCTTCTTTTGAGAATACTTTTGTTGGTTTTGAAAGACAAAAGAGCCTCCCCCATCTTCCATTATTCATGTCCTCTCAGGGGTTGGTTCCCCATTCTTTTCCAACTCACTTCTTGAGTTCCTGGACTTCAACCTTTTTGGGAAGATCGTTTTGGTGGTAAGCAAACAGTTTGCCATTTTTTGGCCCATCCACTCAGGAAGTGAGCCGACCATCCTTCTCTTCGAGCAAATCGGCAGTTTCACATGGGGGTTGATCAACATTCCTGACCCCCAAATGACCAAGGCGAACTTTCCTGCTCAAGCCTTATGTGTCTTTGGTAGGGTTCCCCCCCCCCCCCGGGTTTTGGAGATGTTGAAAGGGGGACCAAAAGGAAAACCGACGCATACCGAAGACGTTTTCGGGGTTCCCATAAAAAAAAAAGGTCCGACCCATCCATGGTTCCACGGTGTAGTGGTCCTCCCATGGTGAAAAAAAACCGGAGCTTCTGATCGGCGGTGTTTCCGGCGTCTCTCGCTGGAGATTTGAGGCGATGAGATGCGCCTGAAGATGCAGGTGGAGCGGTTCCGGCTGTTCCGCCAGGACATCCGAGATATGGTGGAGCTCACGGTGCAGAAGATGGACTTGTACCACATGGTGGGCGCCTCTCTCAGCACTTGCCGCCTTGCCGTCCCCCCCCAAGGAAGAGGATTCCTTGGGGCATGTTGCTTGGCTGTTAGGACTTTAACTTTTTGCCAACTAATGAATTTTCCACTAGACCACCAAAAGTAAGTTAAGCTTTTAGCAGGGGCGCAGAAAGCAACCGAGATTCCTTCGTTTTTTGGGGTAGATGTTAAGCGGACACCTGTTTTGGTGTCTGGGGTATGGAATGGATGACCTTTTCTAAATTGGGTTTGTGTCAAAATATGGGGTGCCCCGAAAATTGTGGTTGTCCTTTTGGTTCCCTTCGACACCAATCCAAACATGGTAAACGACAGTGCACACACCAACCACAACCGACAAGATGTTGTGTCTACTTGCTAAAACCAGTATTCAGTGTTACGTGTTTCCACAAAGCAAGGCTAGTCATGAACACGTTAAAGGCACCTCTTCCCACTAGTCAGACAAGCACCTGACTGGTATCCCAATCTGTCATTCACATATTCTAAAATTCTGTGAGCGACTCACCGACTTCCTCGTCGTGTATTGTTTGTTGGGGGGGAGGACGTGGGAGTCCCACCAAGATTTCCCACAAAATCCATAGATTAATACCCCCCGCCCCCATCCCATACACATTCACATGGAGGACGGTGAACATACTGTTTGCGTCCATGCCCTCATTGACCTCTAGTTAACCTATCAATACCCTTATCCCACACTCATTCAATGGTGGACATACTGTTTGGGTCCATGCCTTCATTGACCTCTAGTTAACCTCTTTTAAGCCTCTACAGCCATTCAGCTTGTTTGTTTTTCCTACAGCACCAGCGTGCTTTCCGGGCTTTGCCGCTCTTTTCCGGTTGAGCCGGTTGGACAGATGCTCAGATAGGGCAAGACTCCGAAACCGCAAGTCGACCGGGGTGCCGAGCCAGCTGTAACAGGCAACCCATGCCGGGTTTGTGTTTGTTCAGGGTACCCTTTTCATCCTCCTTACCAATCCACACCACCATCTAAGGGCCTGATTTCAGGTTGGGGTTCAAGGAAAACCCAACAGGATAACCACCATTTTGGGGTCTCGCCCTACCCGCTTTCCTTGCCCCCAAAGGCCAAGGCCTGAACAAATCTTGAGACAAGGAGAATCGGGTTGCGGGCAGTTTACCATCTCTAGAACCAGGGACCTATGACCCAAAACCAGTTCGATCCCAACCAAAGAAAAACAAAGGGATGGTGGAACCCACTTGCGGCGGAATTGGCAAAGACTCGGTGTTCCACCTTCGCCCACAGCTTCCCAATGGCTTGAAGCTCTTTTGGAGCTTGTCTTTTACCGCTTGCAAGCTTGGAATTGGACTTCTATGCTTTTCTTGGAAATGGACTGCTGGGGGAGGCGAGGGCACTTTCCGCATGGTTAAAGCAAAGGAAGGCGATCTTCGCCATAGAAGTATGGCAGTTACCTTGTCTGCCTCCTTGTGCACCGTGCCGCGTGCTGTGACAGACATGGGGGGCACTTAGTAGAGCAAAGGGCAGAGCGCAGCGGAGACAAACGTGGTGCTTCCCGGGGCGCTTGGCGAAATACGAGATCGCGTCACGGCTGCGAGAGGAAACTGGGGGGCCGAGGCTTTTGACGCAGTCATCTCTTAGCAGTCGCGGGGACACTACGTCTCCTGTGGAGCCTGAAGGTTGTTGGACAAAACAACTGAAGAAGCTTCCGGTCGGAGAGAGGGGGAGGTCAACCCCACTGGGCGTGTTGGGCGCTTTGCTTCGTGGGCCAACAAGTGGAGGCGTGCTGCCGTTGCTTGCCGCCTTCCGCGGCCTCGGGTTTTCCAACGCCGCAGGTGGCCGTTGAAGCGGCCGCGAGGAAGCCGAAAGGGTGCTTGTGATTCTTAACCTGTCAAGCACCTTACCTAACACCCAGCCTGCAGCCTGGGTCGAGAGAGCTATAGTTTGCCACGTTTAGCCAAGGTGCGCTTTTCATTCGCATGATCAGCATCTACTATTCCGAGGGCTTCTTCGCGCAGCCGCCGCCCATCTTCTTGCAAGTGGCTTACTACTTGTCCCAGGAGGGTGGGTGGGGAGGGCGTGTCTCGCAGTTTTGCAGCTGGCAGGTCGGCCTAAGTGGGTGCAAGTAGAGACGTAAAGCGGGCTCGCTGTGGCCGAGTTCTGTCTAGATTTCTCTCAGTGTACCACGATCACGACCCCGCGAAATCAGACGTCCCTGATTTGCGTCAAAGATTTTCCGAAGGCCAAGTTTTCTCACAAAAAACAGACACCTGAGGTTTCGCCGCCAAGCAGCCAGGGAGTCAACCAATCCCTGTGCCCAGGCGTGCGCGCTGGTCTACTTGCTGATGGCGATCTGGCTGTCGATGCACGCCTCCATCAAGTCCCACAGCTACGCCACCCGCCTGCTCACCAGGCGCCGGTCCGGCAGGGAATGTGGGCAGCGCCACCATGAAAAACAAACGGTTGATACATTACAGTGGATGTTCGAAACAAACGATAGCTACCCGCCCAAAAATCAGGGTTGTTCACTCCCTTTGCGAGATGGCAATGGCTTCCCTTGTTGTTACGATGCCCCGCTACGGATTGCAGATCCCCACGCATAGAGCAACCCAGGGAAAAAAACACCCTGAAGAAGGTGTTTGCAAAATGCACGCAATGTGCCCACCATACGGCCGGTGTTTTAGTCAAACCTATAGCTTGAAGTGCCAATTTAAGGCGCTCACGGCACGCCTCACATCTAGCTGGGCCTTGCCGTGAGTCCAATCCAGGGGCCCGTCCGTCACATGCGAAACAGTAAGTCCTCCCCCTGTGAAGGTGGGGGAGAGGGAGAGGGTTGGGTGATTGAATAAATAGTTGGGATGTGATTTGGGTTTGTTTAGGGATAGGGTTGTTGGTTTAGGGTTGGTTTAGGGTGGGTTTAGGGTTGGCTTAGGATTGGTTTAGGGTTGATTTAGGGTTGGTTTGGGGTTAGGGTTCAGGGTTAGGGGTGTAGGATTGGTTTAGGATTGGTGTTTCAGGTTGGTTGTGGGTTGAGTTGTCCTACGTGTTGGGATGCAAGGGTGCGAGTTCAGGGGCTCGGGGGTGTGGGGACCGTAGCAGCGGGGTGTGGGGATGGGGCCGGGGGGGGGGGACCCTACGCTTGGGGGGGGGGGGGGTGGGTGGCCTGGGGACTGGAACATATATACATATAGGTTAGCCTACGAAATATTCCCCCAAGTGGCAGATGTCCCACCAGTTGCTTTTGCTAACTGTACCCATAGGGTTTGCTCCTGATTGTTCCTCACTACGCTCACTCCCCCATTTTCTGGCTCACTACACTCACTCGCACAGCTTGTGGGCATTTGTTGCGACTTTGCTGGTAAACTGCCACCCCCAGAAACTGGGGGAGTGAGTGTGACTACAACTTGCATCGCGAGCGCATTGCGTAGGTTCGTGCGCCTGCCGATCCCTGGGTGCGATCAGATGGATCTACTGAAGCTCGGAGCCAAAAGAAGACGTGAGCCATGGGACAATCCCGACCATAAACAGCTGCGGATATCCGCCTTCTTGATTCTTGACATGGTTCTGAGTAGACCGTTTTAATGCCGGGCTTTGACTAGGATGCACATGGCTATTCTTTTAAATGGCTGGAGCCCCCTGAAAAGTGGCTGGTGGACATAAGAATCCCCGCCTAAATAATGCCCACAAAAGGATCCCTAGGTAAAACTCATACTCATATGGCCCAGGGCTGTTTTAGGAGAAAGCGAATCGACCGAATCTGACCTTTTGGTTTCCCTGATTTGGTTTCCATATTCTGTGAAGGGTCCAAACGATGATCACCTTTTATTTGTGGGTCCCCAACAGGCAAGTGAGTATACCCCTCCTCAAAGTAAAATTAGAGCTCCCCAAAGGCCACTGCAAGTGGAAATAAGTGGAACAAAGGCTTCCAAAGGGGCATAGCTCTGCGGGCGGTTTGGTTCCCATTCTCTTCACCCTATGTTAAGTTTCAGTGGTTGGACCACCTGGTGGACATTCTTTGGGTCTTCATGTCCACCAACAGGGGAGGGCGTTCCCATGATTCATAGCCATCTTGCCCAGTGCTTCGGTATTTTCCTGGCAGGCTTTACATTTTTCTTTGGGCACTCCCTTGGGACACCAAAGAGGAATTGAGCGCTCCAAAACCCCGAATTGACCCTTCTAGGTGCTTCTACTGCCTGGTTTTACAACGGGCTTGAAAGAGCTAAACGTCAATGTCAATGTCAGCACCTATTTGAACACGCACTCATTTCGGCCCTACGTAGTTGCAATAAGCGGACTCCTCGTCAAAACGTGGCCAACAGACCATATTTTCCAAAGTAGAATCCCGGAAATGCAATGAACACAATGGTTGGACAGCATAGATAGAGTACCAGCTTGAATTTGCTTTGCACATTTTGGGGGAGTACGCATATCAGTCTTTTTTTCCAGGATCGACCGATCAACCTTTCAATATTTACGGAGTGATTCTTGTTTTTGTTTTTTCCCCCATAAGAAAGAAACCAGTTGCAAGGGTTGTTTTCCTTGAAGAAATGTCAGCCTTCGGCTTAGGCCTCACCAAATGACAAACTTCTAGCATGCTTTTGACTCTGAAGGCCCCACACCTCCCTCCAGTGTTGTCTTTACATTTTAGGGGGGGTGTAAAATTGATGACCAACAAAAAAGCTCAACAAAAAAGCTGCTTTTCTCTTCCAATGTTACTGGATGTTTCAGGCAGGTTCGGCATCTAACGCCACCCACTTGCGCCTTTGTCTAGTTACTTAGGCTTTCTTGCAAAACACATAGCAAGGCTTTGGACTGTTACTCACCTTTTTACTAAACTGTTTTGTTTGTTAGTTTTGTCCTATTTTTCCGGGTCTCGCCTTTTGCGGGGGAGGGGGGGGGAGCCAGACGCCCCCAGCGCATTCCGCTTGGCGCGTGGCGCATGGCGCGTTCGGGCGCCGAGGAACGCGCGGTACTCGGACTTTGAGGGCCAAGGGCCTCAGATGCTGCGGGTGCCCTTCTGGCAACGAGGAGCCGCCGGGGCGCCGGTGGGGCGGTTGGGGGCGGTTGGGGGCGGGGAGATTGGACGCCTCTTCATGTTCGGAAGCCAACAGAAGACACGAGCATTCGAGGAAACCAACCACCCCCCCCCCCACCCAGCTTTCCCTGTTTTCCCCTATACTAAGGCCGCTCGGGGCGTATGAAGGGATGATTGGAAGACCATTTCCTCTTTAAGACCCCTTCTGATGGGTTCTGTGTAAGCGGAGGGAAGGTATCACCATTTAACGGGGCACTAGGCCACGGTGTTGACCAAGCCCCCACGTGAACAATAGCACCACTGGGTTGTTGTGTTTTTTGGTCACCATTCTTCAAAATGGTTGGCTGCTTGTCCAGCAAGGGCAGGCCGCAGCTGGTCCATTGGTCAAGTTGTTTTTTTTGGCCCTACCGACAGCCAGACTGCCTTGTAGAAACATTTGGATTTGTTTCCAAATGTGCCAACAGCGTCCTTTGGTTTCCATTTAGAGAACCCAAAAGTAACAGGGTTCCCTCAAGACCCAAGTGTATTCAGCTCCAAAGTAAGAAGTGTGGCGCGAAGCTTGGCGAAAACTCCACTCCTCACTTTTGCGTGGCACATTTCAAAAAGTCCAAAGGGCTTTGCCCGTCTTTGAGCAGCCCACTTCGGAACCAGTTGGTTGCCCATATTTTACATTGGTTCCTCGGATTCAAAGCGTTGCAGGTTGAATTCTACAGGAAAACCGCGTGTTTGCGGTGTTTTTTGGGGGCCATGTCCTGCAGATTTTCCTGGAATCAAGCCCTTTGACGGATAGACCTGGGGTCATTGGCCCCTTTTCTCCAGGTGACCCTAGACAAGGCGTAGCTTCCAGGGGATGCGAACGGGCACCTGCGAAGCCCTGGTTCTCAAAATTTACGGCACCGGTCTTTGGGCTGGTTCAAGGGAATTTTCGGGGAGAAGCCGGTTGTTTTAGGGGTCCTACCTCCCTGCAAGGCTCTTTTGCGGTGCTTTTCCGTCCTTCTTCTGATGGACTGGAAGTGGTTGTCTTTTTGTTTCCTTTCCGTTTTGGGGTCCGTATTTGGAGAAGCAATCTTCGATGTTCTTGTTTTGTTTTCTCCAGTTGAGCGGTCATTTCCGGGCTGGCGCCGAGAGAGAGCTGTGCGCCTACAGGGTGCCCGAGGACGACCTGTGCGGATCGCTCTGGCGAGGTTTCATGCGCCAGCCCTGTCCTTTGTGTGAAAGCAAATGTTGTTTCATGGCTTCCTCTGGTCGCGCCTTTCCATGGGCCCAGTTTCCACGCGCAGCCCATCCGCAGTCATGTTCCAGCCAAAGGCCCGGCGCAAGTTTCGCGCGGTTTCGGAGACGCGGAGGAGCGAACGCCTGGAAAGAGCGGGCGGCTCCTCTGGGCAAGGCCGGGTGGGTGGCATGCGTCGGATTCTCCGCGTCGGCTAGCTGCAGCCACGCAGGCAACACCCCAAGAGCCAGCCCCCGAACAGCAGCCCGGTGCGTCAGCTCACCAGGATGAGACGGCACACCAAAGATTCATGTGAATGGTTGCAGGCGCCACTGGCTGACCGTTTCTTTCGCAGTATTCAGGCGTTGCGATTTGTGCCAGCAAGGCATGCGTGGGGTTGTCCTTTGCAACTTTGCATCCTTTGCAGCCTTTGCATCCTTTGCATCCTTTGAATCCTTTGCATCTTTGTACAGAACCTGCGTGCGCTGCTGGCGTCAACAACGACGGTAAATCATTGCCGGTTGGCAGCTACATCCGAGGAACATCCCAAATTGCGAGCAGGGCTTTTGGTGTGCTTTTGTGGACAAGTTCTTAAATGGCAAAGTGGCAGTCTGGCACCTCTATCTCAGGTGCAGTCGGTGAGTAGGCCTCCCATGGGTCAACATTTTTTCACCAGGATATGGACCGCAGGTTTGAGTCCTTGTTTCGATTTACCAGGGCAGCCCGTTTTGGGTACCTGGGCCCTCAAGCTGCCCAAAAAGAAGGGAACTCCCCCATCATTTTGGGGCACTCACTTATTCTTATGGATAGCCTGAGGGTCGACTTCACTGTTTCTTGGCAAGTTTGTTGCTTGTTTGTTTTTCTGGTTCTGCTCATTGTTAGTAGTGGGCTGCAAGAAACAAAGTCTACCCATTTTTGACCCACGCCCCAGCTCACTTCGCCAGGCGGAGCTCCCGCCAGAAGCCGTCGCCACCTCCCCGGCCGCGCGCCTTTCCGCCGCCTCCGTCCACGCCGCGGGCGCGGGCGGCGTGGGCGGCGCGGGCGGGCCGGATGATGAGTTGGGGACGCTCGGCGAGAGCAGCTCTCGTGTGGCTTGTTGCGGTTTTAGCTTTGTGGCTTTTTGGTTGGTTTAGTGGTTGGGTGTCCGAACCACTGAAAGTGATTCACTTCTTTCTCAGGGGATCTGAAAACGGACAGCCCAGGTGTATGTCTTTGTTAGGGTACTTCCGGTTTTTGCAGGTCTTCAAAGTGGGTGAGGGTCAGAACAGGGTCAGAACGGGGTTCTTCACAATGGGAAATTTGGGTTTATCAATATTCGATTTAGACACGACCATGGGTAACTTTTCCCATTTGGTGGAAATATAGTCTTTTTAGTGGTTTTCCAACCAATGATCATTGTGTGTGAAGGACCTTTTGTTCAGCCTCGATGTGTTGTTCGGGTACCTCCGTTGTGAGGGCCTTTCGAGGGGGGACCACAAGGAAAACAGCCATTTTGGGGATTCACCTAAAAGAAGACGGACCCACATGGTTGCTGGAAATGGGCGCGCTTTTGGAAAGGGAATCGGACCCCACACATGGATTTCGGAATGTTCCTTTTGTTTTGCGACAGTTGGCTCGGCGGCCTTACAAACCAAGAACAACTGCTTGGAGCCTAAAGACAAGAACATGAAAGCGTTGTTCAGTTGTTCTAGGGTCGTTTCTATGTCTGGCACCCGAATCCCTTTTTGTTTGGGTTCGAGCCACTAAAAGGCTCGGTGCACCAGTTCTGACGCTGTTCAGACACTTCCACTACGGACCCCTTCCCATTGGCTTACTGACTTGGAGACCCTCTCCGCACTCCCGAGATTCCCCCAAGGTGAGTGGTTGCCTATGGAAAGTGGGTTTCCTATTTGGCTGTGGTTCAAACTTAAACAGCAGGGGTCACGCAGGTTTTGGTCCATGTTTTCCACTTACCCGGCTTGATTTTGGTACCGGTTTTTTGAGCCACAGCCATGTGATGGGTGATGTTTACAGGTCCGATTTGGGCGTGTCGTTTTTGAGGGTCCCTTGCTTTTGGCTGGTCTTAAAGGAACACCAAAAGGAAAACCACCAGTTGGGGGGGCCCCGAATGGGCAGCAGGCAAGCTGCCCAGCTGCTTGCACCGAGGGACGGGGAGTTTGCCTACGGAGGAGAACACCAGTTGCTGGGGCGAGAGCAGGCGTGGTCGAGGGCTGGGGTTGGGTGGGGCTGCTCTTCTCCGGGCAAGTCCTTGCGTGGCCGTGGCACAAATGCTTGCAGTCTTCAACTCCCTTGTTGTTTGGTGGCTTCTCTACTGCAGACTGAACATGTGTGATTTTGTTAACTGACAGCTACGACGATTTCCGTAACATGGAACCCTAAAGGGCCTTCGGGTTTCTTGGGTCCATGCTTGTTCTCCCAACGTGGCACCTCTATCAGGTAGAGGAAGTTCATCTTCCAGGAACCTCCCCACTGACAGCCGCCATGTGAGTGCAAAAGGGTAATTCCCCTTCAAAAGGAGTGCCCACCCCACGAAAAAGCCCACCCTTTTGGGGGGTTCCCCATTTTCGGCCCCCGTTTTTTGTTTTTTGTTTTTTTTTTAACATCCGCTGGTCGCTTTGCGCGCGAGGAGCTGCTGGAGGCCGTGGAGTTCCGCACCCGGCGCCACGTGGAGCTCTTTCGGCACCTCCAAGCCAGGCGCGCTGCGTCCGCATCGCGGCGCCCGCTGCGCGTCGCGGACGCGCGGCGGAATCCGCGCTTCGAGTCGTGGCAGGTCGAAGCCGCGCGTTTTTCCGCGGCGTCGTTTCGAGTCGCGGAGAGCGGAGAGTGAAGTGAAGGTGTGGGGGAGGGCGGAGGCCTCTGGGTTTTTTTGGGCGCGATGTGGATGTCTTTGGATGTTGTTTGGTTGTCGGGTGTAGGTGCTTTCTGGGTTTTCGGGGTTGATTCTTCAAGGCTCGTCCGGGTTCAAATGGCTGTCGCAAAATGAGGGGAGAAATGGACATGGAGCCAGCCGTTTTGTTGATGCAGGCTTGTGCTAGACTATGAGACCTGAGGGCCCCAGTGGATGTTTCTGTTGAGCAAAAATGGAGGCACCAAGCGCCTTTGTTCTGGTTTCAACATTTTTTTCCTTTTAAGCCAGCCATTTGGAGTCCCTTTGAAGACCGATCGGATCTTCCCGTTGGAATGGCCGCCCACAAAAACGTGGTATTGGGTTCCTCTTGCTCGGGTCACCCATAGCGCTCGGACAAGGGTGGTTTGCATGATGCATGCTTTCACCGTTATGGGCCTTGTCTCCTGCGTTGCGCGCTTTTTTCTCTTTTTTTCCCCGTCGTTTTGTTTTTGCTTGTGCCGCGAACCGCGCTTCTTGGGTATCCCTGATTGGTGGCTTGGATTGGCAGTTTGGGGCTTTGAACCCTAGGTTCTCGTAGAGGATAAATAGCAAAGTACCCTGAACCACCAAAGCATCGGGCTCCAAACCACCCATTGGAGGCAAGCTGAAGGAAGGGTCGGCCTAAAGGTAGACCAAAAGGAAGACCCGCATTTTGGGGGTCCCTGCTGTGGATGGACGAACTCCTGCACCACCTAAGAAACCCTGGGGTGAAAAGTTCTTCCCTTGTAAACTACCAACAAAAACCAATGGCTTGCCATGGTTTCAACGTGGTGCGAACGGATTTCGTCCACAGTATGTTGACACGCTTCCCCAATGGGCGAGGGAAGCTGAGCGAGCAGGTGGCAGTGCTTCGACGCGTACGCCAGGGTCTGCATGTCCCTGGGCGCCACAGCCCCAGACTGGAGGACCAGGCTGAATCTCCTCGCCTTGGAAGTGCGGCAATGGTTCACTAGCTTCCTAGACCCCCCCACAATGGACTTCGGATTTCCCGGTGATTTCCCCTTCAACACTACAAAAAAGGGGTACCAACTCCAACACCCCCCATATTATGGGTATGGCTCGTCAAAATAGGTGTCCTTATTTATGCAATTTTAACATTGGTCAAACCACCCCTTGGGGTCAATAGGAGTGGTCGTCAACCCTTGTGTAGGGATATTAGACGACCATTGCAGGATTCCTGGTAACGGGACCAAAATTAGGGATCCCTCCAAGTGGATAGTTTCCTATTTGCCACTAGGACATCTGAAAGGGGGATGGCAAGGGATGGCAATATGGGTTCCCAACATAGTTCCCTAAAACAGTTGGCGTCCTTTTGGTTTCCCAGCAAAGCTATGAAAAGGGGCCCGCCATTTCGAGAAAATACCTTGCCCTTGTCCGGGTTGGTTCAGAGGGAGACCAAAGACCGCCACCATTTTAGCGCCGTATTCATTGCGTAAGTTGACTTACACACCCATCTCTTCTCTGAACATTGTGCTACATTTTAAGCTAAATACGGACCAGACGTCGAACATCTTATTTTGTGTACTCCATACTTGGGCTAAGTTACCAGGGTTGGGTTAACGGTCTCTCCGGGAAATGCAGTGATGACATCCCAAGATTGGCCTTCTGAGAAAATAACTGGAATCTTGACCACGCCTCAACTTGGAATGATGCAGATTGCTAAGTTTCGATGAAGGAAACCATGGGTTGGCTGGTTATTTTGTTTGGTTTGGTTTGGTGTGGATTAGGTGGTTTGGTTGGTTGGATTTGCTGATTGCTTGCTTGCATTTTGATTTGCGGCTGGATGTGTTTTTGACATTTTCCCAGACCCGTTGTTCACCACCCAATCAGAAGGTCCCCCCCCCCCTCCGCCGTTAGGCTTCGACTACGTGCCAACAGGTGCCCAAAATGCTCTTTCAAGATTAGACCAAGTTAACCATGCGAGCCCAGGGTTCGACCTTTTGATTGCATGTATACTTAAACCCAGTGTTTCATTCCCCAAAAGCAGAACCCCTGGGTTTAAGTCTATCTTGGGGTAGTCAAAAAGCGGGAGCGCTGAGTGACCCTGCTGAGTTTAGGGCACTTGCAACGGCCGCTCTTGACATCTCTTGACACTTGGCCGTTGACCCCTTTTGTCAGAAAGACATGACGGCCTGAACAAATGAAATCGCGAACCTCAATGATATTTGGCTTGCAACCGGAGAACCACCAGAACATCATGCTCTTCTCTCGAGGTTTATTTCTTCTGCGGGCGAATCATCATTGTTACTCGAGTGCAACGCCCTTTTCGCGGGGGGCGCGAAGTCAAAAACTGGGGTAGACTTAGGATACATTTTACATTTTACCAATGACTCCATGTGAAGCAAACAACAAAATATACATTCTATAACTGGGCCTAACTCTAATCATGAAAAGATAACCTTTTCCCAACTTCTCGAGGTTCGGCACATGCTGCAGTCCATCAACTACTACCTCCTCGGACTCTGCACCTTAGCAATGAATACGCCTCGCCTGTTTTGTGGAGTTTTGAGGGGGGGGGGGTGGTGCACCTCACCTGTCTTGTGGAGTTTTGAAGATGGTGAGTGGTGCAAGGGGGGGGGGGTGTTCCCTAAGGTGCTCTAAGGTTAAGGGAACTCTGGGGAGCCCTAAGCAACCCGAACGGGCTCCCAACTACCCCCCCCCTTCCTACCCTTTTAGGGATTCTATGAATCTTGGTCTTCGGCAAAAGCTATCTCTTGCCATTAGCATTCCCCTCAAACCTCCTGAACCTTATTCGGTTTTCCGCTTTTACCCCCATTTTTCATGGGCCAAAGACTGCGTGCCCAGCTTGGTGTGATGAAACATGGTGCCATAAGTTGTGCACCACCCTCGGTTTGGGTAGTTTCGAACTCGGCGACCGTTTTTTGCATTTGTGCCCTTGCGCCCGCCTGAACGGCCAGTTAAAGCTGAAAAAACTGCTAAAGCACAAGGACGCTAGGGCAAAGCACAAGCTCCGGCTTTACGCGGCAGTTGCTTAATCGAACTTAACTCTGGCGGAATTGTTGGAAGTTTCGGAAGCTTGGTTAGAAGCTCGGCTGCAACTCCTCCGGGTTTGGCGAAGGGGGAAACCAAAAGGGATGGCATTTTAAGAACAACGCCCATGGCGGGTCGTCCCGGGGGGTTCTACTACCTGCCTCAGGGATTATAGTAAGGCCTCATGAAGGCTGAATAGTATTATGATGATGTTCCTATGGTCATGATCTAATTTCTTTTTATTCCCACCTTTTTTTCGCTTTATTCCTGTGGTCATGACTTCATTTCGTTTCAGGTTTTCGGGTACCCCCTATCGAATTCTCGAGCCCCGAGCACGGCCATCGAACCCGGCTCCCGACCAAAGAAGCGAAGGCTTGGGACGAGCCGAGGCTTTGGCCTTCGACATGGACGCTTGGGTTGTTTTGTTGGCTTACCCATTTTGATGAGCTGCGTCCTTCTTTTTTTCATGGGGTAAGTTTCTGATCACTTGGGGCGGCGATTTGAGTGGCAGACAAAAAGTTGCTTGCTTTCACTTGATCGGAACTGAGTTGTTTTGTGGGGAATAGCTCACATTGGATTCTACTGGGTCCCTCGTGTTGCATTCTGAGACAGGCCCGCTCTCGAATGTACTTTTGAGGTCCCTTTCAATCGTCATTGAGAGTTGGCAGTTTGACCACCATTTAGGAGGTCTTGCCTTGATGTCACTTTTTTGCGGGCTTACCACCAGGACTTTGTTTTTTGACTTCTCCAGGTAGACTAAACCCCCATAATCACCCTTGGGTTTAAGTCTAAGGAGCTTGCCACCGTTTAGCTTGGCTCATTTCGGGGTCGCTTTCGCATGGTCCTTTCGAGGTATGGTGCAGTACGACGCTCTGCATGTGAGCCTCGTGATCACCATGGTCTTCCAGGCGCGGGTTTGGCGTCCACGGCGTTTTGCCCGGCCCAAGCTGATCTTGGTAGACATCTTGGCGGTTCCCAGCCATACATCTAGAGTTTGAGACTTTTAGATGTGACAGAGGTTTGGGGGTATTTGGGAGTACATATTCCACAAAAGGTTTGACTTTTAGCAAGTCATCCGCGAACCAGTAAGCTCTGCTCGGCTCATCATGTTGACCCTGGATCAATAAAAATGGCAGGTTACAGGGGTGGCGTTCCCCAAAAATGTGAACGCTTCCCCCTAACGTGTGACACGACACCCCCCTATTAACAATCACTTCAAGGGGCAAGCACCAAGTAATTGGCTAGAGAGAAACTGGTTGCCACCCTACTTACCCTGTTGTAGATCCCCCAATAGTATTCTCACCACTTGCAATGTTGCACAGAGGTTTGTGAATCCTGGGTTCCCCTTTCGCATTAGGCGCTGGCGGTGAACATCACCATCCTCGACATCCACGGGCTGCCGTGTTTGGGGACCGGTGAAAAGGGCGATGGAGGGTGTGTGGTGAGCCTACCTGGGTCAAGGCAAGCAATGAATACATAATGTACCTATTCTGTGATGAGCCTGCCTGGGTTCCAGGCAGGCATGATCATTGTCCCTTACGTGAAAAATGCTTCAGGTCAAAATCTTGGAATTATATCTACAAATTTAGCTCTGGTCTTCCTACCCCCCTCCTCCCCCCCCCCCGGAAATAGAATATGTCCCTAGGTCTACTCTCGATGTAGATGTGCTTGTTCAACTAAATGGCAAAGCTTGGTAAGATGCATCACATGTAAATCAGAGAGCGCGCGCGCAGCAAGACTATTTTGCCTGCCAATGTGAGTGTCGTGTATGGTAAGTCCGCATTTGCGGCGCGGTGTTTGGCGCGGGTTGCGCTGGTGCCGGTAGCTGAATGAGCGGCTGAAATTCCGGAATTTCTGCCACTAGCTTGGTAAGGATACAGGGTACGCCGCACCGCACCGTAAGGCGCACCACATCCCCCCCCCTCCGCAACTCGCGCTGTCAGGCGTACCCGCATGCGCTGTACCTATTTGAAGTTGTTTTTTGTCATATCAGATCACACCTCTTGAAATGAGCAAATACATAGATATAGATATATTTTGAGTTGCACATCTTTTGTACTAGTGTATATATGTATATATATACATACACGTATATAACATATATGTATGTATGTATGTATATATATATATGTGTATATATATATATATATATATATATGTGTTATATATATATATATATTTCTCATTTTTTTCGAAAGGTGCTTCTCTTCCGAGCCTGGGAAGGGGTTCGCCAGGACCTTCGACCTCTCCTTCATCGGCTTCCTGCCGGCCATCGTGGCCTGCATGTCCCTGGCCCTGGCCGCCCGGCGGGGCCTCGAGGCGGGGCCTTGTCGTTTTTTGTTTTTTTGTTGGGGGGGGGGGGGGGGGGGTTGGTGGGTTTTTGGTGGGTTTTTGTGGGTTTGAGTGGCTTTAGTTGTTGCGGGAGTTTTGGGGGGGTTTGGGGTGGGTTTGGGAGGTTTTGGGGGGTTTTGTGGGGGGGTTGTGGGATTTTGTTTTTTTTGCCTCTAGGTTTGGCGGGGCTGGGTCGTGGAAGGGTCAGTTAGTCGGGTCGGTCGGTCGCCGGGTGGGTGCTTTTTGGCGTTCGCGGCCTTTTGCGTGCTTTTGTGAGTGGCTTTTGCCGATTGTTGTCGCTTTGGCTTTCCACATCCTCAGCTAGCGTCACTGCCAGGCTAGCGTCAGTCTAAGAAATGAAACCCAAGCCCCACCCAAACTCTCCCAAAAAGTAAACCCTTGGCGGACTTTGCTGCGCTTTGAAAACAAACCTTCTTCGAAAAGGTGAGCCCTCTGCGGAGTTTGTAACTTTTGGCGACCAAGCTTCTTCGAAAAAGTGAGTCCTGTGCCGACTTTGCCGCGTTTTGACAACAAATTGAAACAAAGTTCTTTGAACAGGTCGGAGTTTTTTTAAAGCTTTTTGCGACCAAGCTTCTTCGAAAAAGTGAGTCCTCTGCCGATGTTGCTGCGTTTTGTTTGGGTTTGTTTTCGCCAAGGTTTTGGGTTTGGGTTTGTTTTCGCAGGGGCCCTATGTTTCTCTTTGGGGTCAGGCGAGGGTTAAAAAAGATAGTCCTTCCTGTCACCAACACCAATAGGGTTGCTTGGGGCCTCCAAATGATGATCAAAGCCCAAGTGTGGAAATTCGGTCTAGTTGACACCAAGGGCGTTACATTGTCCTTGTGGTATCTCTTTTCGAGGGTGCTCTTTTCTGGTTGGTTTACATGAGGGGAAACCAAAAAAACATATTTTGGGGTCTCCCAGTTTTGACACATGAGAAGCCCAAGTGCTGTCCAAAAACCAGGAACCAGGGCTCCCAAACATATTGAACAGCCCACATGAACGTATGGAACGGTTCTTCCAACAAGGAGGGGGGGAATCGAAGGGCGCTTCCCCTTTTCAGGCCTAGTTTGCGTTTGGCTTCACTTTCTGGTTATGAGTCAACAGAAACAAGCTGTTGACAAGAACGGTCCCTTTCTCCAAATTGGCAAACAACAAAGTGGCCGCTGGTTTGTTCTGCGCAGATGGAGTCAGCCCCCCGGTCCGTCCTTTTAGACAACCTTGGAAAATACGAATAAACAAATCTGAAAACAACACAGTTGGTCAAAGTAGATGGCGGAATTCCCTGCCTCATTTTTGTTCAATCACTGCCTCGACTGACCCACAAGAACAGCGTTGTGCCATCTATCCCCTTGCACAAAGAACCATGGCAGATCCCGTGGGACCGAGTCATTGGCAGGAGCATAACCTTTACCCCATCTCCGTGGCCATCTATCCTCTGGAGCACCCGGCTGGTTGGGCGGGTCCCGTTTCGGGCACAAACGCACCGCCTTTTGAACCATCCTCAGAATAGAGCCTGGCGTCGAAACCGAGAGGTGATTGGAATTCAGTAGATGTGTACAACAGTGCACTGAATCATATTGGACTTGTAGCGGCGGTCTCACTAAAACGCTGGTGCTGATCAGTTGGTACATGTTGGACAAGTTACATCATTCGTGTATTTGTTTTGGTTCATGTTGGTGGGGAATTGCATCATCGGTCATTCCAAAAGATGGCGCATCAGTTGTTTTACCTCGGTATTTGACGCTGTCCCTGGGCCGGTGTCATCCGGCTCATGTTGGACGGCTCGTAGCACTGGTCTGTTTTGCATTGGAAGAGCAAGAGATGAGTGTTACAGTGTCAATTTGCCATCCCTCAGGGTGACCACGTATATTTTATCAGTGGCGCAGCTGTTTTTGGCCATTGATTGTGTTTTGCTTCAGACGCCATGTGCAGCCTGTAACACTGCTGACCCAACCACCAGGGAGAACAGATGATCATCTCTGATCGTTTGGCGGCTGCCTTGCCATAGTTTAAACAGCCAGTCACTGTTTCTGTTTGGTTTTCTATTCAACCACCCCCCGTCACAGACACCCTGCAAGACTATTCATTGTTTAGGTTAGACTAAATCTCAAACAACATCACTTTTTGTTTACCCAACTCAACCCAACCCAACCCACCCGCCCACCCACCCAAACCAACCCAACCCCACTTACCCCACCCCACCCCACCCAGCAAGACGAGGAGATCGCCTGGTTCGAGCTGCTGCACTGGGTGGCCTCGCCGTCCTCGAACCGCGCCTCGGTGCCGCGGCACTTCCGCGCGGTGCTCTTCATGGACCGCGCAGTCGGCGCTCGCGTCGGAGTCGTCGGAGGTCGTCGGAGGTCGCGGGAGTCGCGTGTGGAGGGGGAAGCTATCTGGTCCGGGAGCTATCCTATCTGGTCAACACCCCCCACTCAACCCTGAGTTAACCCCTAGTAAACCCATGTACACCCATGTAGGGGAGCTAAACATTTAGCTAAACCCCCTGGCCATTTGAGTACTTAAAGGGAAACTCAAGGCACCTTACTAAGTTCAACAGGCTTGAACAGGTGAGTCACACTCAAAGACCCGGGTAAGTGGAGGGTGGGGACAATCCCTGCCACAAATGGGTGCAGATATTGATATCCGCCTTAATTCTTTACATGGTTCTGGGTAGACCATCTTTTTTGCTGGTGCGATAGGTAGGGAATGAGACATGGAATAATATGTTTGGGGATTCCCGAATAAAGGAAACCACCAGTTGGATGGCTTTTCTTGGTCGTTCCATTTCTTATTCCCTGCTGAGCAATAGCAAGGTTTTGGGGAAACAATTGAGCACCTGCCTTCTAGTTCTGTGACTTTCTTAAAGGGATCCCCCCCCCCGAGATCACTAACTGTGGATGGACTAACTGTGGAGGTCACTATCTGTGCCTTCGCACCACGTAAATGAAGCCAAGGGTGGAACCAAACCGTTTGTTGGCGGACTAGCGTTGGGGAATCATTGAACATCCTTCGCAGGTTTCTGAACGGTGTTCCGAAATGGATCTCGCCAATCCGCAGGTTAGTTTGGCTAGAAATTTCAGGTTTACCGACTCAGTTGTCGAAAGCGAATCGACCTTTTGGCCAAGATGGCTTTCCCATTTTGGCAACCAGTTTCTAGTCATGGCGCCAAAAGGTGATCACCTTTTTATTGCTGGGTCCCTACGTGACCAGTGGCAACTGAGGGTTACCTTGTTTAGAATTAGATGGCACTGGTTTAGATTGGTGCTAGTCCATTTACCAGGGCCATCCATTTTCCCAGAAGGTCACCATTATGGTCAGGTCGCTTCGTTGCGGTTTGCTTCGGGGCTCGCGGGGGTTGGTTTGCAATTCGGGGCTCCCTTGGGTAAAGCAAAAATAGATGCCCAGACATTGGGTTTGGGGGGGGGGGGGTCTTACTGGCTCTTGCTGTGGATGGACGAAATCCTGCACCACCTAAGCAACCCTGGAAGGATGATTCCCCTGTGTGATTAGCCATGGTTAATATCATCATCAGGGACGTCGCGTTAGTGACCGACCTGTGGTGTTTTGGCTCAAGTTTTGGGTTCCGTCGCGCCTCGAATGGGCGTCGCCGAACCCCTGCGTCGACCGACGGCATCTCGGGGGAGAAAGAGACCTCGGGCCGCCGCCAGGTTGGTAGGGACCAGTCGTGCGGCCTGTTGTCGACCAAGGTTGCGGGTTAACCCTTTTCTTGTTTGGTTTGTTTTCCTTTGGTTGTTGTTCTCTGGTGTGTGGGAAACCCTGATCTTTGGGACCGGGGATTGGTTTGCTTTTGGGGAACCTTTCTTTTGTGGCTTGTTTACCCCAACTTACCCATTGCCTGGGCACAGGCTCGTGCCCGAATCACAGGTTATCAGCCGTAGGACTTTCCTACGCGCTTGAGACCATCAACTACAAGCTCTATGTCGACCCCACGATCTCGAAGGAGTGTCGTGGATGAGGAGGCCATCCTAGGTGACCTCCGATCAGGTGAGGACCTACCGGACTATGACTACGAGGATTTCGAAGCAGGTTCGACAGGTCAGGATCGCAGGGGTGAAGATCCCGGTAGGGACACACCCAGGAGCCGTGGCAGGTACACCGACGATGGAGACGATCGCATTTTCCGTCAGGCCACTGATGATGAGCAGACACGAAGGGTTCGCTCCGATAGGAGCGGCTCTGAATCAGGTCACAGGCGCGGACAGGTCGACTTCATCAGCATGGCGATGAACATGGCCCGCCCTCATTCGGACGACCCGGAGGCTATGCCGACCCGACCCCCGAGATCTCTTGTTCCAGGTGAATCGCAGGTCTCGGATGAGTTTGAGGACAGGCCGCAAGGACCAGGGACTATGGTTTTGGCTCCGAGAGATATCTCGGGTCGACCCACTGGTTCCCAAAATCCAGGTCAGTTTGATGAGCACGAGGAGCGGAAATTCTCAGACTTCGGATACGATGCTCTGTTGAAATCAACCGCAGGTTGGGGCAGTAGCTCAAAGCAGGGATCTGATGCCGGTAGGCCCTACCCTAATACTGCCAAATCTGAGTCTTATGATGGCGAAGATTACAATTTTGCGGATGAGGAGGAGGACCAATCACGCCGAAATGCTAGGATCCGTGATGCTGCGAGGCCCAGGAGCCTCTCTCGTGGAGCCGCCAGGGACCTTCGTGTTGACAGGGACGCCCGAAGCGAGAGAGAGAGAGCTAGGGATAGTCGGGAAGTTCTTCGGGGATTGGAGGCCATCCATGACCGTGAGGGACCGATAGGTCCCCCGGCGATTGGTGATGCCCCGAATGTTCCCCCTTTTCCCAACATTATCTTTGGAGGTCCGTTGAATCAGAGAGACGTGACCCAAATCTTCCAAAAGTGTTTATTTAACAGAACCATGCTTAAATCATCGATGTTCGTTGGAAAACATTGTTTATTTAAACACTTTTCGCTTAAATAAGCATTGTTTCATGGTAACATTGCTTAATTAAGGACTTTTGCGGTCTTAATTAAGCATTGTGCCGCTTAAATAAGCAATCATTGCTTAAATCGTGTTGATATATAAAAATGTCAAAATGCTTAAATAAGCAATGTTTTTTAAGCAATGTTTTCAGCATGATCACGTGCACGCATGTATATCGATCGATCATATTTTTTAATTTCAATGTTACAGCAGGCATGCAAGAATAATGAGTTGTGAGCTGTGTTCTTGTCGATTTTTTTGTGGTGCAACATGCAGCTGCGTGGAATCACGCGCAGGAATTCATGCGCACCATGCCTGTGCTTCATAACGCCTTTGCGTAACATGCGTGCGAAATTGCAGCTGTTTTGAGAGACCAAGATCAATTTAGCCATGGCCAAAGTTCGTGCTAAGAACACTGCCACTGCCAAAGACATGATGGGTTGCTTTGTCCTGTGGAGTCGAGAGATTGATGTGGAGAGCTTCAGATTGTCAGAGCAGCAGGTCATAGTCCAAAATGAAAGGCTTTTCTCTGAACTCCTTGAGAAGACGGTCAGGCCAGGACAGAAGGAAGTGCAGCAGGGTCTGAGTATGGCCTATCAGATTGGTGTGGACGAAGCCAAGGCTATTTCCAAAAGTATCTGCAATGCGTTCAAGTTTGCTCGAAGCAAAATCCAAAGCTGTTCCAGTGGAAAGAAATTGGAGCCTGCAGTGTGGAAGTTTGTGCAGAGGCTGAAGACTCTTTCTGCCAGCAGCTCTAGCCCCAGCTCTCGCAGATCTCTTGATCTCGAAGGTAGTGTTGAGGAGGAGGTGGCTCTTAAGAGAAAGCTTGAGTTCGGCGCACCATCCAAGACCGAAGATGAAATCCTTGCTATATATGCAGCGGGCAGCGCCAATGCAAAGAGCATGGATGCCAATGTTGCCATGACAGGATCCTCTCGAGATGCTATTTCCATATCTGAGTCGCCAAGCGCAGTGGAGTCATCTTCAGAAACAGAAGCTTTCCAGAAAAAGCCGGGCACAGCGAAGCCTTATTTTGACCCAGCAGAAGGGTGCTACATCCGGTTGGCTGAAGAGGGCAAGGTTTCGAGGGGAGTGTTGGAAAAGGGGCCTGCCGGTTTTTGCTTGGTTAGATTCGAAGATGAGGAGCCCTTTCCATCTGAAGTGCCCAACTTGTGGCTTGCTCCGCAGGCTGCAGAGTCAGGGCCCAAGCTCAAGAGGGTTCGAGCCACTGGCAAGGGCAAGGGCAAAGGCAAGGGCAAGTCGACCAAGGGCTCTGTTGCTGCATCAGCTCCTGAAAAAGCTGCAGCAGATTTTGAAGGCAATCCCGGGCAGGAAGCTGGCCCTGTGGAGAGCCTTGCAGCAGAGCCTATTCCTGCTGAGACTTCCTCAGCTTCCAAGAAGATTTTGTTTGGAGTGCATGACATCACTGGTTTGCCTGTGGAAGCACAGCCTCCAGAGGGCTGCAAGGGGCAGCATTCGTACACAGTGAAGCTTGATGATGGAGCTATTTCCATCGACGTCCTGTGTAGAAGCAAGGGCTTTTTCGTGAAGAAGCCTGAAAAATGCAGAGTTCAGTTTTCTTGGAGTCTCTATGACAAGCCGGCAGATGCTTGGTATGCTTGCGTTGGAGCATGCAGAGATCATTTGGCGAAGCAGAAGCCGAAGGCAGCAAAGACTTTGAACTGAGAGGCCTTTGTCGCTTTGTGGGCAGAAAAGGTTTTCTTGCTATGCATGTATGCAATTGTTCAGTCCATTTGCTTGATTTTGGTTGCATGCAAGGTTTTCTTGGATTTTTGAAGCGTGAGTTGCTGCAGCAATTTTGGCCATTTGTGCCGGTTTGCTTGTTTTGCCAGGGCCTCAGAAGTGAGAGTGTGGAGCTAGCTTTCGTGTTGCCAGGGCCTCAGATACTCCAGAGTGACTGATGAGACAGATGGCTCACCTGTGCACATGCAGTGGTGTATAATTTGCTCCTTGGTAGGATGCAGTTGGTGAGTGCAGCGGTGTATAATTTGCTCCTTGGTAGGATGCAGTTGATGCTCCTTGGTAGGATGCGTTGCTGTTCATGCCAGAGTCATGCTTGTCGCAGTTGTGGGAGATCCCATGTCTTCACAGGACTCTGATGTGTTGATCCTGAGGTTTGGGCAGCGGGCGGCTGCATGCACTGTTGCCTATCGTGTTTGAGGCTGCGTGGGCGCACATTCTGCATGGAAGGAATTTGTCTTGAAAGCACTTGGCATTGAAGCAGCGTGCTGCATGTTGCTGATCATCTTTCAAGAGGTCTTGGATGCAAGCAGCAAACGTTGCAAGTCCCGCAGCTCCCGGGCAGGAAGCTAGACAGAAAGCAAAGGATTAGGCAAACAATTGAAAATACCATTTTGAGTGGCAGCAGCAATTCGGCGCCATGGCACTTGCCAAGCCCATGGCCGGCGAGGCCCTGCAAGATCTGAGGATCTGTCCCCAATGTGGAACAAAATCCTACATCAG